GGTTACAATGTGATTTAGCCAAATTGGTTGCATACGAATTTCATTTATATCATTGTTCCATTCATAACGCTTAACATATCTATTCCATGCATCGAGTGCGTCTTTCCAAAACGAGTTTTCGATTTTTGTATTGTTTACTAATGTTTGAGCCTAACAGAAGAACGTCATCTAAAGGAAAACCAGCTATACTATAGCAATTAGCATTTGACACGTATCTCTTTAAACATGCAATTTTTAGTGAATCAATAAATGTTTTGATATCAACCATTCTCAGACAACCATCTTTTTATTTTCGAATTAAATTAATTCGCTTTATCTTGTCTTTCTTATCATTCAATAAGAATTTAAAAAATAAATTATTCAATTTTGTTATGACATCTTTCGGAGGATTGGGAAGAGATGTGAGAACATAAACTATAGTTGATATAGCTTACCTTTTAATAACGGTTATTTCCCAATCAGGGTTAAGTTTCGTTTTTGCCAGTTCCCAAAAAATGTATTAATGTGTTCAAGTCTCTTCTTTGTATTGATCACCCACAAGTTTTCTAGAAGAGTATTTTGCTTTATTTCCAAAGCATCAAAATTGTCACAAATCCAGTCCAGGGAAATCATGGGATAAAGTTTATTTTACAACCAACCATTGCACCAATCCAAACCGCTTTTGTTTTGTCAATGTTTATATTCAGGCTAGACATATCGTAGAAAGTGATAAGTGTTTTCATTGCTTCATTCAGGGAGACTTCCGAAAAGTCTAAGAATAGTTCAGAATCGTCAGCATATTGGCCAATGATATGTTCAATTTCGTTTACCAATATACCCTTTATTTTATTCTTGTCTCTTATCATTATCCCTCATACAATATAAATGGAGAGATTGGATCACCCTGTCTACAACCCCTTCATTATCATAAAACGAAGACAAATGCCCATTCTGTGTGATGCATGATAATGAATTAGAAATCAATATATTAACCTATATATTGTACGTTACAACCAAAACCGATTTTATCCCAGGCCATCATGATAAAATTCATAGAGACAGTACCGAGTAGGCTTTTTCAAAATCTATCAAGACTTTTTGGGTTTTGTGTTTTGATTTTAAACATTATAGCGTAAAGAAGTTTGGTATTTTCTGAAATACCCCTTCCAGGGATGAACCCAGTTTCGTTTTCATTTACAAGGCGATTTAGTGCCTTTTTAATTCTGTTTGTTATACATGTACTTATCAGTTTGTATAATGCATTTAGGAGTGAGATCGGACGCCAATTCTTCAGAAATCTTTTGTCTTTGCCTGGTTTAGCGATACAAGGAATCACTCTTTGTTCATCGTTATAATCATAGAACGAAGGTAAAACGTGTCCCGAACATATCTCAGAGCCCATATGTTAGATCATTCCAGAAAAGTTTAAAGAATTCGATGGGAGAACCGTCTAATCCAGGACTTTTTTCATTGATTTAACAGCATGTGCAAGATCTTCAAGGTTAATTTCACGTTCCAGTTCATCTGATTTGTCTTTATTCAAAGAATATCTTAGTAAACATGGCTCAATCATCAATATTATTATTTAATTATAGAGGATTTCGTAAAATCGTTTTGTTTCATGAACGCCGTCGGTTCCAAATGAATTCCCGTGCTTCAAATACCCAATAACACGTGGAAATTCGCCAACACATGATGTTTATCTCCTAAACAGAAATTTATTATCACACCATAGAACATATTCTTCAACATTGAAATTTATCAAAGATATGTCCAGGCCGTTACTGTTTTTTGTCCAGACAGTTACTACATCAAAACTCCTTTGAACAGTAAAATGACATGCTTAAACAATCTTAACTATTACAGCAATTATAAGTTTTTTATATTTCAAACATTACTGAATAACGTTTTAAAATACAAATCATTGTGTCCTGACCGTTACAAGGAACTTTGCAGAATGGTAACGATTTGGACAGCAACTGTCAAGACAATTTGTAAGTCAATCTACAATAAAAGAATGAATGATCCCCAAATGATTTCAAAGGACATGCCTTCCACCTCTTCCATTTCTGGGCAACATATCCATTGGAGGTAGCTCAAGCAGACACCGGAAGTAGAATTACAATCCAGCTCCAGGTGGAAATTATGGCAGGAATTTCATACACTGGTAACGGTCAGGACATAAAATCACAGGATAAGCATGTTACAATTTGTAAAAAAACAAAACAAACTTTTTAAGTTAAAACAAAAATAATTGCAGTATGAGTGTGTTTGATGAATCCTAATTGGCATAATATGAATTAATTTGCTTATTTGCATTTATTTTTACATTATTTGTAAACATTGATATTAGGAAAATTTGACCCCAAATTGTGGTTAAGTACAAATTTCAGAATGACAAGACAAATGATATACCACATTTACTTAAGAATTGAATGTCAGTTTGTGTGTTTGCACTGAAAAATGAACGATGTCAAAGCGGTGTTCAAACTCGTGTGAACGAGCGAGTTTACGAGCGAGTTCACCCGAGAGTTTGAACAACGCTTTGACATCGTTCATTTTTTCAGTGCAAACACACAAACTGACATTCAATTCTTATAATTTCGCACTTTGAAGTTTACACATACGTTTTCCACCCACTTGTACGATGTCAAAGCGTTGTTCAAACTCTCGCGTGAACTCGCTCGTAAACTCGCTCGTTCACACGAGTTTGAACACCGCTTTGACATCGTTCATTTTTTCAGTGCAAACACACAAACTGACATTCAATTCTTATAATTTCGCACTTTGAAGTTTACACATACGTTTTCCACCCACTTGTAGATGATCATTGTTTAGGGTGTTTTAATACCTGTTTTAATACCATTTTAACAAACTGGCATTGTACCTTTTCACTTGTAAATACCTTGTTTGACCGCGTAATAATACACTGACCGACTTCGAAGTTGTGCGGCGTTTATTGTGAAATTTATTGAGCAGTTGTTAAACAGACCTCGGGGCAGAAAAGGAACAATGTGAAAAGGAACAATGTTCGGCAATCCGTTTGGTAGTGACATTGCCAAACTTGGGGTGACTTGAAACAGGTTCGTTCGCGAAATTGGTATCACCAATTATTGGCGGTCCTTGAAACCGAAGCGAAAAATGTTCACACACGTATGAACGGTGTTTACAGAAGTTTGAACGAATAGAGGGGTTCAAGAGTAATGAACCTTGAAATTTAGATCACATGACTGCTCTCTCAACCAACCACCGTTCGGGAATCTGTGTAAACTTGAAAGCACGAAATTATTGACTATTAAACATCTAAACATGTTTTATAGAACAAAAAAATCCTTTTAAACTCACAGAGTTTTTTATTTGGAACGTTCAGAAAATACTACCAATTTTGAAGATGACCCGTATATTATATATGTATTATTATATTTGTATCAATATGTAGTAGTAATATATAGGGTGATCGTCACACAGTCAGGTGTTGATATGTGATCAGATATTCATTAGTAGTTCAAATGTTCATAATTCACACATCTTTAAAGTTCAATACATCATCACTCGACACTAAATTGATTATTCCACTGACGTGGTGGGGCCATAAATTCGTGAAAACGTTTTTTTGTTTTTTATCTGTTTTGTATTGTTTTATTAATCCTTTGTCATGCAGGCGGACAAAGGATGGTACATATTTAATTGGATTAAATTAATTACTGGAGTTTCTAAGAAAGTATGGACATCAGATGTATCATCACTTCGCAAGTCTGCATAGCTGGAGATAACATCTGTCCAACATACATTTTCTGTCTGTTTACATTTTCGTTTAAACTGTCTTGGAAAATGAATCAGATTGAGATTGTTACATGGGTATAAAGATAACCGTGACAAATGTAGCCAGAGGCTATCTGTTGATATCTGTTTGATCCACTTAGATGTTTAGGATTAGAACTACTGCAACAACATGTAATGAATGTATTCTAATCTTCCTATTTTCTCAAAGTGTGGGCCTTTTGACTTTGCCTTGGCCCTTTTGACTTTTGTTTGTCCCTTTTGTCCTTTGGCCTGTTCCCCGTTTATTGACTGATATCTTCAAATACTCTTGTCTGTAATGTATAGTGGTAAATGTGTCCAATCATCACAATTGTAACATTTTTGCCCACTCTCCTACCCAGAGTTCAATGCCGCAAGCCAGCATAGTATCTCTGCCACATCTTGCACCTTCCATTCAATATAATCTACATATTTCTTGACTTTTTTATTTTTGAGGAGTCTACACATGTAACTAAACATCTTTGATAGAATGGTTTAGTTTCAGTGAGAAAATATCCTAAAACATGTAACGCTATTTCGATTTGCTTAGCGATCCTTTGTTTACATAGGTTGTACGGCTCCACGTGCTGTCATCGAAGCCAACAGAGAGCAAACGATGCAACCAGATTGATATCTAAATATGTACTGTCATAAACCTTACTGTCGCAGAATTTACATGTAACAATGTAAAACATTGTGAAGAGTGCGCCGAAAAGCTTGCCTAAGACCAGTCTCTTCTTATTATGAATATGCGCGCCAGGTTTACAAACAAGAGAAAAGTCCGGTCACGTGATATGCAAATTAGCCTGTGGCAGTGATGTTATGCTAAGTCATCACTGCGCCGGAGTGTGATTTTTGCCCTATTCATTCCACACTAGGTGGCATACATTTGAGGATTGTTCGTCACCATTTTTTCTAGTTTCCTGATTTCTCAGAACTCAAACATACTGTCGTGGCCTGCAAGTAAACGGTCTCCAATGAGCCACACAGGCATTGACACCAACATCAGCGCTAGTGAACTACAGCACCTTAGACCTCATGGCCACTGGTGCAATTCTCTAACATGATACCGGTGAAGATCTACGTTAGAATTGATCACTGGATTGTCTGGTCCAGACTCGATTATTTACAGACTGCTGCCATATAGCTGGAATATGGCTTAGCGCAGAGTAAAACAACTATCCAACCAACTTTAACATGAAACAAAACAACTCTCTTCATGGATGATATGACATTTATTCTTATTATTATTATGAATTATGAAATATACATTCGCCATAAACATGTTTATGATAACTGCGCCTGTGCAGTGTATGTATATAAATGCATATACAAACGTACAGGGAAATATACACAATAATGCTAGAAGCTGTATAGTAACCCTCGTATCTCACAATCACCTTCACTGGGGCGGCAGAACTACAGGCAACAACAGGGCATAGGATTTCCCCAACCCAGGGATAAAATACCCGAGAGTTTAGTTTTACGACCCTTTTCCAATATCATGGTTGGGAACACCAGAAATGGGCTTCACACATTGTGCCCACGTGAAGAACCGGGTCCTCGGCGTGACGTGTTACTGCTTTAACCACAAGGCTACCCCACCGCCCGGAAAAAACCCACTAAGTTCAATCAGCTTTAGATATTTTCAGTGTTTTAGATACATTTAAACTTTCTATCATGTGAATTATTCTAAATTATGACTTCTAAGAAAAAAAGCTTTTCTCACAGTCAAAACATGTAAAACATATCTATTAAGTTTGGCAATTATTGTTAGAAACGTGTTGCTAAGCTTCAAGTAGAGGTGAGTTGTGTATGTGCCCTGGGACTGCTAGTCCAGTGAAGATGGAGACCGAGGTGCTGGAGGTCTGTATAGGGTGTACACAATAACACACAGGAACAGAATTAGGTTACATACAGTGCCCCTACAGGGGCAATACTGGGATATGTATAATATGCATGTAGCTGATAAAACCAGGGTTATCTCCCTTTGTCATGCAACAGTTACCTCCCTTTACAAACTGACTACATACACTATAGTATCTGCAAATTATTCTTAATACATTTTATCAACATTTATCATCAGAACATTTTGGCAAACAAAATGCAAGGAAAAATATCTAAAAATTGTGAAAGAATATTTTTTTAAATAAAATGTCACAGAAAGTCCAATATCAGATACAAACTCAAAACCACAGAAGAAAATTGTTTTCCTACCATGCACTACCCAGAAGAACATTATCGAAAGAATATAAATTTTGTTAAATGGAAGACAGAATGTTGGATAAGCCGATCAGATCTATGTATTATGCTATATGACAACATGATAAAAGATCTCCTATGGTCCACTGAGATGTCCATTAACGTGGCCCCTATATTGTTTCGGGTTATTTCATATCCAAAAGGGGGTATCGAGGGATTAGCTGTAAATATGAAGCAAAACCAAAGCACACTTTCAACCTCTACCAGGGTTTACATTTACTTGTCAAATAAATATCAAAAGCTACAGAGTGGACCAGCTCCACTAAGACTATCGTAATCCAATGGGGGCAGACTCGCGTGGAATATAGTCCCAGTATTCACCACCTGTCTGGCGATACGAGTCGTTATGAGACTGGCAGGACATGTAGAAACAAACCATCCCTCAAGTCTAATCACTACTACTTAACACTTTGGTCAATTTTGGATGGATTCAATGCCATGTTATGCTTGTGTAGTTCAGTATTTCAAGATGCAGAAGGCGTCAGTGTATTTAACATTAAGTTATTTAACTTAAACAACTTCCTTGATATCATTAAATAATAAACAGGGAAATATTTAATCATACCAATATTTTCCTTTTTGTTCCATTTTTAATAAGGACAGAAACTGGAACAGCCCCAGTTTGGTAGAAATATCACCTCTCAAGGTCAGAACCTCAGTAAACATTTGCAGTTTCTAATCACACGACTTGTATACAGCAAATCAGACAGCGATTTAATCACAGCACATTACAATTATCGTACTACAAATATTGTTTCACTCACTGTCATGTCATCAATCCAACTCATGTATGTAATCTGATCAGGAAACTAGCAACGTTGGCCCCCAATCCACAGACGTGCGGAGTCTGCAGAAAGCCCTGGGATGAGTTGGAAACTTAAAGCACTATGGCTGCAGGCTATATACAGGTCATCTAAGGGAGACAACTCGACAGGCAGAATAAACCGATGTGGTTTTGTTTAGCACCTTAGTGAAATATATCAACAAAACAAAGCAAAGTCGACTACGAGATACGGTCCAAGCTTCCTCCCCCTTCTGCAGCAGCACGTAAATATACAGTCTACACTCACACTACGTCATGAAGCTAGCTCGAAGCAGCCACAATCCAACCCAAACTTCAATAAGGCTTTGAGACAATTTTCAGATTATGCATGGTAAAAATTGTCCCACATTTGTTCCTTGCTACAAGACCTCCCTGTTCACTGGCAGCAGTGAGACGGACAAACAGCGGACAGGAACCTGTACAGACTGGCTGGCCGGACTGCGAGAATCTTCAGGATCAACGATCACCAACAATATCACATGGTTCCAGTTCTAAGAATGGACAATCAGTTTGTTTTCTATTGCGGAAAATAAAATCAATAAACAATGCATTTAATTTGTGTAGAAATTGCTTTCAGTTAAATCTGACATGGTAAATCCTTTGGTATCTGAACGGTGATGAACTACAATACATGAAGCAGAAAGGATGTGGCAGACGTGTAGTCCTTGTTGACCTTTCTGTCTGTCTGTGTCGGTACATCTGAGTGTCATCTGTCCACTGTCTAAGCTAGAATCTAGAAGCTGAGCACACAGCCACACAGTCATCAATGCCCCTTGGTCACTCACCACGCTAACACCACACACCTGCCATTTGTTGCCTACACTAAGAAAGCCAGCCTAATTCAGTGTGTGTGTAGACAGAGGACAACTGCTGGAGATGTAGAGTCTGCATGGATCCAGAGATCACAGCATGAGTTGTCTGCCCCTGCATGGTGTACACGGTGCCCCTGTTGTCGTGGAATCCCTCCAGTCAGTCCGTCTGTGCTACTATGCTGGTCTAGAAGGAGGAGGAGGAATCATACTCCTCTGGAGGTCGGTCCTTGTATCTCTCCTTCCTGATGATCTCCAGCTTCCTGCGGGCCTCTGTCAGCTCGCGCTCCTTCCGCAGGATCTCTTCCTGGGCCATGATCTCCTGCAACACAGATGGACTGGGGTCAGGGCAGGGAATAGCGAGAGACACTCAGATAACGATGGGTAAGAGACACTGAGAGAGACACTCAGATAACGATGGGTAAGAGACACTGAGAGGGAGATTCAGTTCAGGATGGGGAAGAGACACAGAGAAAGAGATTCAGTTCAGGATGGGGAAGTGACACTGAGAAAGAGATTCAGTTCAGGATGGGGAAGAGACACTGAGAGAGAGATTCAGTTCAGGATCGGGAAGTGACACTGAGAGAGAGATTCAGTTCAGGATGGGGAAGAGACACTGAGAAAGAGATTCAGTTCAGGATGGGGAAGAGACACTGAGAAAGAGATTCAGTTCAGGATGGGGAAGAGACACTGAGAAAGAGATTCAGTTCAGGATGGGGAAGTGACACTGAGAAAGAGATTCAGTTCAGGATGGGGAAGTGACACTGAGAAAGAGATTCAGTTCAGGATGGGGAAGTGACACTGAGAAAGAGATTCAGTTCAGGATGGGGAAGTGACACTGAGAAAGAGATTCAGTTCAGGATGGGGAAGTGACACTGAGAAAGAGATTCAGTTCAGGATGGGGAAGTGACACTGAGAGATTCCAGTTCAGGATGGGGAAGTGACACTGAGAGAGAGATTCAGTTCAGGATTGGGAAGTGACACTGAGAAAGAGATTCAGTTCAGGATGGGGAAGTGACACTGAGAAAGAGATTCAGTTCAGGATGGGGAAGTGACACTGAGAAAGAGATTCAGTTCAGGATGGGGAAGAGACACTGAGAGAAAGATTCAGTTCAGGATGGGGAAGTGACACTGAGAGAGAGATTCAGTTCAGGATGGGGAAGTGACACTGAGGGAGAGATTCAGTTCAGGATGGGGAAGTGACACTGAGAAAGAGATTCAGTTCAGGATGGGGAAGTGACACTGAGAAAGAGATTCAGTTCAGGATGGGGAAGTGACACTGAGAGAGAGATTCAGTTCAGGATGGGGAAGAGACACAGAGAGAGAGATTCAGTTCAGGATGGGGAAGAGACACTGAGAGAGAGATTCAGCTCAGGATGGGGAAGAGACACTGAGAGAGATTCAGCTCAGGATGGGGAAGAGACACTGAGAGAGATTCAGTTCAGGATGGAGAAGAGACACTGAGAGAGATCCAGCCCAGGATGGAGAAGAGACAATGAGAGAGAGATCAGTTCAGGATGGGGAAGAGACACTGAGAGAGATTCAGCTCAGGATGGGGAAGTGACACAGAGAGAGATTCAGTTCAGGATGGGGAAGAGACACTGAGAGAGATTCCAGTTCAGGATGGGGAAGAGACACTGAGAGAGAGATTCCAGTTCAGGATGGGGAAGTGACACTGAGGGAGAGATTCAGTTCAGGATGGGGAAGAGACAGAGAAAGAGATTCCAGTTCAGGATGGGGAAGAGACACTGAGAGAGAGATTCAGTTCAGGATGGGGAAGAGACACTGAGAGAGAGATTCAGTTCAGGATGGGGAAGTGACACTGAGGGAGAGATTCAGTTCAGGATGGGGAAGAGACACTGAGAGAGAGATTCAGTTCAGGATGGGGAAGAGACACTGAGAGAGAGATTCAGTTCAGGATGGGGAAGTGACACTGAGGAGAGATTCAGTTCAGGATGGGGAAGAGACACTGAGAGAGAGATTCAGCTCAGGATGGAGAAGAGACACTGAGAGAGATTCAGCTCAGGATGGGGAAGAGACACTGAGAGAGAGATTCAGTTCAGGATGGAGAAGAGACACTGAGAGAGAGATTCAGCTCAGGATGGAGAAGAGACAATGAGAGAGAGATTCAGTTCAGGATGGGGAAGAGACACTGAGAGAGAGATTCAGTTCAGGATGGGGAAGAGACACTGAGAGAGAGATTCAGCTCAGGATGGAGAAGAGACACTGAGAGAGAGATTCAGCTCAGGATGGAGAAGAGACACTGAGAGAGATTCAGCTCAGGATGGGGAAGAGACACTGAGAGAGAGATTCAGTTCAGGATGGAGAAGAGACACTGAGAGAGAGATTCAGCTCAGGATGGGGAAGTGACACAGAGAGAGATTCAGTTCAGGATGGGGAAGAGACACTGAGAGAGATTCAGTTCAGGATGGGGAAGAGACACTGAGAGAGAGATTCAGTTCAGGATGGGGAAGTGACACTGAGGGAGAGATTCAGTTCAGGATGGGGAAGAGACAGAGAAAGAGATTCAGTTCAGGATGGGGAAGAGACACTGAGAGAGAGATTCAGTTCAGGATGGGGAAGAGACACTGAGAGAGAGATTCAGTTCAGGATGGGGAAGTGACACTGAGGGAGATTCAGTTCAGGATGGGGAAGAGACACTGAGAGAGAGATTCAGTTCAGGATGGGGAAGAGACACTGAGAGAGAGATTCAGTTCAGGATGGGGAAGTGACACTGAGGGAGAGATTCAGTTCAGGATGGGGAAGAGACACTGAGAGAGAGATTCAGCTCAGGATGGAGAAGAGACACTGAGAGAGATTCAGTTCAGGATGGGGAAGTGACACAGAGAGAGATTCAGTTCAGGATGGGGAAGAGACAATGAGAGAGAGATTCAGTTCAGGATGGGGAAGAGACACTGAGAGAGATTCAGTTCAGGATGGGGAAGAGACACTGAGAGAGAGATTCAGTTCAGGATGGGGAAGTGACACTGAGGGAGAGATTCAGTTCAGGATGGGGAAGAGACAGAGAAAGAGATTCAGTTCAGGATGGGGAAGAGACACTGAGAGAGAGATTCAGTTCAGGATGGGGAAGAGACACTGAGAGAGAGATTCAGTTCAGGATGGGGAAGTGACACTGAGGAGAGATTCAGTTCAGGATGGGGAAGAGACACTGAGAGAGAGATTCAGCTCAGGATGGAGAAAGACACTGAGAGAGAGATTCAGTTCAGGATGGGGAAGTGACACTGAGGAGAGATTCAGTTCAGGATGGGGAAGAGACACTGAGAGAGATTCAGTTCAGGATGGGGAAGAGACACTGAGAGAGAGATTCAGTTCAGGATGGGGAAGTGACACTGAGGGAGAGATTCAGTTCAGGATGGGGAAGAGACACTGAGAGAGAGATTCAGCTCAGGATGGAGAAGAGACACTGAGAGAGAGATTCAGTTCAGGATGGGGAAGTGACACAGAGAGAGATTCAGTTCAGGATGGGGAAGAGACACTGAGAGAGAGATTCAGTTCAGGATGGGGAAGAGACACAGAGAGAGATTCAGTTCAGGATGGGGAAGAGACACTGAGAGAGAGATTCAGTTCAGGATGGGGAAGAGACACTGAGAGAGAGATTCAGTTCAGGATGGGGAAGTGACACTGAGAGAGAGATTCAGTTCAGGATGGGGAAGTGACACTGAGGGAGAGATTCAGTTCAGGATGGGGAAGTGACACTGAGAGAGAGATTCAGTTCAGGATGGGGAAGTGACACTGAGAGAGAGATTCAGTTCAGGATGGGGAAGAGACACTGAGAGAGCTATTACCACCACTACCACAAATCCCCACAGGCTGAACATCTACAAGCTCTTCACTACTCAGAAAACAATACCTGTGCAATGCCGCCCACCATCCTCTTGTTGACAGTGAGGCTGGTGCCCTCATCAACGAAGTCCTTAGCCTGCTGAGCTGCCCGCACCAGCGCCTCTGTGGCTTTCTTCACAGCGTTGCCGGCAGACTGGAGAAGAAGGAAGATGTCTACTGTCTTTCAGAGGCATTAATGTAATATCGCAAACATGTGTAGTCTACTTGACTCAAACAAACGGCCTTTGCCCGAGAGTCAATTTACTGCAATGCAACACACTGCTCTACTCAATGAGGTTGATGAATCAGCAAATTTCCAGCTCCATCATGTCAGACAGTAAATAACAGATTCGAACAAAATGGACGGTGACCAAGACACAATGACATTGAGCCAAGTGGCATGGTGACCAACCCATCCTCAGATTGGTCCCATATCTATAAGGATACTGAGGGCCTATTCAGCCTCCAAGTCCTTCCAAGGAACCCCAACTGTCAGCTGTTGTCATTCATCTGTTGCTTCAGCATCAGATACAAAAGATAAGTCCTCCATAACCAAAACTGGCACAACATACCTGCAGCCTCTGCATGGCCACGGAACCTGGGTCGGCCTTGACCTTGCAGGCCATAAGAAGCTGAGCAGTTGACCCTGCGACCTCCTTGGCAGATGCGATGAGTTTCTCCTCACTGGCGTGACCTTGAACCATGGCGTTGGCTGCCTCACAGAGTGAGTGAGTGGCTGCTGCCACCATCCGAGCCTGGAAAATAAAAATCAATCAAAGAATAAGGATTCAGACACAGACCCACATGCCTGCATGAAATCAAATCAAATTAAATTAAATTAAAGGCTAAACGGTCTTATAACAATCTTCTAATTTTGACAAAATGGGCTACAATTTCGATGAAAAGGGCCAAACTTTGAATTTCTCACTGCATATCATGGGTGATATCAAAGCAAATGTCACTCTTACATTCAGAGGGCACACCACAGCACATTCAAAATTGTAACAACCTCTATCCTTGCATGCAAGTATCTAAGGACATGTTAATGATGACTTACTTAAATAGAATGCCTTCCAATATTCCTGGCCATGAGAGCCGAGACTGACGGCAGAATAGTCATAGACGATGTCAAAATATTGTCACAGATATTATCATAATCTCTCTTGTTCCCTGCTTTGGTATTCACATAGTGTAGATACTTACCGCGGAGATAAGACCCTCAGACCACTGTCCGTCTTCGTCCATAGCATGTCTGTGGAAGGTAGATCCCACCTGCAGATACACAGCATTAGTCAGACGGGACAAGACTCACCACATCCCCTAACATCCCCAACATACACAGCATTAGTCAGACGGGACAAGACTTACCACATCCCGTCACATTCCCAACATACACAGCATTAGTCAGACGGGACAAGACTTACCACATCCCCGTCACATCCCCAACATACACAGCATTAGTCAGACGGGACAAGACTCACCACATCCCCAACATACACAGCATTAGTCAGACGGGACAAGACTCACCACCTCCCGTCACATCCCCAACCCCCAACACATCCAAACAGCAAGGGAGACTTTATGTCATTTACATCTGTTCATATTACCAGAGTAACGGAATATCTCCTAAGTAATTGACATCGGTCTACTTTATGTACATCTTACATTCAAAGTTTGTTTTTTCTGTGTTTCTTATTTTGTAATTCTAGATCTACATATGATGGGAAATATGTTAATGACAGCATTTATCTTCACCTGAAAATATAACCTTGAAAAAAAGTTAACTACAAAATGTAAGATTTTGTAGAAATCTGATACTTTATGATTGGTTTGTGTTGTGCTACTGATCAGTCCCAGCCATACGATTGGCGCCATTATGACATGATAGGACTGGCCTAAAAGATCGATAATCGGAATTATTGTAAATCCGAATAATATCCAATGATTATAGACATGAATACTGTGTCACTGATAATATCTTCCTCAAACTATTGAGATGAAAAATAGTTTTACTTTACACGCATTATATTCCTGTTATGTCTATAGGCTGCTGCAAAAGCAAGTTCAGGACGCCGTTTTTTGTTGGTCATCCATGAATAAATGTATCACCACATATCAGTGATGTGAAATATCTAGATTTCTTTAACTTGTTTTGGCATTTTTGCACAAAATTGCTTATACTTATCGATAACAAAACGATATTATTAGTTTATCGATTTCTATGAACTATATCAATTAGTCCTACATGATCAGCCTCACCCTATCTCTCTATGACCTCTTCAAAGTGAGATTTCATCTAAAATGGGATCTGTGTGAAAGAATGACACACTTACATAACTAGATCCAATGTTTCAAATTTGTCTGTTGAAGAACTGCTCAATTCAACATGTGCCACACATCACTGCAATCTGATGGAAGGTCACCAAGTTACCACCGTGATGGCCAACCAATCTCCAATTATTCCACAATCGCAAACATGCTTTAACACTGCACAATTGATCAAAGTTATTCTGGAATATGTACAATTCACACAGGAACAGCAACAATTTGCTACATTAATGTATGACAATGACATGAACCAGCCTTCAACCTGACCGAGATGTCAATATGACACTGAGAGTTATCCCCCTTTATTACCTTGCCCTGGGCTACCAGCTCCCTCTGAGCTGCAGATGCAGATTTAACTAAGGCTGCTGTTGCCGCGGCGATGGCTTGGGCTGCAGTAAGAATCTGCTGCTCAAAGTTGAGATTCTCATCTGCTTGCTACAATTTAAAAATAACATTCTCTCAGAAATATGGTAATTGTGGCACCAGGGTTACATAAATCTGAAAATGAAGAACAACAATGTGAGGTTATCTCCCATATGAAGTTCCAAACAAGGTAATCTGTCAAAAAGCCTTCAGTACAATCAAGCAAACTCGTCAATAATAGAATATGTTCTTTATGATGCTGTGACTCACTGGGTAATAATTTCACTATGATACAATGTCAGTCTTTAATAATCAATCTTTGAGACAAAGAAATATCAATTAAATATCAATCTTACAGAAATAACTTCAGAAATGAAATGTGAATGAATACAAAGCTTGTAATTTGCATACTCTGTGAACTTTTTTCTTGGACAGTCATTGAATGTGGCATGAAGCTTATGAAAGCGAAAGTAGTTCCAGTTAATATTGAACAAACTTTATGAATTACAACTTTGTGAGTGCGAACTTTCGATACAGATTCTTGAACCGTTGTCAAGCAGGAATCTGTCTGTACAAGAATCTGTATCGAACCGTCGCTCTCAAAAATTAAAAGAAGTTGTTATCCATAAAGTTTGTTCAAAATCGTACTTCCCAACTTCTAAAATGCCACTCAAAGAACTTAGTGCCAGTTTATAAAAGTGCCTTATTCCATTGAAATGATGACAAAAAAAATCATTACGGATATTGAACAATACTCCTGTAGTTGTAGAATGAGAAATGGTGGAATTTGTAATATTTCTGACAAATGCAAACATCGATCTACAACAAAATTAAGGATGATATACTTGAACTGAAACAAAGAAGGAAGCAGTCTATTGGCTGTTCATCTAAACAACATGGTTGGTGAAGCTGTTGCTATGGTGATGGTGCAGCGTTGCCACGGTGATGCAAATACCCCGCCTCTGCCTTGACATGTTTGATACTTGGTGGCTTCAATTTCACCACCAAATATATCAAACATATCTGGCAGAGAACAGACAGGGTTGTCTACCCCTGGTGCACACGTCACTCACTAGAGGGCAGAAAGACAGGCACACACTGCAGGAAAGAGTTGTCTGCTCCTAGTGCAACACTCCGTCAATAGGTGGACAATAGAAATAACAAATAGAGCACACACATTCAAGGAAGGTAACTCCTTTCTACAAATTCAATCATTTACAGTATATGATATAATGAAATTATGAACATTTGTCTGTACATTACAATTACAGTGTTCGAAATTAAAGGGTAAGCATTTATCTTGAATTTCAAAGTGCCATTCTTCAAAAATAGGGGGAAAATCATAACATTTACTGTCCTTATTCTGGGACATGTTTAATTATAACAAGCAAATTTTCATCTTGCAAGAGAGTTGAGTTAGGTTATCTAAATGAATTTCTGAAAAGGGTGTGTATTTTTTAGAATATTAGCTGAAACCTTTCAATCTGGACGTCCCCCTTTTTAACTCAGGTAATGAAAGGAACACATAATTTCCATACTCAATTTCCAACACTGAATTATATTCATAATTCCATCTTAACTCAATCTGTCTAAAGATCAATTGTATTGTAATGGTTTGAGTTCCAGTCTCTACACACAAACATTACATATATGTCTGACATGGTATACAAAAGCTGTGAGCTCCAGGCAACAATGCAAATAACAAACTCCAAACCCACACAGTTTTAAACAAAGTCAGACACTGGAACCAAAATATTCTGTCTTCACGTTTACCCTTTTCTCAATACTGAGAAATATACATATGTGTACTTCTTCAATTTTGATACGGATATCAAATTATGTCAGAAGTGTATAAATATACACTGAATATACCACAGAAATATATCAATATATCAAATATGGTAGTATCTGAAAATATTTTGGAATATACTGATCTATTTTTCGATGAAATTCAGTATCATATAACAAATGAATTATATCATGAACAAGACCAGGTCACCACATTATCAATGGAGACTGACCACAAAATCAGTTTAGAGTCACTGGGGACACTCACTAACCCTGATATCCCCAGGGTCAACACAATGGAGGGAATGATGGAGTTTGTTATTGGCCGTGTTGACTGTATATCGCAATGAATCCAAGCATGGTGGACGACTGACTGCATCTACAACAGCAGCCGCTCCACTACACACACAACACAGTGCAGCAACTACAACATGTACTACAGTCACAGCCTACGTCAACATCACAGCAATCAGTGTCATAAATCTTAGAAGACATAAAAACATATTTCACATATTCTCCACAGGTTCAATAACTGTAAACAGCTCAAAAGAAGATGTTTCCCATGTTGGTAGTTTCTGTGATGATGTAATTGTTGATTAAACTAAGACATGATGAGATCCCTGGACAAAACCCCAATGGAGGAAGTGAAACAGTTTGGAATTGGAATTACAAGTCTTTATAGATGATCAACTTTTAACGTCGCTATTGCATAACAAAGAAATTGATTACTATAATTTCTAAAATGCCTCTCAAACAGTCCAGTTTGGAATTTGGACTAGACATAATGAGATACCTGACCAATCCCTAATGGTGGGGGTAAAACAGTTTTGAATTGCTTTGATGAATATTAGCCTTCAAAATCTTCTCTCGTCTGTTAGCCTGAGTGCAGTAAGATGTTTTATTAGTGCCATTTGTGATCTTTTTACCTGTTCTTCATACCTTGAGCATTGTACAAATTAGCTTATTGGGACTAGGCACGGATTTTGACAGGGGATGGTGGGCTAGCCCACTGATTAAAGTGTTCAACTGTCACGCCCAAGACCCAGGTTCGATTTAGGTAAATGCAATGTGTCGAGTCCATTTCAGGTGTCATGATATTGCTGGAGTATTGCTGGAATATTGCTAAACGTGGACTACAAGCCTACTTGCTCAAAAAATTCTGATGACTAGTGAATAATCTTTTGTATAAGGCTCATCGAACTGGTTGGAAATAATTTAACTTCAGCTACATCGGTAAACCTCCTGGACCAAAGATGGTGGATTTCTGTATCTGGTTCTTACTACGGAAGTTACAACTCACACGTAATGTGGATGATGTATTGTCAAATGACGATTATGACCCAAAGATCAACAGGAATATGAATATGCCAGACAACCACATAGTACAGTCCAGTGTTTGTATCTAGCACATCTCTATTTTTACCTTTGGCACCACCTTTAGCACGATTCCAGCAATGTCAAACCAGAAATGGGCTTCGCATTGTGCCCACATGGTAAATGAACCCTGGTCTGTGGCATGAGGAGCAAACACTAACCACAAGGCTAGCAAACAGCCCCTTTTTACAAAGAAATTGGGAAAAGAAGAAAAATTAATCCATCGACAATAATGCAGAAAAACAAGCTTGGGTGAGTTGGTTCCACTATGTCTGGCAAGGACTGCTAACAAACTGCTGAACTACACTGACACACACAGTCTTAGAACGTCACAACGCCATGGCAACACAACAGCCTCTTTCTCACCTTGGCTGAAGGTCGAGGTCGCAGCTGGGCCAGTTTCTTTGCCGCAGCCTCAATGGAGTTGGCAGCACTGAGGAGCTCGTTCTCAGCAATGACTGTAGGGTCATCGGGGTCAACCCAGTCTGTACCTGCAACAACAGTTGAACAACACTGAAACAACACTACAACAACATGGGGATAACAGCACTATTGTATCTAATCGCGCATAAACCAACTGGTTGAAATGTGAGATCTATATCAACTTTAAAAACTATATTTCTAATTTCAGGATTCAAGTTTGAATGGCATTCAACTTCCAATATTAATTTCATAAACTTGTCAAATTCCTGCACAAATCCGGGTTTGAGTAACAGAGACTTACTCATCACATAAATATCATTACTGACTGTTAATTCATTCAACTTAAACTTTAAAATTGGGTGATATCGAGGGTTGTGAAGAACAACTGTTAAGTTAAACTGGAGTAATGAAAGTCATGAAAGTGTCAATATATGTTATCGTTAATCAAAACTGGTAATTAAATATAGGACAAGTTCTAGTCATTACAAGTGATTTCACCACACATATTTTACTGAAGAAGTTACATGTGACACACGTTACTAAACCAACAGAATCAACTCAAGGTGGAGAGACATTAATCGGATAAGAAAGTAAAACATCTGGTGGACCATGCCAGTAGCAACACTCCATGCAGGGGGAGAGTCTAGGAGGGGGACTTGATCTCAGGGAATTCCTGACAGGATTAGCAGGGGATAAGTTCTAAGTTCCAGCAGAATGTTCCTGCTATGGAGGGGAGAATGTTGTCTATACAGAGTGGGGTTAAACGCTGGTCATGCATGTCACCTTCCGACTACCTGTGACACCTGCCTACTACCTGTGTGTCAGCTGCCTACTATGTGTGACACCTGCTGACTACCTGTGTGACAGCTGCCTATGTGTGACACCTGCCTACTACCTGTGTGACACCTGCCTACTGCCTGTGTGACACTGCCTACTTCTTGTGTCATCTGCCTACTACCTGTGTGACACCTGCCTACTACCTGTGTGACATCTGCCTACTACCTGTGTGACACCTGCCTACTACCTGTGTGACACCTGCCTACTACCTGTGTGACACCTGCCTACTGCCTGTGTGACACCTGCCTACTGCCTGTGTGACACCTGCCTGTGTGTGACACTGCCTATTCTCTTGTGTCACCTGCCTACTGCCTGTGTGACACTGCCTACTTCTTGTCATCTGCCTACTACCTGTGTGACACCTGCCTACTACCTGTGTGACACCTGCCTACTACCTGTGTGACACCTGCCTACTGCCTGTGTGACAACTGCCTATTTCTTGTGTCATCTGCCTACTACCTGTGTGATACCTGCCTACTTCCTGTCATCTGCCAACTACCTTTTTGACACCTGCCTACTACCTGTTTGACACCTGCCTACTACCTGTTTGACACCTGCCTACTACCAGCTGTGACGCGTTACTGCTATGTCAGAAAACAATATTAAGTCATAAAAAGTAGTATTACAGTATGTGTAAATAACTGAATCTGTACAATGCTCGGAAACCAAATCAGACATTTTGACCAACCGATACTCATTTCAGTCGGTTACTAGAATACTAGGCATTTAAACTTCAATCCAGAAACTTCATTCAGTAATGAATGAGAGAGTTACGTTTTACGCCAAGTTTACCAATATTCCAGCAATAAATCACAGCGGGGACACCTAAAAAGGGCTTCAAACTCATGTGGGAAAACCCATGTGTTTGGCGTTATGAGTGAACGCTTTAACCATGGGCTCCACGAGACACCAGAGACATCAGTATTACTAGACCCAAGTGTCTCATGATAGGATTTGAACCACTGTGGTGAGATGAGGCGACACACTACCTACTGTCCCAACTGTGAATGACTACAGGCAGTGTTGAGGACACTAAGCATCCATGGTTGTAGGTGTATGCAAGGATTCGAACCACCGTGGTGAGATGAGGCGACACACTACCCACTGTCCCAACTGTGAATGACTACAGGCAGTGTTGAGGACACTAAGCATCCATGGTTGTAGGTGTATGCAAGGATTCAAACCACCGTGGTGAGATGAGGCGACACACTACCCACTATCCCAACTGTGAATGACTACAGGCAGTGTTGAGGACACTAAGCATCCATGGTTGTAGGTGTATGCAAGGATTTGAACCACTGTGGTGAGATGAGGCGACACACTACCCACCGTCCCAACTGTGAATGACTACAGGCAGTGTTGAGGACACTAATCATCCATGGTTGTAGGTGTATGCAAGGATTAATGTATCTGCAGGGTCGTATCATCTAGTACCTAGTTCACTCCATGCTGCAAATAATATCTAAAAATTGTCTGACTTTGTTTAATAAACAAAATAAAAATAATCTACGCATTATTGTGGAAAAACCCTAACATTGTTTGAGACAAAAACATCCTATTCTGATCCAAGTTCATTCTCAACTTTCATCAACACATAAAATGTTTTAAATTAATTCAGACCTGGGTAAAATAAAGTATATATTTTCATACACCTAAAGGGCTTCTCTACACAGCAGGAAGCCAGACTTGCTATTACAAGGGTAAATATTAAACAGCTATTTGGAAGAAATGAAGTTTAGGAAATTTAAATTTGTCTTACATTTTATAAAGATATATGACAAACAACAATACCGCCCTAAAATACGAAAAAACAAAAACTTATAATGTGAAAAGAAAACGTTGCCTTCTTAACAACTATATTCATACTTCTCAATAATACACAAAATTATACCTGATGGCAAAAAAGCACAAAAAAAGCCATATTTCCAAATCTAGTTGACCAGTGCTTGCTTTCTAACCAGTAGTAAAGTTCTCTCTGTCTGAACAGCAGGGTGCCGTTTCACAAACATCCTTTTAGCACTACAATGTCCGAGCCGCTACTACCTACTGTAGGACATCCCAGTATAAGACACTGACTTACAAATCGTAAGCTAGTTACAAGTGCCGTTACCTAGCGTACTGACTGACTGACTGAGTTTGGTTTTACGCCGCTTTTAGCAATATTCCAGCAACATCACGGCGGGGGACACCAGAAATGGGTTTCACTCATTGTACCCATGTGGGGATTCGAACCCGGGTCTTCGGCGTGACGTGCCAACGCTTTAACCAATAGGCTACCCCACCGCCCCTACCTAGCGTACATGCTAAGAGGTTGTTAACGATGCTGCTTAAAGTTCTTATGGAGGTCTTTGTGGAAAAGTACAAAAATTCAAGAGCTGCTTTATGACGTGGTTTACGACGTTGCAGCGCTAAGAGTCTTCCGTGAAAGGGCACCCAGGTGTTTTTCCACAATAATGATGACATAGTTGACTAACTGTCTGAAATAAAGAGGCTGTTAGTTACAGAGTGGAGCATTCCCTGACTTCTGTACATGTTACCTGGCACGTTATAAGACCAGCGGATCTCTACTGAGTCTGTGAGAAAACACCAACATGTGTTCAGTGTTGTCATGGAAACGAGAAATATAAATTCAGTGTTGTTATGGTAACTAACAACGTATGTTTAAAGTGTGGTCATGGAAACTAGCAACAAATATGCAGTGTTGTCAAGGAAACCAGCAACAAAGGCACAATGTTTTCATGGAAACCAGCAACATATGTTCATAGTGTTGTCATTGAAACTACTAACAAAGGTGCAGTGTTGTCATGGAAACAATGTATCATTAGATGGCTACCAATGGACATGGGAATTTAGCTGCTAATATACCACATATTTCTCATCATGATGTCCAACAACTAATCTGGTAAATAAACAATGATAAAGGTATTGTTATAATCTACATCAGCAGTGTTTCGAAATGAATGGCTCTAGTCTTTCACCATTTAACAGTCTGAATTTTTCCTCTGGTATTTAATTTCATAGCTGGGAGTGGCTCCAGAAAGGTGCTGATGGTATGTCATGGCCATTTTAACATTACTCTAAAACACTAGACCAGACAATCCAGTGATCAACGTCACGAGCATCAATTCATGCCATATGGTTACAAAGATGCAATGCAGCTTTTCACATTGATGGTAAAGTACAAATTTGAAGAAAGAGCTGCGCAAGGACATTACATCTAACATTGCCCTGTTCCACCAAGCAATTGATTAAATTTGGCTTGTTTTATTACGACTAGTTACTGTCAAGAAACCTGGCCGTCACTGAAACAGTGGGGTGTAGCTACCCTCAAAACAACTAACCAAGGGGGAGACAACTGAACGAAGGGAGATAACTGCCCAGTGCAAATCTTCTTTTCTGAAAACTAGTTCTGTGGTTCTGAAATTTTACTGTACAAAATTAGACGTATCCACAGCCTGATTATTCCATCATGAAGGTGAGAAATAATGTGTTATATCAACGAGAAGCATGTTCCCTAACTTGGACCAGACCTTGTTACAGAGTCCCAGCACACCACACACAGCTACAAACACAACAAAAACAGGGAGTAGACAGACTAAGTTGGTGTGAGGCAAGCACCTAGCCCGCTCACCCAAGTGCTACATAGTGGCTAGCTTGTGAATTTAAACAGACAAGACATTGCTCCTGTGCAGTCAAAACCGAAAGGCGTAAGAACCAGTTGGTCTTCATTGTCAAGCTGGATCAAAGTTTTAAATTTAATTTAAGGTAGAAGGACTTGAACTCTTTAGTGTCTAAAATGTAATATTTTAAATCTCTTGACTGAACTTCAAGTATGTACAGATATATTAATTCCAGGAACAAAATGAATAGAGATATTTTTGACGATTCACATAAAATCACAGAGCTTAAATTTGTTCAAAGCAAGCTGCAAAAGTGGTTCCTAGTTTTGAGGATAACTGTGCGCAAATACAAGACATGTGCTACAGGTGTGAGAGACACATGTGAGAGACATCAGAGAGAGACATAAGTCGACATGGAGAGGTGAGAGAGACAAGCCACACACCTCGGTATCGTACACGCGGTCTGACCCGCGGCCGAGAGTCTTGTAGAGACAAAACAACAGTTTACTATCTTGTAACACAAACAACAAGTGAATGGAGACAAGTATTAAAAGTACCCCAGATGTAGGGCCTGATCAGATCTGGACCATCAGACCGGGCAAACTGGCTGAGAGAGTGATGTATGTGAGCTGTCTCTCAGCTTGAGTGCCTGATCAGATCTGGACCTACAGACTGGGCAGACTGGCTGACAGGGTGATGTATGTGAGCTGTCTCTCAGCTTGAGTGCCTGATCAGATCTGGACCAACAGACTGGGCAGACTGGCTGACAGGGTGATGTGTCTCTCAGCTTGAGTGCCTGATCAGATCTGGACCAACAGACCGGGCAAACTGGCTGAGAGAGTGATGTATGTGAGCTGTCTCTCAGCTTGAGTGCCTGATCAGATCTGGACCTACAGACTGGGCAGACTGGCTGACAGGGTGATGTATGTGAGCTGTCTCTCAGCTTGAGTGCCTGATCAGATCTGGACCAACAGACCGGTCAGAGAAGTCCATGGTCAGTTCTGTACCAGGCAGCTGAGTGAGTGAGTGAGTGATGTATTGTAACATGGATGCTGGTATGGAAGGTATCTGTACAAATGATCAGCTGAAAAAGATGATGGATGAGGAACGACTATGAGACCATGATCCATATCAAACATAAATGACAATGTAGTTCTTCAATGAAATGCTAAATGTTAGAGACTCTACATCTAACATGACACATGGTCCTTACCTACACACTGGATCAATCAAACACTTCAACCACTTCAGTCAAACAATACAACGACTGCAGTCAAACATGAAAAACACACGTGCACAATTCTTCACAGCAGAACACAAGCACTCCACACACCACACGGCACAAGGCTACAAGCACACACTAGCAGTGTAGCCACACAGTACCAAAGGTACAGAGGCTGCTAATCTAACATAAAATTGAAGTGATTAAAGATTAATTTTAAACTTTAATTAAAGTACATTTATTTAAAATGTGATAGGTGGATCTGTCTAATCTATACTCAGTGTTAGAAATTTTCACTCATCCAGTAATCCCGCCAATAATCAATCCACTAATCCCTCCCATAATCCAGGCACATCCTATCCAGCATCAGAATGAGCCTCACACCGTGTATTAGGCCTGGGACAGGTAACCCAGGTACGCATCTCAATGCCGGGACCCGTTATGATAATGTGAATAATAGATTACACAATGTAATATGTTACTTTTTCGTGGTTAAAAGGTTGCATTGTCTTGAAAGATTTAGACATAATTTACAGACACTTCTTTTGAACATAACTCATGGTTAAGGTATCGAAAAACTTGAAATTTTAGCCTCCGAGCTGAAGAATACATTGCCATTTCTGGCAAATTTGATGTCAGGAATTAACATAATGGTAGGGTAGGGCAATAGGGGGTGGGGTACCCGGGTTGAAAATTTGGACCCATCCCAGCCCTACAGTGTACCCATGTTGAGATTTGAACCAGGTCTTCTGCCATGACGAAAACCACTAAACCACAAGCCTACTCCACCACCCTTGAATAATCTGGATTGTGATCGAAATAAGTTTCTTTCAATGAATATGTACCTCTGTACCTCTGTATCGCTACACTGCTGTATAGAAGTTAGAACTAGTCAGTGGTTATAAGCCTACAGCTTCTCATAGTTAATGTCATAACATTTCTTCCTCAAGACGTGATGGTCACAGACACTGGTTAGCAGCGGATGAAGTTATTAAGCATGTTTATCATTGGAGGCGGACACAAGGGAGGGGCATCATTCAGGGACAGCACTCTCAGAAGCTTTGTATACACTGTGCAGCATAAAACAATAGGACTTGTGTGCAACATGAAAACTTTATATGACTGATGTGCAACATATATATGTATCACTTTGCAACATATACCTACACAAGCAGACATTCATATATTTATGGACTATGGCAGTTATATCATATGTCCTATAGCAGGTATATCACATGGACTACAGCAGATATATAACACTAAGCAGATGGATGTGGGCAGCCTTGTTCCTGAGGACTCTGGATGTCAGGTATACAGACTCAGGTAAGGGTCTCGGATATATGTGGCCATATTTCACATCAAATGATCAAACAGGAAATCATATGAACTGAATGTTTAGTCACAGGGTTCTGTAGCTCACCTTTATCATTCTGAAGGCATATTGTTGTATCGAGTGAGTATGGTTTTACACCACGTTTAGCAATATTCCAGCAATATCATGGCAGGGGACACCAGACATGGGCTTCACACATTGTGCCCATGTGGGAATTGAACCCAGGTCTTTAGCGTGACGAGCGAATGCTGTAACCACTAGGCTACCCCACCACCTGCACATTATTGTAAGAAAATTATCTATTTTTCATTTCATCACTGTAAGGGTGTATTAATCTAAAATTGAACTTTTTGTTCTTAAAAATATTTTTACAAGTTCTGTTTTGGTAAAACACAAGAAATTTTGAAAATGTCAAATGCTGCCTTTCAGTGACATGGGGACGATGAACTACGACATAAGCTCTGCTGGGTGTCTGGTAGTCCCAGTGAGCTATAATGATGTGATGATGGTCGATCACTGTTGTCATGTCGTAGTGATGTTCCAACCTGAGTGGGTCTCTCATTAAAATCAGATCTTTTCTCCGATAAAATACCGCTCTGTGCGAAAATCCTGCAACCTTCCATATTTGGTAGCATCAGGTAACAATTGTTATCAGCCAATGAGAATCTCAGTGTGAGTGAACAAAGAATATCCAATTTCATGAACTCAAATACAAACAAATGTTACATTTAGGACACTTTCTCAAAACAGACTTAAACCAGTAGTCCCAAATGCAAATAATAAAAGTTGTACCAACAAATTACTGTGGAGATTGAATAAATTACATCTTTTCCATGGCAACCTTACCCAAAATGGATAACCATCTCAGGAATATTTGTATTTTGAGTATGTTTTCGAATTCCTTGTTTTGAAAACAGCATCATTGTAGACTAAGAGAGTTTAAAACAGGTATCATTGATGATGAAATTTCCAAATACAGATGGTCGAGACGCTGAATCAGTTTGGAAAGCTGACATCTGACAAAAGACTCAATACATTCTTCATTCAGATTAGGATGTTAAAGTTCACTCAAGTTTCATGTGACACGACCTTATATGGAGATATTGTCAAACGTTCTGACAGAGAGGTATAGTATTGAAGCAGATCTGACTCTACGGAGACATACTGGCAGGGAAGGCAGTATTACAATGAGGGGGTATGTTATGACTATCTACATAGCCTGGGCACTGTGGTCAATCTCAATATACAGAAGTGTCCTCACCCAGTAGCGATGGTAGAAACTGGCCTGCATATCCGTGACAGAAATGTGTCATATCCGTGACAATGTGCGATACATGATGAACGTATACAATAACATGGCATGCATATGCTCTGCAGTGTTAACACAACATCGACAGAGTCATATAAAGGTATTCGCTATCAGAAAAACACGCAAGATTTTTTCAAAGTTTACAGATTTCACCTAGATTACATCACACATTTTACGTATGAAACATTTCACATGGTTTTACATGACGCATGATTCCTGCGTATTTGACAGAACAGTTTTGTAAATGACTCTAAAAATACTATTTTCACGAGTCAAGTTTGACGCAAGTTTTATGGGTGGCCTTCACAATACAGTTCAATAAAATCGATTTGATAAGCAAAATATGATATTGTTTGATGATAGTTTGACTTTTTCAGAGCTGTCAGATTGTTCCAGAGAACTCAGAGGAGACAGTAATCCTGGCTGTTTGCATTGAACAATGCTGTAGTTTCATTTGGTGGTGTGACATAGACAGTTACATACTGAGAATGATTAACACAAAGAAATATTAAAATTTTCATGACTCCCAAATATTGAAAATGACTCCCAATAATAAATATTGTGAGTCACGATGACTCCCAATTTTAAAAGTCTGTGTAAAACCCTGATTTAACCCAACCTATTGAATGACCTTTTAAGTTGAAAACAAAAAATTTGAAAAACACTTTTAATTTTGCCAAAAGTAAAGTGATTCGGTCACAAAATATACAATCTGTAAACCATGAACTGAAAGAATCTTGCCGTCTACCCAATACCTTGATAAAACCCTGGGACAGCTAGACAGCAGAGTCTTAGCGCTTCACCTGATGCAACTCCAGCAGAACCTTACTAAGAACATTGCCCTAAGATCTTAGTGCTTGTTTGGTTATATACTTGTGAACAGACTTGCAGGAGTTACAGCGCGCTATGACAACCCTGGCGCCAGCCCTGTGTCCACTACTGACAACTACATGTTATAACCTACAGTACATCTTTATACCATACATGGATGATATACATCATTATAACACAAATGATATATGCCTTTATATCATACATAGAAAACATACCTTTATAAAATACATGAATGATATATACCATTATAATATGAATGATATACACCTTCATACTATACTTGGATGATATACACCTTTATAACACAGACAGATGATATACATTTTATAACATAGATGGATGATACTATGTTTAACAGACATGATATAAGATGCACTATACATGGCTATATCGCATGGTGCAAAACATGATGTTATGTATGACAATAATGTTCAAACTTTCCATTTAAGGAACATGACTAAAGTGTACATTGCAACAATAAAAAAAGTAAAAAAAGCTTTGAATATTTCAAATAGCTTCTGTTGTAACTGACATTACCAAAATTTAAGATCTTGCGAAAAATGTAAAAAAAATTGAAGGGTGATTTCAACCTGCATGTTGTTTTATGGCACAGCAATATTCCAGCTACATAACAACCGCTTCCAAATCAAGACATGCCACAACCCACACTGTATGATGACACAACCAGCTAGGCTACCCCAAACCACCCAAAATTCATCACTCAGTTCTAATGACTCTGTCTTATCTGCAGAATACCAAAATGTGTATTACTACGCTATGCTAAATGGTGATCTATGTGGAACAGTTGGTGAAACTCTCCTGCATGTTTTACTTGGAATGCATATTTGAGTTCGAGTTTCTCTGAAATAAAAATCCTTTAGAGTGTAAAATATTTGAATGTTTCAGCATGTACGAGAGATGGAAGTCTCACACCAGACTGAGCACAACCTGACACAACCGGACACAACCTGACACAATCAGACCTGGTCAGAGACGTACCTTTAATGGCCTCAGCAGACTGGACCAGCTCCGTGACGGCATTGGCTACTTTACGTGAGATCAGCATCAACTGCTGCTTTGCCTCTGGCGTCGGTCGGACCACAGCCTGACAACATTGAACAAGGAACATTTACAGAAGGAACTAGGTATGGTCACTGTGTCCTGAAAATCTTAATGTCAGAATATGAAATTTCACTTTATGTTAAGAGATACATGTTGGTGATGCAGAGTTCCGGTGTTGTGTGGCAACTGACCTGGTGGACGCTTTCAAGAAGTTCCCTGTAGGACACACCACACATTCGGCCGGCGTTGATGGCGCGCTGTCGGATCTCAGCCGTCTCAGCAGTAGCAGCAGCTCCCTGCAACATCACCGCAAAAACATCAGCGTTTATCTTACAGATACTCAACTGAGTGAAATGGCTTACCCTACCAATATGCAGATAAAGATGGCTTACCCTACAAATAATCAGTTTAAGATGGCTTACCCTACAAATAATCAGTTTAAGATGGCTTACCCTACTGATACTCAGCAAATCGGAGATGGCTTTTCGGCCCATGTTGGAAGCCGCAATGATGTCTTCCTGGCGACAAGAGTTGCCAGCAGCGACAGCCTTGGCTGTGGCGTTTGTGATGGGTTTGGTGAAGCGGATGAGATCCTCGGCATTGGCTTTCTTGAAGATCTCTGCCGTGTCGTAGGCCTGGAGGAACAATGAATGAGGTAACTTGTGAGTAAGTTGGACAGTTTATAACTCGCTTGTGGAATATTCCAGCAACATTAGGCGGGCAACACCAGAAATGGGCTTCACACATTGTACCCATGTGGGGATTCAAACCCGGGTCTTCGGCGTGACGAGCGAACGCTTTAACCACTAGGCTACCCCACAGCCCCCGTAATACTTGGAAATCTGTGATTGCTTGCCCCTTTTAAGGTCCTGGGGGAAACACTTCATTTTTTCAGAATAATTTCTTTTTTGTCCTTTATGCTTCTTAAAGAGGCAAGCTGATTCTAAAGTAAATAATCATTGATAATATACATAATTTTCCTAGCCAATGTACGTCATCACCTACCCTGATCTCCTGTCCGATTGCCTCAACAGTCGACTCGAGGGCCCGTGTTCCTCTCACAGCCTCGTCCTCCACGGTCTTCACTGTTTTCAGCAGCGACGTCACATTCGTCACCATCACCTGACACAACATCGACAACATCAACAGTGGACACAGCAGCTACTTCACAATGATGAGCACACACCAACAAACCCACCCAACACAAATCCTGAAGATGATAATACAATGCATCACACCCCGTGTCTATGATGTACAAAACATCTTACTGTGAAAAATTTCTGAATATTTCCCCAACTGGCTTTGAGGATATTTCATGTAGTTTATACTGCCCAAACAAATATGTAAACAAATACATTTGATGCTAACACAAATATTGAGTTGAAACATAAATGTAATATTTCGAGTATTTAATTATATCAAAGCCACAACATTGTAGCAATCTGAACCATATAAACAAAACAGTACAAAATCATGAATATTATGGACATTTGTAGTGGAGAACGTGTACACAATTTCATAAACACATTCTCAATAAATTCATGATCCCTAACTTTTTTTCTTCAGTATATATTTCTTGTTGACTCAGTGTCAGAAGCTACACGAGGATCACGCCCAGGAAACATCATCATTTTACCCACAAATCCTTAATAAAGCTCATGGTACATGTACAAACTTTTAAAAGGATGTTTTAACATGTGAAGGTTCTGTTGTAAGTGAGAACGGTGTGGACAAGGTCAATATAACCCCTGCAAGCCTCACTCCAGCAGCCCCATATACAGCAGTTCATGTACAATCCATACCCAGTGGGACAATCAATGTCCTGGTGGAACTTGGGTCAAGAACTTGCCCAGATTGGTTCATAACTGGTGTGTGTTTTGAACAAATTTCGATATGCCATATTTTCTATACACATGGTAAATGCAAAACCTAATACTTTTTCTCTCAATATCTTAAAATTGCCATATAACATCATTATGAACACAAATGAAAACAATAACCTATTACGTGTTTCAAACACAAGATATCATGACGTACATGCTGCAGGTAAGAAGTACGGAGGATATGAAACACTTGCACCAGTCGTGTCATGAAGCAGTGGCTAGAATGATGTCCATTTTAACCAACTAGAAGCAATGTTATCGCCCTTTACAACAAAACAGGTGCTCGTGGTTAAGTGTCTCTTGAATTACCCCAATTCAACTATTGCTTGTTAGAGAACCCTTGTCAGAAGGTGCTTGTGTTAAAGCTAAGCTTGATCCCTCCCGCACTTTAACTATTGCCTGTGACAAGAAAGGTGCTTGTGTTAAAGCTAAGCTTGGTCCATCCCACTTCAAACACTATCTTAAGAGAATCCTTGTCAGAAGCCATTGTGACCAACCAATCCCTATGTTATCGCCTGCTACAACAAGACAGGTGTTTGTGGTAAAGTGAAGTTTGATCCATTCCAGATCAACTATAGCCTATGAGAACATCCAAGTCAGCAGCCATTTTGACCAACTACTCCCTATTTCATCCCATATGACAAGACAGGTGCTTGTTGTGCAGCTAGACCCTGATACACCGCAAAACCCATGTCAGCAGCCATTTTGACCAACCAATCCCTGTTTTATCGCCTGTAACAACAAGACAGGTGCTTGTTCCACTTATATCCTGCTACACCCATCAGCAGCCATTTTGACCAACCAATCCCTGTGTTATCGCCTGTCAGCAGCTGTAAGGCCGTGTGACACACTCATTACGATTGTTAGTCACACAAGCAGAAAAAACAAGGACATTGAAGCACGGACAGTGTTTATTTATTTCTATATGACAATACACAAATTAATACTCAGCTCAATAGTCAGAAAAATAATTCAAAAGTAATAATGAACAACTGCTTACAAACTTTTATATGAAAACTGACGAACCGCATAATTTACAAACAAGATAAAGTTGAAATCTAGTTCAAATACTTTTAAGTGGGATATCAATTAGAGACATATTTTAGGCAAATCGTAACTTAATTGCATAATTATTTTGTAAAAAAAGGTATTCTCAAGCAGTGATGAATGTTATTTCTAAATGAAACTGAATCACAATGGCCAACATAACACGACATATCTCTACACCAATGATATGTATGATATTCTGTAGACAACTATATATGTTATTCCAGTCAGCTCCAAATATATAATACAAAACCACAAGTTTACTGAACACAGGAATATCAATATTTTAAATATGGACAAATATAAGCAAACTTTAACACTTACATTCTTGGGTGGTTCATACACAATAAAAATATTTTTGGATGATTTTTTAGATAACGCACGAACCATGCAAACACCAACTAAAGCTGATGCAACGCATGCTCTACTTGAAACTGAAATGTTTCTATCCAAACAACCTGCCGGCAATTTGAATTTAATTTTAAAATATGCACTACAAAATATTTTGAAAATAAAATATATCTATTTCAATGAAATTTTTTATACTTCTTGGTTATGATTTCCAAAATATTACGCGATGGAAGGGCTGAAACCAATTTCTGGATCCGAACTCAAAATGATGGTCACTAAGCTTTAAAATTTAGCCTGTTCTCCAAAGAGATTTGTCACAACTGTGAGTAAACGCTTCAGTTACTGGAACATAGTATGTGACTGCCCTCTGTTAAACAGTGCAGCTTTGTTACATAAATTCTGAGTCTCTAGGCTAGTTGTTATGTCCAACTATGTGCTCTAACACCATGCAATCCTCAGCTCCAGTACATTTTAACAACCAATGAAAAGGCAGCATCACTGATTTCAGCCAATGATGTTCACTGATATGAAGGAAGACAACCATTCATAAAGGGGGGGTAACTCTAATGTACAATGCTAAGGGGAGATTACTCTACGGGTGCTGAACTGGCAAACAAGTGCAGTTAATCATTTAACAAAGATTCAAGGCACTTTTGAATATTTCTTTGGTATAGGTTATAGACAAATGATGTTAATGATTCTGATCTAGATGATGAACCAGGTAGCATACACAACAAAGACAGGTCTATCCCACACACAGATACTGAAGTGCAGCAGCCGGCTGACCAGTGTACGGACAGCCGGCGGCGACGCACACGCACTTCATGCGAACAAAGAACGTAAAAACCTGACATCGGCAGAGTCAATAACTCTTGACCTCTGAAACAACCACGGAAAGGAAAAATGAACATCAACAGAGAGAGGAAACTGAAAGTAAAGTCTTACAGAACCCTACCTAGCACAGATTTAACAAGGGTTTAAACGTTTCATGTTTCCAGATTGAATAAGCAAGTTTGTAAGCAGTTTTATCATGAATACAAAAACTAAAATAATAAAACAGTATATTAAGAATCAGAGCTACAGACCTTGGAAGGATACTGTGTGAATGAAAGGATTTCAGAGTGTTGCTGTCCTAAAACCCGGACTTACATCGATCTCAAAATGTTTACTAGGTCCTGAATTATCAACGATAAACCGTCAGGTTTTTATTCGTGATGTATATCCTTCTGGCTTGGTACGAAAGAATGGAATTGATTCCGGACAACTTTACTGAAAGAGACTTTATGAACAGAGTGTTATGGTTGACGATGTGTTTCAATAATCACATTTGGTTTTTCTGTTCTGTGAGATCAATACACCTTGGTCTCATAAATTGCTATCTCTTACTACTTGCAAAATATGATCCTGACATGTCTGAAGCAAGGTGTACAAATACTGGGTTATAAATCAATTTCTTCAAACGTGACACTCTCGGCCTGGAATAGGATACTGTCAATCTCCCGGCAATATATTTTCATGATTTCTTTTAAGTGAGTTCTAAAAACTTCCACTGCACACTAGTCCAGACTTTCAATTTATCACATGTGTAGATACACCTGTCCTGATCTAACTATGATATGATAGGCAGAAAGAGACTCCTGCTGCAACTACTGGTAGAAGAAACAGACCGTCATTTCAAAACTTCTTGTTGCAACACTCCTAACCATGATCTGAAACCCCCATTCACAGAGCGTCCTTCCCAAGGTGTTCTAGACTGAGTTAGCAGAGAGGTGGCATGAGCATCAGCTGGGCTACAGTTAGAAACTAGGTCACACAAACCTACACAGCTGCGACACAACTCCTCGGTTGCGTCAAACACAAGGACCCAACACACAACACTGGTCTTGGTGGCTAACATGGGACAAAAAGGTCCTCTTTTGTGTCAAACACAAACACACTTTTCATCTGTGTCTAACACAAGCACCCGACACAAAACACTGAACTGTTAAGTTGAGTTTCACGCAGGGACACAAGAACCCACACTCAGGGCCCGACTAGCTAGTGCAGTTGTACAGACTGGTCAATAAATGGCACGTGACTTGATACTCTCATAGTTCAATTACAGGTTGTAATGGATTTGGCTTCAAGTAAAGAATGGAATTTCAAGATCAGTGTTACAGTGTTCGATGTCAGTCAACAACTATTACGAGAGATAAGACATTCCATCTTTCAAACTGATCGCTAACACTCTTGACTTGATCTGATGAACAAACTCATCTTGTAAATCTTACTTTTCACATTGCTGACAAAGGTCTCTGTCCACAGAGTTACCCCCCCTTCAGAGATCACTTAAAAGTTATCTCCCCCTTTTAAATCCCTAAAAGGTTACCTCCCCCTTCAGAAACCACATAACAGTTATCTCCCCTTTCAGAAATCACATGACGGTTACCTCCCCCTTCAAAAACTACAAAACAGTTATCTCCCCATTCAGAAACCACACAACAGTTATCTCCCCATTCAGAAACCACACAAAACTACCTCCTCCTTTAAAACCCTACAACCGTTGTATCCCCTACCAACAAAGTACGTAGCCATGGTAACAATCATATATATTACTCAAAACAAATCACAACCAGTCAACAAATTGTCTTGCAAGTTCTAAAAGAAGACAGCTTTATCCCATTCTGAACAAAATGAAAAACATAACAGTGTCCCTTAATACAACAGAGTTGTCTCCCCTTCCACAACAGTTATCTCCCTTCCCACAACTACAAATCCGTCACAAGTGATATCAGTTGCTGTTTGTTTAATGGTTTGCTCAACACAAACCAGCAATGTCCTCCTATAAGACAGCATCTGATTGAACACTAGCACTGAGTGTCTGGACAATCTATCAGCTGACTCTATAAGAATTTGGGATATGATGACATGCATGAAACAAGTTACCAATCCAGACCACGATAGTATGATGGATATCGAATCTAAACCAGGATCAAAACCTTTACCAGTGAACAGAAACCTTACAACTTCTCTTGTAGTCAGTGACACTTGTCACTACACACAGACTGACATACCTCACCTTGTGTGGACCAGGGGTGGAAATACCTTTAAAATTGCTAGTGTACTCCGGAACAGTGGCACATGTAAAATCACTTGCCCTGATAATTTTTCCACTATACCGGCCGTTTTCTTGTTGATTTTTTAAAAAAAACAACATAATTAACATTGGAAAGTCAACTGGACACGGGTACAGTGATATACAAATTTGCTTGCCCGACAGAAAAAAACACTGGGCTCGGACGTCGGGCAATGGGTTAATTCCATCCCTGTGGACTGACAGTAGTTCACTGTGATTAGATGAACGGACATCCCAAATATATTTACCATACAACCTAAGACATGTTAAAGGTTGAGCCCTAGTTTCCACCCCTCCCTGTTATACCACATTCAGCACTGACCTCGAGTCTGACCCAAACCTAGTCCAGTCGACTAGGCTAGTCCACAGCTATGCTAGTGGGTGAAACAAGGCTAGTACACTAGCCCCCGACTAGTCAGGGTACTTGTGATGGAGCTGATGTTAGCAGTGGGCCATGCGGGTTAGACACACAAACAATACCCAGCACCTACCTTTGCCGAGTCTTTCAGGTGAAGCATGGCGGGGTCGTTGACACTCTTCCCCGAAGCGTTCTTGGTCGCGCTGATGAGGTCGGACAATGCGGAGGCGACGTCCTTGACGGCATTGATCAGGAGAACCTGTGGGTAGATACTGACATGGTCAAAACAGGAGGTAAGTGAAGCGTATAAGAAACTCACTGAAGTTGATGATATTACTATGCAATATATTATCTTATACATTAGGTAAGGAGGAATACCTAAGACTGGTTGTGTTTGGGAGAGTTGGTTTGGGGAGGGGGTACTGAAGCAGGGAACATGAAGGAAAAATGTTCTAAATTTTGTTTCCACTAAGTGAAGGGAGCAGTGAGCAGTAGATGCAAACTGTAACTGTTCTAATATGGAGAGACCATAATAGATCTTGATATTTTCCCCAGTCACTTGATCAGTGTGAACAAACATTTTAGTCACACCTTCCTGGGATATACAAAACAAGCTGCCTGAGAGGTGCTGGAAGTTAACAGTCAGAATTCTATCACATCCTACCTGGTACCCATATACTGCAGGGTGAAAGACACCTGCCTAAGGAGACACATGATTTTCACATCAACAAGGAGACACATGATTTTCACATCAACAAGGAGACAAATGATTTTCACATTAACAAGAACAAAGCCAAAGGCGAAGGTTATTCACCTGTGCTTCTGGCTGTTCAGACCCCAGCGAGCCGGCGCCTAGCTTCACAACATCAGCTAGTCTCGTGATGGTCTTTACGGCCGTCTGAGCCGCTGCCTCAAGCTGCTCCTGATTGGATGCAGCTCCAGCCACCAGAGTCTTTGTATCCTCAACCAGGGCCTTGGCTGTCTTCAGGATGCTCTCCCTGGAACATGGATAATGAATGGTTCAATATTTAATTTCAAAGGAAGTGTTCCTGTGAACAGCCATAGTACACAACTGACCTGGTTCAGCAACCAGGGATGCTGCCATGACACCCACCTATGATCAGCAAAGGACTCGGAGCCATCAGCATTAAGGGTTCCGGCTGTAGCAAACATGATGGTGGTGTCGAGGTCACCGATGATGCCGCTGACGGTGCTGGCTGCGTTGATGCAGGCCTGTGTGCCCCGAGAACCAGCCTGGAGGGATGCCAGGACGAAGGAGACCTAAGACAGAAGGACAAAGTCAGACTTGGGGAGACGGAACAAGTCTGTAAAGACTTTCAGACAGAGGCCCACGGTTGTGAAGACCCACTTCTTACTTTCATACAAAGGCCCAAGGTAGAATTAACCATCCCTGAGACCCGCGAAGATCCGGTTCAAATTGATCTTCGGCAACCCATGCATGTCATAAGAGGCGAATAATGGTATAGGTTGATCAGGCTCGTTGACTTGGTTGACACATGTCATTGTATCCCAATTATGTAGATCGGTGCTCATGCTGTTGATCACCGGGCCGGCGGGGTCTAGACTTGGTTATTTACAGACCGCCGCCATATAGCTGGAATACTGCTGAGTGTAGCGTAAAAATAACCTCACTCACTCAGTCATCTCTGACACCCAGATTGAGACACGTCCACCTAGCTGTGTAACTGTGAGGACACCTACCTTCTCGGAGATGCTCTTGGCGTGTTCCGACAGGTCCTTCCTGGCGTAGGAGTCGGTGGGGTTGGCTTGGAGGTTGCCGGCGTCCTGCACCACCTCCACACAGCTGCGTCCGAGGTCCTGCACGGCGGTCCGGATACGGTTGCCGATCTACAGTTGATATAAGTTACTGTTACCAGTGTATTCAATTTCATTTGAAATACAATGGGCCTTGTCAAAACTTTCATTTGAATAGAACAATAGAACTATAGTGAGCTACATCACAGGACAACTATGAACTAGAACACTGCTTACGTCAAGGTTGTTGGTGGCAGCGGCAGCCCCCCGGGAGTTGTTAGATAGCTGGCTGTAGTCGCGGGTCAACAGGTTGGCCAGCTGACCCAGGTCCTGGACATTGGTGGAGGACTTGCCGATCTGAAGCACAAAACTCAAGGCTATAGCAAGGAGACGTTTCAAGGGTGTAAAGACTATTCTTTCTCTAATTGGCTCATGCTGAACGATGTTGCATGAAACAATTTAAGACATTAAATAATCCTTTAACAATAGTATCTCATCACACTGACTCATGAAATGTAATTTTTAGATTAAAATTGATATTTTATACTTATCCTGACTCATGCTTAATTGCTCGTCTCTTTCTTCTTGCGAATGATAGAGGAACACTGGAATCCCCTTTCGAAGCTCCTTTCAAAAAAGCGGATGTAAAATCACTCACCCAGTGTTATCGCCCTTGTGACTCTTTTGGCGGGAAAATGCGTCACATGATCAGATATGCCCCTCACTCTCTCCTGAATATGCGCCCGACACCTGGATTACAGGGAATCCGGAGTGCCACGAGGGTAGGCTTAAAGGATATAACGCCGTATAGGGGACCCAGGCGCTCTCACAACCGTCCTCAATGGCGAAGAAGGAGAGAGTGAGGGGCATTTTCAGACACGTGACGTGGTCTTCCCGCCTAAAGAGTCACAAGGGAGATAACACTGGGTGAGTGATTTTACGTCCGCTTTTTTGAAGGGAGCTTCAAAAGGGGATTCAATTGTTCCACTATAATTTGCAAGAAGAAAGAGATAAGCAATTAAGCATAAGGATAAGGAAAAATAAGGATCTTTAGATGTATCTACATTGGTTCCACAAACTCAAGAAGGTCCTGTCAATATCCTGCAACTCAAGGATCTCTTGGAGCACAAAGAATGCATGAATATTTCTACCACATAGAATCAAGAATCTCATGAAGCTCCTGAGAGATTAGCTGTTTTTCGATGACCTACATTCAGGAGCATCAAGGTCGTTTTGGAGATCTAATATTCTCTAAAAGCTAAGAGCGAAGTATCTCTAGTAACTCCAAGAGCTCCTGAGGGTCTGCAGGAGGGTGTCCTGCGGGTCTGTTCTCACCATGTCCTATGCGGATCTGGCGATCTGTTTACAGAGGCGCACCATGTTGGTCTGATAGTCCACGAACGATGTTCCCTCCGTGGCAATAATTTCATCAGTCTGAAACAACAACAGCTCAAGTTTAACTACCGCACACCATCATCCATTATCCAGTATTTATAAAGCGCCTAATATCCACCATAGAGATGCTCAGTGGTGCTGTGAAGGAGTGAGTGAGTGAGTGAGTATGGTTTAACGCCGCTTTTAGCAATATTCCAGCAATATCACGGAGGGGGACACCAGAAATGGGCTTCACACATTGTACCCATGTGGGGAATCGAACCCGGGTCTTCGGCGTGACGAGCGAACGCTTTAACCACAAGGCTACCCCATCACCCCCAGTGGTGCTGTGACAATATTGGGGAAGGAAATAGTTCATAGAACTTTTACAGAAAGGCAGCAGTGAATAGATAGGTCTTTAGCAGATATTTCAAAGTTTCTTTCGATGAAGTGTTCCTGATTTCGTTTGGAAGAGAGTTCCACAGCTGAGGGCTGGCAAAGGAGAAGGCTCGGTCAGACAGTTGGCTTGGAGAGTAATATTCAGTAATCAATCAAGTCTTTACCTGATAATCCATTGATTCGTATTGTAAACAACAATCAACAATGTCATGATGACCTTATTAACCAAGGAACTGAGTGTAAGCAACCAATCTTTTCGGTCACCTCTTACAACCAGCCCAGGTTCATTGTGACCGATTCTAACCCAGAATCACCTTGGTGATGAAGTCCCATGAATCCACATAAGGCAGAAACTACACCAACACCTACCCGTGCCATGGACTTGCTGATGCTGTCGATCATGCTGCTGACGGCGCCAGATTGGGAGGCGGCCTCCTCGATGGTCTGCAGCAGGTCTTGAAGGACATCCTTCATGTCCTCCGCCGCTCCGTCCACGTTGCCATGGGCCTGCATTGCCTGCAACATCAGACAATAAATACACATATTTCCTGTAACACAACGTTCAAAACCATCAGCTCATTATAACATGGTTACTGTTTTACTTTGGGAACCCAAGAAATCAGCTTCATACACTGTCCCCATGTTGGGATTAAAACCCAGGCCTTTGGTGTAACAAGCAAACGCTTAAACCACTGGGCTACCCAACCACTCCCTATCCACTACACCATGAAGGCAGCCAATGAACGCATCAAGGGCCTGCTCTACCACTAGCACAGTAACGATTGGTGTTCAACGTATCAATGAGGTTACAGTATCTTGCTCTGTCTCTGGTTTAGCGCAGCACTTAGCAATATTCCAGCCAAATGGCAGCAGTCTGAAAACTATCAAGTCAGGACCAGACAATCCAGTAATCAAAAGAGTGATATGTGTCAAAGTCTGAAAACCTGATGCCACTGGACACCACTTACGACAAGCATGAGTTGCTGAAGACCAATCCTAACCCGTATCTTCACAGGTCCAATGTATCCATGAGGTTACAGTATATTCTTGAATAAGCTTCTATTGCTATGGCTATTTGTCCAACCCACCGGACTAGGGCTGCACAATATAACCGGTTTACCAGTATTGACCGGTTCAGACATGAAAACAATACGTATTGCGATATGCTGATCGAAAACCAGTAATTTGACTTGCATTCGGAAAACTTCGTAACACTCGGAAATCTTCGGATATTTCCTTGTTTCATTAGTGCGAAATATTATTCACATTTTTATTTTATCATGAATAAAAGCTGTTATTAAAGCTTAATCAAGCATAGTGATTCTGTTGTGGTTTTGCTCTATAAATCAAGCATCACTCAATTATACATAGGTTTTTGTTTAAAAATACTTCATGCAATATATTGCAATATGAAACTTCTCTGCAATACCCACCCCTACCCCAGATACCCTTCACAGCTTCGCCACGTACCTTTGGATTTCCACCACTCTCCTTACAAGCGTAGAGGAACTGAAGTGCTGACTCGGCAACTGTCTTGGAAAGGTCAAGGACATTCATCTGTTGTTTGGAGTTGAGTGTTCTGGAGGCTGTCCCGATGGCCCCATCAGCCAGAGGCTCAAAGTAGGAGGACATGGTGTTGATCTGTGACACAGAGAACAAAGTTCTTCGATTTTTTATCAAAACATGTCTGCATACAGCAGATCCCATTCAATGAAGTGAACTTGCTTCTACAACAACTTTATGTCCATGTTATAACTTGACTGACTGACTGAGTATGGTTTTACTCCGTTTTTAGCAATATTCCAGCAATATCACGGCGGGGGACACCAGAAATGGGCTTCACACATTGTGCCCATGTGGGGAATCAAACCCCGGGCCTTCGGCGTGACGAGCAAACGCTTTAACCACTAGGCTACCCCGCCGCCCTGTTATAACTTGAGAGTACAACCAGCAAAGGTATGAGATTACCTCACGGCATTGGACACCGTACGTCTAAAATGCAGCTATAGTCAGTTTGGACTTAAAATTATTCACTTCTGTGTTCAGGTAATGGTGAATATTTCATAACTAATGTTATCTTGTAAGTCTTTAGCCACATCACAGAACTCTTTCCACCCCTGGCTACTCGCCTATAGTTAACACAGCTAAATCACAGAACACTTTCCACCCCTGGCTACTCGCCTATAGTCAACACAGCCACATCACAGAACACTTTCCACCCCTGGCTACTCGCCTATAGTTAACACAGCTAAGTCATTTCCATGGCGATATTAAACAAGTGTTCACGAATAGCATCTGACCCTCTGACAAATCTGCCAGATTCGCCAACGGTCTGATAGAAGTCTACAACAAGCACTAGGTGTTATACAGTACCCCACCCCCACCCACGTGAAGTCTACAGACCAGAGCTTATCATTACAATCAATACGAATCAATTACTGATCTCCAATTATTGATCAGCATATTGTGAGCGATAAACAACACTGTGAAGCGTACTGACCAGGTGTCCGAGGTTTTCTGGTTTGCACTTGGCAGCCCGCTGGATGGCCTCGATGGTGTCGAGGATTTCGCGGCCACTGTTGATCATCTGCTCTTGGAAGGCCTTGAGAGTTTTGTCATTACGCTGACCCAGGTTCTGGCTGATGGCAGCCAGTGACGCCTGGTCGAGATCGCGGATCGTGTGGTTCAGCTTCTCAATGGCGATGTCGCATTCCTTTTGACCAGGGGCAGTGTCCCTGTGGGTGGAAGTGAGTGAGTGAGTTTAGTTTTACGCCGTTTTAGGAATATTCCAGCAATATTATGGTGGTGGACACCAGAAAGGGACTTCACACATTATACCCATGAGGGGAATCGAAACCGAGTCTTCAGCGTGACGAGCGAACGCTCTGTGGGTGGTAGACGTGGTGTGAAGATTATCAGTACACACAATACACAGAGCAATTGAGTGAGTGAGTGAGTTAAAGTTTTACGTCCCATCAGCATTTATTCAGCCACGTAGCATATAGCTGGATCATTGCTGAGTGTTGTGTTAAACAAACAAACATACAATGTAGAGAATCATTTGACGATCTATACAAATGGGATATTATGCAGCTAACCTGATCACCCAATCAAGGTCATCAAGACAAGCTTGGGTTGCTTACTACAAATTTTGAGGAGTGAGTTCAGTTTTACGCTGGTTTTGGCAATATTCCAGCAGTATCACGGCAGGGGACATCAGTTATTGGCTCCACACATTGTGCCCATGTGGGGAATCGAACTCGGGTCTTCAGCGTAGCGAGCGAACGCTTTAACCACTAGGCAACCCTACATTCCCTATAAATTTCGAAGACCCGTGAAGGTCCGGGTTAGAATATTGATCTTCAGTAACCCATGCTCGTTGTAAGAGGCGACTAACGGGATCGGATGGTCAGGCTCATTGACTTGGTTGACAAATGTCATCGGTTCCCAATTGCGTAGATCCATGCTTATGTTGTTGATCACTGGATCGTCTGGTCCAGACTCGATTATTTACAGAACGCCGTCATATAGCTGGAATATTGCTGAGTGCGGCATACAAAACTCACTCACTCACTACAAATTTCAAAGCTGGACCTTTTGTCAAGTGCGACTGGAAACTTACTTGATGGCGGACACGAGCCTCTTGATGGCATCCGACACGCTCTTGGAGTGGTTGGAGTACAGCTGATATGTTGGGGGGTCGCGGGGGTTGATGGCCAGCTGCTTGGCAGCCTGCAGCATGTTACACGCCCCGTCTATCATCGCCTTGCCCGACATTGTGATTGGCTCCTGGGCACGACGTGCCTGCAACATTCACACACAGTTCACTAGCAAGTCACTACATACCAGATCTCAAACACACATAAATCTGCAAGTCTAAATATATTTCAAGGACTTGTGACATCTCCTTGTGGTATTCCACATTCACCATTAAATAGAAGGCATCTCTGTAACAGACTATTTATGTAGAAAAAGTGGAAATTCAAATATTTGTCTACATATTTTATACAGTTCCATGATGTCATTACATGGATCTTAAAAACTTGGGAGGAAGGGGGAGCATTTAAAAATTTCATCTTGTGACAAATACTATTACTACAAAGTCCAAGAAGCAGTGAATTTTTCATTTGAATATTGGTTATCTGTCATGACTGGTAGGTAATACAACACATGGTCTTCCAATTGTCGTGTTCCTTAACTTGTTTTGAACAGTATATGTTCTCAGTACAGCATCTCTCGAAGCTCCGAGCAACCATATATTTCATGCACTGTGTCTACTTTAAACAACGGCAGCATTTAAGCCATTTTATAAATTATCATGACAAACTTTTAAAGAAACAATCTTGGTTGAAAGATGATAAGGACTGTCATGTCTGGGTACCTGGTGGCTGATCTTGGCAGGTTTACTGGCGAACTCGGGTGACGAGGCAAAGGTGGTGAGTTCCTCCACAGCATTGATGAGAGGCCGGGATGCTTCTGCACACTGCTGCCGATTTGCATCTGTGAAGTCACTGTCCAACGCCTGCACAAACACACAGTTAAACAGTTATATTGCCCTGCACAAACACACAGTTAAACAGCTATATTGCCCTGCACAAACACACAGTTAAACAGCTATATTGCCCTGCACAAACACACAGATAAACAGCAATATCGCCTCGCACAAACAGGTCAGATCACTATACTGGTGTAGTGACCTCAAGCTCTTACAATCTGTGACCTCTGTCTACAATCTGTGACCTCTGTCTACAATCTGTGACCTCTGTCTGCAATCTGTGCCCTCTGTATGCAATCTGTGCCCTCTAGCTACAATATGTGCCCCCTGTCTACAATGTGTGCCCCCTGTCTACAATCTGTGCCCCTGTCTACAATCTGTGCCCCCTGTCTACAATCTGTGCCCCCTGTCTACAATCTGTGCCCTCTGTCTAAAATCTGTCACCCTGTCTATAATCTGTGACCCCCGTCTACAATCTGTAACCTTTGTCTACAATCTCTGACCTCTGCAGTCTGTGACTTGTCCACATTCTCTGACCTCTGTGGGCAATCTCACCTTGATGGCCTTGACTAGCATGGCCGTGCTGTTAGCGACATCCTTGGCACTCTGTACAAAATGTCTCTTGGCAACAGGGTTGGTTGTCTTGGAAGAGGCTAGCCTGCAGGCGTTACACAGCTCGGACGTGTGCTTGGCGACGACAGTAGCAGCAGACAGCACCTGCAATTGTACATCATCACATCATGACATGCATCAACACGTTGCCTCAGTGCTAAGAGCAGGTTTACTTTAAGTCAGTATTACAAAATACTTAGTGTCATGCAGCAGATTTAGAATTAGTTACACACTGATGGTGACACTTCAGTTTAAGTTGATTTAGATGAGATTTCAGCTGAAACGTGCTCGCACCTTCGCCAACACACAAAATTGCCCCAACAGAAGAAAAACATGAAATTGTCACAAGAAGAAATGTGCCAAAACGCTCAAACTGAAAGTGCAGATAAAGCAACAGTGAAATTTCAGAATTTATGAGAACCAATTTACAAGAAGAGCATTACCAATAAGTCTCCCCAAAGGAGATATTTGAGAATGTTTTAGATTTGCAACAATGCAAGGTGACCAAATCGACAGAGCTGAACACAGACTGGACATAGCCACAGAGAAAGCTGACATAAAATCAAATTTACAATTTTATATTTAAAACTTAAATGCTCTTGCAGAACTGAAGCTGAGTATGTCCCGATGAGGACAGGGTGTGGTCATGCAGTCTGGGGTGGATGGTAGGTGGGAGTGTCTATGGGGGGTAGGCGAAGGGGGGGCAGGGTCACATGTCGGGATGCTGCGTAACATAAGCAACAAAGACTAAACTGAAACTGACAACACAAATTTCAACTCGGAGATATACAATGCTTGATGTTCAGCACCAATTAATAACCATTTGGTGCAGAAGATGATCTATTTACTGTGTCAACTGTATGTGGGTTGGTCAGAATTATACTTTTTGTTTTGTGCATAAACTAGCATGAGGTATTTTCAACGACCAACCTAAGAAATGTTTTATAGAACTTTACGACACATTTGACAATAAAATGTATTTGAAAAGAGTTCCTGACACGTACACTGACAGAACATACGGACACGTACACAGCGCTGGTCGAGGGTGAATGGGAGGCATGGTGTAAACAACAGGAGTCTGACATTATCATGTACACTGTAGCTTGACCCTCGTCTTCTGGGCAGCCACCCAGTCAAAGACTGGTTCAGCAGCCATTACAGGCACGGAACACTGGGCTCCATTGTGTCAGGGACTCTCTGTCCTTGAATCTGCATTGTAGCCAAGCGTGGGGTATTGACGCATGGGGTATTGGAGAACCTATTCTGCCCAGGAATCTGCAGGGGGTGGACAAGCATTGGGTAATGGGGACCTATTCTGCCCTAGAATTTGCACAGGAGATAAGCGTGGAGTATTGGCGCCCTATTCTGCATTAGAATCTAGGCGGGGGCTAAGCGTTGGGTACTGGGGACCTATTCTACCCTGTAATCCATATTTAGGGCAAGCATGGGACCTAGTTTGAGTTTGAATCGGGAGACGAAAACAGGTTACTATGGACACATTCTGCCCTAGAATCTGCACAGAGACATAGGTCTAGTTTACCCTAGAATCCCAACGAGGTCCACCTGGAAGATCCTTACAAGGACCTTGAAGATTTGGGTATAATACTGGGGAGTTATGATCAGCTTCCAAAGGAAACTGACCGAACTGATCCTCTGGATGGGGTGGGGGTTGGCAGGGGGCAGGACGGCATTGTGAATGCGAGCAAGTTTTGCGGATTCCACCTCCAGGGGCAAAGTTTAAAGCCAATTGAGAAGTGTGCAACCAATGAACATTCTGTGTAGTGTTACCTGCTCTCTGGATGGGAGGCGCACAACAGCCTGAAGAGATCAGGAGATTCACGGTAACCATGGTAACTCGTTCAAAAAATACATGTTGGTTTGTTTGTTGTTGCAGCACTCAGCAATATTCCAGCTATATGACAGCAAACTATTCCATGCTGGACCAGACAATTCAGTGATTGATATAATGAGCATCGAACCTCTGGTAGGGTACGATGACATGAAGTCAACCACGCCTGACAACCAGATACATTTTGTCAACTCTTACAATAAGCAGATGTTCCTGGGGCCGGAATCCCCATGGGAGCATTCAAACAATGCAGACATCAAAACAATTACGAGAATGATGGATGTTATCTATACAATTCATGGTTGAATTGTTACCATGGTAACATGGACTTGTGAATTAGGAACGGCAAACAGAACCAGAAACACCAGACATTATTGAGAATTAGATGGAAGCAAAAGCTTTGAGATTATTCTTTGTTTTGGTCTCACAGAACGCTTCCTCCAATGCTACAAAACTACTGCCATTGATGCCAGGGATACCATACTGTTGTTGACTGTTTTCCTCCAGTATTAATCTGGGGCTCAAATCCAAGAGAGTGGAAGGGTGTCGACTCTTCTAATACAGGAATGTTTCAAATTTTAAGACTCAATCTAATATACTAGTAGACATCTGTAATGCTATTAACCGACATTATTGATCTACATTAGTCTGACTTGAGTGCATTACTGGGAATATGGGAATAAATTATTTGTCTACATTAGTCTGACTTGAGTGCATTACTGGGAATACATTATTTGTCTACATTAGTCTGACTTGAGTGCATTACTGGGAATACATTATTTGTCCACATTAGTCCGACTTGAGTGCATTACTGGGAATACATTATTTGTCCACTTTCTTCTGTTTTGATGAGATTACTGTCAGGACATTACTGAGAGTACATTCTTCAAGGCAGAGACATTACTTTGGACATCTGCATATTCTCAATAATGTCTGGCAATACAGCATTACTGAGTTTGAGTAACACTGCAAATAATGATTTCCACAACATGTATGTTAATTCATGTGTATCATTGATATAAAAATGCATTAACACACTTCAGGTGCATGATATCGAGCTGTACAGGAGTTACCTCCCCTTATTCTGCTATCTATGGCCACACGACATTGATCATTTGATTGTCAATATTGACAATGATCACACGTGAAGTTATAAAATCAAGGTTACTCCCATTATAGAGTTTATCTCCGAAAGAAAAACAGCAAATTAATGACATACAACAGTATTAGTAGTCTTTTAAATAATAAGAGTTGAGTTAAAAGATTTTCAATATAACCCAGATTATCTCCCCTTCCTAACGAAAAGCAAAAACAAACAAACACAGCTATTGATGAAGTAAATACACAAAAACTTAACATATGTTTAAGGGCTCCCTCATTGCTAATAACCAGCGGCACATTTCAAAAAGATGCTGTACCTCTACAGCTGCTAAAGAGATTAAAGCCTAAAATGTCATAGTTACGAGATCGTTGAAATATGGCCTGCGATTATCTAACATTATTCAACAATTGTTTGAAGAAAAAGCTATAAAAATTTAAGATCAGTAGATTTTAGTCAGGTTACACAGAGTACCATTTTTCACCATATTTAAAAAAGTAACAACTTATAATGTATTAAACGACTACTGGGAGATACTAGCTACTGGAAAACTGCTAACATTTACAATAGTCACAGAAGGCCTCAGGTGATAGAAGACAACATAATACAGCTAGGGTGTGTATACAGTATACATATGTACAGATAACAGATACAAAATATTAGCAATTATAAAACCAGTGTTTATGAAAAGCCTTTATATCGTACACGACCTACGAACTTAAACAGCAACTGAGACGACATTAGGATAATGCACATCTAAAATTAAAAAAAAGTTGTGCACAATATGCACGAGTAATCAACCGAGGGTGATTACTATGTGGCACGCAGTACGTCACGATGTCCGCAGGCTGGCCCGGCGTGAGTGAGTGAGTGAGTTTAGATTTACGCCACACTCAGCAATATTCCAGCTATAAAGCAGCGGTCTGTAAATAATCGAGTCTGGACCAGACAATCCAGTGATCAACAGCATGAGCATAGATCTACGCAATTGGGATACAATGACATGTGTCAACCAAGTCAGCAAGCCTGACCATTCGATCACGTTAAGTCACCTCTTACGATAAGCATGAGTTACTGAAGATCAATTCTAACTTCATGGGTCTGGCCAGGCGGGATGCTAGAGAGTAGCCTGAAGTAAGTATTTGTCTACTAACCATCACAATACACACTGGATCCCTTGTACAATGGGGGTACTCAGATTACTTGTATTTGTACCATTTTGATAATTCTTGCATTAATTTCAAAACTACCGACATTATATTTTTGAGGTACACACATAAATTCTTACCTTTTGTGTATCACTTGTAAAAATTTTACAATGCTACATTTAGGAACAAACCTCTGACTGCGCGCTTCTGAAGCTATCAAATTAAATCGCTAAACTTCCACTGCAGATTTCAGTCTGGTCTCTACACCACAGATCTACCATTACAGACCAAGCTATTTACACCAAGTGTAGTCCTTCCTTAGTCGATTACAGCGCGATCTCTACATCACAGACTTGTGTTGGTAATTGGTTGAAATCTCACAATTGATGATTGGTTAATTACCAACGAGCAATCATTGAAAAAAATTGGTTAGCATCATTTTTCAGATTTTCCTATAAAGTATAAAGTATAAAGAAAAAGCAACTTGTGGTTCTCTGCTGTTGTTTTTTGTTCTATTTATACATTTGTGAATTTCACATCCAGTGTATATGATGATGAAGTGAAGTGAGTATTCTAAGAATTAAACACATTTTCAGACTCCGACAACTTCTAAGATATGTTCCATCGTCAAGTGTTTCAAACACTAAACAGTAGTTCCAAAATCATTGGTGTTCGATTATGAGAAAATGTGATCGACTGCTTGGTTGTTTGGTCAATGCGACCAATCTTCGATTATTTCAATTATTTGGAACACCACTATCACAGACAATGCTATTTCTGGAAAATGGCGTCCCTGAACTTTCCCTGCAGACTACACTTAGTGTGGTTTCTATCTCCAATGTTGTGTGGTGGCCGGACCAGCCTTGTGTAAGCATGCATAAGACAAGAAACAACTGAAGACTGTGGGCGGAACTGACAGAAGCGATTGATGGTCGATGACCTCGGCGGACATGATGTGTCGGGCAAAATGGATGCCAGCTTACCATTGATCTTACAGCCCATGACTCGTAGTACTTCACAAAACAAAAAGTTACCAGGTTACTGTTAAACAAACGTATAACGAGCAGTCTCATTGGCTGAGTCGACTCAAGAGACCACAGTCCTCATTGGTTCAAATCGGAAAATACTGCAAATAATTCTCAAATATATTTAGAAAAAATCTGAACCAATCAGCACTGACTTAACATCTGAGTTGACCCGCTCGACCAATGAAAACAGTTATTATATTATTGAGGTTATGTCAATTATACAGATTAACACAGGTGGTAAGTATAGGTCTATAACACATACCTGCGCTTGAACATTCACCTAGGTCAAAGGTCAAAGTGGAAAGTTCACACCATGCAGTTTCGTTACAAGATAGCAGGTTTCCTCTTAAAACTACCTGCCACTGATTAAGCATTAACACTATGCATACTGCCACTTAAAAACTTGCTCAAAATAAAAATTAATTCTAATTTTTTTTAAAATAGACAAATTATTAAAAAAGACTATTGTTTCAATGACTATGCATACTGTTACTTAGTAACTTGCTCAAAATAAAATTTCATTCTTAATTTTTTTTTGAATATACAAATTATTAAAAATTACACAACTTACACATCAATACAGACAATTATTTAGCATTGGATTTTAATTTTTAACAATTATAATGTAACAAATAACAAATAAATTACCTATTTTTAATTGTATATCATGATATTAATTGTTACTTGTAACGTGTAGGAGTATTGCGAGTGTTAGTCTCCTCTAGCAGTTTATAGAGCATACAACAGACATGCTGTAGTCGGGCATATCCGAATCATCTACACACCCAGAACATCCCCGAGGGGCTCGTCACATTGGGAATATCAACCCATGAACTGAAGGCCAAATTTTCATCAAATATTTCTCCTTACTTATAAACATGGATGGTAACAGCTATTTTCAGCTGAAAACTTAACATTGTATCATCAACTAAGGGGTTTGAATTTATCAATTTGAAAGAAAATTGTCGGAAATCCGCAGATCCGTGGATTGCCATTCCTGCATAAAAATATTAAAATGTAAAATATAATCTAAAATATATTAACTCTCTTACCAATAACTATTAACTGAAAACTCATATCAAAATTATGTCCTAGCAGATCCGCGGATTGCCATTCCTGTATAAAAATATTAAATTGTAAAATATATTCTAAAATATATTTTCCTCTCTTACCAATAACTATAAACTGTGTTCATATAAAAGTTATGTCCTAGCAGAACTGCGGATTGTGGCAGTGTAAACAAGGCAACTTAGTCATTAACGTTTCCGATGAATGACACAAAACAGGTTTATTTCTTCCACAATAACCAACCAATTCTTCACTTCATACTTATTCACTCATTCAAGAATACTTTTTTGTCCAACATAATGGAATCAAATAACAAATCAAATAACAATCACGTTATTTATATTGCTTAGGCTGTAACATTTCAGTGATATTTTTTGCAAAGAAAACGAGCAATTGTGACAATACTGCATGTACCGTAACAGGATTTTGCAAATTTACACAAACGCAGCTTGTCTACATTCCATTTTGCAGATGTGGCACTGATAACCAACAGACATGTTCCCAGTAAAACAGTCGTTGTTCACCACCACTGATGACGAGCTCACTCAGGGGATGTTCTGCTTTAACATGTTGTAGAAGTGTTGATGTTGATGTTAGAGGTGTTGATGTTGATGTTAGAGGTGTTGAGGATGAACAAGGCAAGGCAGAACATGACTACCCAAGACAAGCCTCATGCTTACTACAGAAAAAACATTACAACTTCAGAATCACAAATAAATCGGACCAATAATCACCGAAAAATGATGTTTTATCTTAAACTTAATTAATTTCTTAATTATTACAATCGTTTACTTAAAGTTTAGGCATTTTTATGTTTGTTTGGTGTTTAATGCCGCCCTCAGCAATGTTCCAGCTATATGGCAGCAGTCTTAAAATAATCGAGTCTAGACGAGACAATCCAGTGATCAACAGCATGAGTATAGATCTACACAATAGGGATACATGAATTAGTCTTGATACCCGTGTAATAATGATTATATCAGTAGAGCCATAACATCAGTTATTTAAACAACAGCATAAAATGGAAAAAAAATAATCACTTCAAAACAGGTTTTACTGATAATTGCAACAGTCTAGATAAATCCCTGCATATGTAAAGCCACCATGTTCAGTCTATCTCCCTCGATAATTTGGTGTGATTAGTGTCACGACAGACAATTTACATAGAACAATTACTGGAAATTAATGCACGTATTACTGTTGTTTCATACTTTGTTTGTTTTTGAACTTCTATTACAAACACCCATGATTATGAAAAATGATATCTCATTCAAATGAAATTCCATTCTAAAAATAAAGAAATTTTTCTTGATGATTTATAAGAGGTACCCCTGCATGGAGCTTCGAGTCCAGAGCAGTGATTTACAATTATAGCACAGCACAGCGCCACCTACCTGCTGTTGCGAGCTGGCAGGGTTGGTGAGGTTCTGACAGGCCATCTGAATGGCCTGGTTGGCCCGGGAGAATTGGGACTGGTCAACAACGCCGGGCCGGCCGGGCTCTGAGGCAGGGTCAGCGATGCCTACCAGGTAGGCAGCCTGTAACACATACATACCTGTATGTAGTAATCAGACAAACACAAACACACAGACACACAAACACACAAACACACAGAATGTTTGTTTAACACAGCAGTATTCCAGCCATAAGGCCATACAAACCAGTGGTCGATATAGTGAGCATCACACCAGAATACACTGTCACGCATTGAAGAAATGAGTGGTTTTTTTTTGTTGGTTGTTTAATGCCACACTCAGCAATATTCCAGCTATATGCCGGTGGCCTGTAAATAATCGAGTGGACCAGACAATCTAGTGATCAACAGCATGAGCATCCATTGGAATATGATGACATGTCAACCAAGTCAGTGATTCTGACCACCCAATCCCGTAAGTGGCCTCCATGACAAGCATGGGTAGCTGAAGACCAATTCTAACCCGGATCTTCACGGGTTCAAGAAGTCACTATGACTAACCATTTCTGTCTCTTTGGTCTAGCATGCGTTGCTGGGCAATAATTCTAACCAGAAAGTCACAGACATAATTATATCTTAACATGCATTTATATCATGTACCCAGACAGCATCATGACATAGTCAATGCATTCTTCTAAAATATTATCAAACTTGATTAATGACAATCTCCATTAGTTCTTGTCCTAAACCATCAAGTGATCTGATACAATAACATAACAACACAATAACTGATTGGTTTCCCACCACCAAACATTGCCATGGTATATAATGTATATAATCTTTATTCAGAACTGAAGGCCACAGGCCCATAGTACAGGTATATACAAAGTTCAAAAGCAGAGTGGGTTTCTCTTCAATATCGCATGGTATATGAACAAAGCAATATTTTCAATCAATATACGATTAGAAGTTGACAACAGTTGGATGAATTTATGTTTTGACGGTTGTTTCGTAACGTAACTGGGTATATATTTGCTTCTAATGTTTCTATAATAATGACAAATTAGCAGAACATGGTATTCATCTTCCAGGACATTCATTTTACAGTATCTGCACACAGTAGATTTCTTATGAAATTTTCCCTTATAACAACTTAAATCATAAAAAAACGGAACGAAACTGTGATAAGGCTAGTCTTACTTTCTTGATATTGATACAACGTACATATGGTTCACATAAGAAGTCTTCTTTTAACAGGGAATAAGTAAATGTACAGGGACATTGGTATATAATGTGGTATAAATGTTATAACGTACCTGTCCAGAGGCTTCTGTCAAACCACACACTGAGTTAGCGAAATTCCGCACCGAGTCACAGAACTCATCGATTTCTCCTTTCTTTGCGTGCTGCGAGATTCCTGTCATGGCTTCTCCCAGACTCTGAAACATAGAGGTAGACATCAGCTACTGACGACTATAGATCAACTATAGACCAGCTACAGATCACCAACATACAGACAGACCAGCAAAGACATACAGACATACAGATGCGTGGACACGTAGACAAATCAGATGCTTAACTCTGATACAATGAAAGATGCACCCTTATTAGTCAACTTGCGACTCAGCCAATCAACACGGGCGTCACAATTTTTTTGAATGCATAGTATTGGGAACAGCTTATCTATCATGAATGTGAACAGGCAGTTCTGAATGGAAAACGGTAATGACCAGGCTTGATGACATATCACACTCTACACTGTTTGAACTTAAACATGGACTGACTGACTGAGTTTTGGTTTTACGCCGCTTTTAGCAATATTCCAGCAACATCACGGCGGGGAACACCAGAAATGGGCTTCACACATTGTACCCATTATTATTATTTATTATTATTATTATAGGATATTTATATAGCGCACATATCCACGCATTAGTGCATGCTCAAGGCGCTGGTATTTTTTCCCTCGATCATTGGATGTCAATCTAAACGGCACATCGCATTATCAATCTCAACTCCCTGGGGAGTATACAACTCTTGCAGCCACTAGGCGCACCAAGTTATTGTGGCTTTCTCATCCTAACGAGGTACCCATTCACAGCTGGGTGGACTGGGACACATAGTCACGGTACTTTGTCCATGTTCACTGCACGTTGCTATACCCGCAACAAGATGTTTGCACGTATTCATGTGGCCACCATCTGGTCAAATACCAACGTGGGGATTCGAACCCGGTTCTTCGGCATGACGAGCCAACGCTTTAACCACTAGGCTACCCCACCGCCCCCTTAAACATGGAAGTATTGGGTTCTTGTCATACCTGTAAGGCTGAAAGTTAAAGCTTGAGGGTTAAATAGACTAAAGTAGAGTCAAACAACTGCTGTATACTCATTAACTGTTAGCGTCTCCTGTTACATTAATTTGAAGAGAATAGTTAAACAGAGGATGGAAATCAAATTTACTGGTCTTTGGTCCTTGTCAGAGCTGTAATGATGAAAGTTTAAGCTTTAGGGTTCACTGAAGTAAAATATTATCGAATAAATCTAGTATACTCAAACTGTTAGCTTCTCTTAAATCTGTTAAAGTAAATTGAAAATAAAAAGTAAATTGAGAGATGTAAATGAAATTAACTCCAGTTATACATAGTGTAAATAATCCAAGGAACCAGTGATTGACGGTGCGAGCAACAGCTTGTCGGAAGATGTCCGAGAGCTGGATCTCCCACTTAACCACCTGATCCTCGTCTTGTAAGAGTCTTCTAAAAGCCTACTGACTTTTCTACTCTGGAATCTCCAGGAATCTAATATCATTGTTAGTCTGTCCAAGAAACCTTAGCATCTACTTGCCTGAAAATCATATCATTTCAAGCTGTTGTTAATTCAAATTCTCGACTTGAGTTGTGTTTTGCGCTACTAGTAAAGTCGCACTGTTAGCTTTGCTTGCTGTCGAATGCTGCACTCAACAATATTTTAGCTGCGTCACAACAGTCTGTAAACATTTAAATCTTGACCAGACAATCCTTGACAGACTTCATGAGCATCTAAGTAGAGGAACCTCACGGCCGATCTCATTAGTCGCCACTTTTGACAAGCATGGGTAGCTGAAGACCATTTCTAACCTAGATCTTCACAAGAACGTTAGACAGGTTTGTGGTAAATTAGGAGAATGTAAGTCTAAGAACTTCAGAGTCCGATCCCATCAGTCGCCTCTTATGACAAGCATGGGTTGCCGAAAACCAGTCCTGATGTGGATCTTAGCAAGAACGTTAGACAGGCTCGTGGAAAACTAACAGCAGGCTGTTGACAGTAGAACTGTGAGTTATAAAAGCAGTCTATGTTTAAACCTACCATTACTGATTAGAATGAGTGAAACAAGGCTAGGTATATAACCCTCCTTGGAATTTCAACACTGACACAACAATGATGAAAAATTGTAATGAATAAAACATGATAAAAAGTACAAAAAATATGACACAAAACATTGACACCAGGATTAAGATGAAATGAGGAGGACTACATGAAGGAGACGGTGTAATCTAGGACAGCCATGGACAATAAACTCTTACCTCAAGATGGCCGCCTGTTGGCTGATGATGAAACAATCACAGATTCACAGATATGTAATGATGGTGGTGGAGAGTGGGATGTTGTTAGTTTGTACTGAAGTCAGCAATATTCCAGCTACATTACTTCGTTATTGTGTTATTGGACAGGGTATTATCTGGTTATTTGACAGGCAGTAAGCATGATGCACATTCGTGAATGCTGGATCAGCACGGTGACAATAATCCATAATAGGATTCAAATCTTGCAGTCATGTCACAGGAGTGAGTGAGTTTGGTTTTACGCCGCTGTTAGCAATATTCCAGCAATATCATGGCAGGGGACACCAAAAATGGGCTTCACACATTGTACCCATGTAACAGGAAGGCTTAGCTAATCAGCCAAGTGATTCCATTCAACATTAACTGCCTTGTAGTTTTTTTGTTCATTTGTTTTTAATGTCACCTGAGCATCACAGCTATGTGATGGAGAGTCGAAAACTATCAAGTCTGGACAAGACAATCCAGTGATTGACATTATGAGTGTCCATCCATGCACTTGGGGTACCATTACGATGACATGCAAGCCCAAACCCGTTGTCACCTCTTACAAGCATGGGTTGGTTATTTATTGTTTGTTGTTTAACCTTGCACTCAGCAATAGTCCAGAAATATGGCAGCTGTCTGTAAACAATCAGATCTTCACCAGATCTTTCAGTGATCAACAGCATGAGCATCGACCTTTGGGATACGACATGTGTCAACTTGACCACCCGATCTCGATATTCGCCTCTTATAACAAACATTGGTCGGTGAAGACCAACTCCAACCCGGATCTTCAAGGGTCTGGGGGTGGCTGAAGAACAATTTGAACCTTTACCAACAGATGTGTGGACATCATCTGTCTATAGGGACGTATCATGCATGATGAGATGAGTGATGGCGCACAACATAAAGCGTCACAAACACAGACACATGGCAGGGTGATCCTAAACACAACCGTCCTATCTCATGTAGGGACTGACCAGATCATGCTACGTATATAGTATGTTTGTTAACACTGCACTCAAGTATTCTACCTAAATGACAGCTGCCGTAAACAAACACAGACACATGACAGGGTGATCCTAAACACAACCGTCCTATCTCATGTAGGGACTGACCAGATCATGCTACGTATCTAGTATCTTTGCTTAACACTGCGCTCAAGTATTCTACCTGAATGACAGCTGCCGTAAACAAACAAGTTTGGGCCAGAAGATCCAATGACTGATATGGGACAAACAATAAGAAATAGGATTTGACACATTTTCTCATTGCTTCACAAAAATCCCTCAGAATTCTGCTTTTGGTATTTTTAAATATATTGTTACGAGAGTGTGTTTTTTGTAATTTGTAATAACATTGGTTAGGTGATAATAATTATGAGGCACAATGTTTAAAGTTTTGAGTGTTGGTTTTGGGTCACATTTTGAGTCATATACGTTCAATGGCAACAGTATTTTAGCGGCACGCCTTTATGATAGCGCTCCAGAATTACCTCCCTTGACCGTCATGTCGTATGTTCAACATGTTCAACATGTTTGAGAAAGATCTAAGTGGTTAATGATACAGCCATGCTGGAAAGTTCGAGAATCTGTGTCAGTATATATAAAGGCTGGCGGCTGTTGTGTGGTGTGAGGCAAAGATTGACACACGTACTAACATACGGAATTACGAGTGAAAGGAAGATTTGATTTCTGTGAACTTCTTGACAACCTCCTGATGATATGTTGAGAAGCTCACCTTTGATTTGTCCATAACTCCATCAAGGCACTCGAAATATGGGGCATCACTGATTGGCTCATTGGCATTGTCAAGGAGATTGTGCATCATCTCTATCTGCCGCAGTGCGCTGTCACACTCCTTCTGACCGGGTGCGGAGACGGTGCAGATGTTGATGAGGTGGTTGATGCTCTCTGTCACCGCCCTGCAGAGGAAGTTGTGAGATCACACACAGGGTTCGAAACAGTTAGGCGATTACATTTGATGTTGCTTTATATTCATTATATCCGACAGCTTGCAACAAATACACAGAGTTGTTGACGATGTGAACACCACAGTGGCAATGAACCAAGTTTTATCACGCATCTCACACTTCCTTTCAAAAGTTTAGAATCACTTAAAACACTCACTATATGTTATGTATATGGTTACATTGAAGATCGATTTCTCCACTAACTTCGGGGAACCAACTGCAAACCTTATGCAGATGAATTGCACGAGGATCATGCATCAAATTGCTGAAAAGCATGTGTAAATATCGTGCATTTGAACAGATGTGTTTTGGTGTAAAGTTTTGTTAAGAATTTAAGAATTTGCCAATTTGAACTGATTTTTATCATTTATTGAACTCCTGACAATAATCTTTTCAACGTTATGAATTTGTTTACAATACATCAGTTCATGTGTAAACAGTAATTTTAAACAGTATGGAATATTTTGCAAAATGTAGTTTAGAACAGAAGTAAGTTGCTGCATTTACACTAGTGAGTCTAAACTTTTGAAAGGAAGTATAGTTGCTGTTGACAGCTGGGAGGACTTGTAACAAGTTAACCCAGTGGTCGATGTTATGAACACCACAATGACACGCACAATGATGGGAATCAACCAAGTTTTGCACATATTCCCCTTTGTTGCCTCTGATGATCGATGGAAGCTGCCTGTGCTCAGTGCCCTGTGCCTATGCTAAGGATGCCTTTCACAAGTAGATACATTGTTTCTAAATGGGTGAGTGAGTGAGTATGGTTTTACGTCGCTTTTGGTAATATTCCAGCAATATCACGGGAGACACCAGAAATGGGCTTCACACATTGTATCCACGTGGAGTTTCTCAATGGGATGACCGAAGCCAGTAACACCTTACCTTGCCGCCTGAGCCAGCAGGTTCTTGGCGTTGGGGGCATTAGGGTCGGCAGACACCGACTTGGCCGCCAGCAGCAGCTTACTGGAGACCATGGACACGCTCTTCAGTCCGCCCACGATCTGGTTCTGTGTCTCCACGTCCTTGGAGAGTCCGGCCATGGTGAGTCCAGTGTCCACAAACTCCTGGTAGGAGTGTCCGTACTGGGAGGAAGACATTGCCAGCTGCTGGGGAGTGCCGCGGGATGACGTCACGATGTTGCTGGCCGCCTGGTTCAAGCCCACCGCGGCGTTGTTCATGTCGATCTGGACGTCCTGGTACGACTTGCCAGTATTGGGGAACTGCATCAATAGAGGCATTGTCAATACAATAGTTTAGGTTAGTTTCGTTTGTTCGCCACACTCAGCAATTTCCAGCGATATGGCGGCGGTCTGTAAATAATCAAATCTGGTTATCAACATCACAAGCATCGATCTATGCAATTGCGAACCGATGACATGTGTCAACCAAGTCAGTGAGCCTGACCACCCGATCCCGTTAGTCGCCTCTTATGTCAAGCAAGGGTTACTGAAGAGCCATTCTAAATGACTGAACAAAACATATTTAAAGGGATGACATTCTTTCTGTCTTTGCTGCCTACCACAGCACTCACCAGTGCCACATCTATCTGACGGCAGATGAATTAGTAAGTAGATGGAATGGAGTTTTTTAAGCAAAATTCAATTCAGAACATGTAAGGGAAATATACTGTTTTATCTTAGGTAAACAGCATCAGTGAATATGATTGTAGATGTGTAGAAAGAGCACGTTATCACTGTAGGATCTGGGACGAACCTTGGGGGAGGAGAGAGTCTGGCTGGAGGCGGTGATGTGTCTCAACGCGGCATCCACATCTCTCTGACCAGGAAGGCAGTTCACGCAGTTGTTGAGAGCATTAGATACACTCTTAGACACCTGGGGAGCAAAACACCAAAGTTACACGGCTGGACGGAATATGCTTGTTTACAACACTGTAGTAAATATGGGCCATGGTAGGGTTTGATATTAACGTTGGTCCGCCGGTCAGAGGCAAGTAGAGTTAAGACAGGACTAGTGACAGGTACAGCAACTCTGTAGCTGTGTATGCAGACAAGTGAAACTGAAAAATAAATCTAGTCTGTTTCTTGTCTACAGGATCTGGCTGAGCCATGGTCTACTGTCTAGACATACCTACTTCAGAATCAGTCTACCATCCCGTCTACATGACCTTGTTCAGCCACTGTCTACTGTCTATACACATCAGGTTTGGCATCTGTCTACTGTCTACATGTTCCTGGTTCAGGTTCAGCCTCTGTCTACTGTCTACATGTACCTGGTTGAGCCTCTGTCTACTGTCTACACATACCTGGTTGAGCCTCTGTCTACTGTCCACTGTCTACACGTATCTGGTTGAGCCTCTGTCTACTGTCTACACGTACCTGGTTGAGCCTCTGTCTACTGTCTACACGTACCTGGTTGAGCCTCTGTCTACTGTCTACTGTCTACACGTACCTGGTTGAGCCTCTGTCTACTGTCTACTGTCTACAGGTACCTGGTTGAGCCTCTGTCTACTGTCTACACGTACCTGGTTGAGCCTCTGTCTACTGTCTACACATACCAGGTTGAGCCTCTGTCTACTGTCTACACGTACCTGGTTGAGCCTCTGTCTACTGTCTACACATACCTGGTTGAGCCTCTGTCTACTGTCTACACGTACCTGGTTGAGCCTCTGTCTACTGTCTACACATACCTGGTTGAGCCTCTGTCTACTGTCTACACGTACCTGGTTGAGCCTCTGTCTACTGTCTACACATACCTGGTTGAGCCTCTGTCTACTGTCTACACGTACCTGGTTGAGCCTCTGTCTACTGTCTACTGTCTACACATACCTGGTTGAGCCTCTGTCTACTGTCTACTGTCTACACGTACCTGGTTGAGCCTCTGTCTACTGTCTACACATACCTGGTTGAGCCTCTGTCTACTGTCTACACGTACCTGGTTGAGCCTCTGTCTACTGTCTACACATACCTGGTTGAGCCTCTGTCTACTGTCTACACATACCTGGTTGAGCCTCTGTCTACTGTCTACACGTACCTGGTTGAGCCTCTGTCTACTGTCTACTGTCTACACATACCTGGTTGAGCCTCTGTCTACTGTCTACACGTACCTGGTTGAGCCTCTGTCTACTGTCTACACATACCTGGTTGAGCCTCTGTCTACTGTCTACACATACCTGGTTGAGCCTCTGTCTACTGTCTACACGTACCTGGTTGAGCCTCTGTCTACTGTCTACTGTCTACACATACCTGGTTGAGCCTCTGTCTACTGTCTACACGTACCTGGTTGAGCCTGTCTACTGTCTACTGTCTACACATACCTGGTTGAGCCTCTGTCTACTGTCTACACGTACCTGGTTGAGCCTCTGTCTACTGTCTACACATACCTGGTTGAGCCTCTGTCTACTGTCTACACATACCTGGTTGAGCCTCTGTCTACTGTCTACACGTATCTGGTTGAGCCTCTGTCTACTGTCTACACGTACCTGGTTGAGCCTCTGTCTACTGTCTACTGTCTACACTACCTGGTTGAGCCTCTGTCTACTGTCTACACGTACCTGGTTGAGCCTCTGTCTACTGTCTACACATACCTGGTTTAGCCTCTGTCTACTGTCTACTGTCTACACGTACCTGGTTTAGCCTCTGTCTACTGTCTACTGTCTACATGTACCTGGTTGAGCCTCTGTCTACTGTCTACACGTACCTGGTTGAGCCTCTGTCTACTGTCTACACGTACCTGGTTGAGCCTCTGTCTACTGTCTACACCTACCTGGTTGAGCCTCTGTCTACTGTCTACTGTCTACACATACCTGGTTGAGCCTCTGTCTACTGTCTACTGTCTACACATACCTGGTTGAGCCTCTGTATGTTCTCAGGGTTGCTCGGATCCCGCATCACTCTCTTGGCTTCCTCCAGAAGCAGGACGGACTTGTCCATGATGTCCTGGGCACACTCAATGATGGCGTGCTGCACCTGCCGGTCCGTCGTCGTGGCCGCAACGCCTCGAACTGCTGATGTCAGCACCCGCAACGCGTTGGCAGTGTCGCGAGCGGCAATACCCACATAGTCTTCATTACCCTGGACAATAAAAACAGACATCAATTGATTCCCACTTGTGCTTGTACTGCTTGTATTTCCTGGTTGGTCTGTTGTATTAGTCAGTAGTATTACAGCTATTTGTTGGCGGGCTGTAAATAACAGAGTCTGGACCAGACAAGACAATGATCAACAGCATGAGCACCGATCTACACAATTGGGGTACGATGACACAAGTCAGCAAGCCAGATCCCGTTAGTCACCTTTTACAACAAGCATGAGTTGCTGAAGACCAATTCTAACCCTGATCTTCACAGTGCGACAGTGAGCAATACTCATCTGTGGCTTGTGAAGGAATATATTCCAACCAATCATACCCTGTGTTTGACTACCACGTCAGAAAACTTGAATACCCACATTCACTCTACCATCACATTCATCGATAGATGAAGCAAATCTGTAGTTTGAAGGTCAGGCACCTTCCAAAGGAGGCAACCAATAACAGGGGGAGATAACTGACCTGAGCTGCTGCTGTGAGAAGTTGGGCCATGGAGGAGCCGACCGTCTTGGATGTCGTTCCCAGCTGGAGAGCAGCTGACTGAGCCTGTAGGGAGACAATCACTAAACATTATCAAATGATACACACACGAGGAGACCATCACTAAACATTATCAAATGATACACACACGAGGAGACAATCACAGAACATAATCAAGGGATTCAAGTTTCCACTTAATCGTTGGAAGGAGAAGGGAGATAAGCAACATAGCATGAGTCAGGAGAAGGAAAAATTATGAGCCATGATTTTGACTACAAGAAATATCAACTGATAAAGACTTTGTATCAAGGTATGACGCTGTGGTCATACAGTGGTAGTGATGACGTACCGTCTCTCCAGGCAGGGGTACAAGGCGTCCTTCGTTTGTGGCCCTCTTGATCTCGTCCAGCTGGTAGTTGAGGCCATGCACCTGGTCCAGGGCTGACTCCACCTCCAGTGTACCACACGCCTCCTGGGCCTACACAACACAGGGACAGGGTCACATGGGAATAAAGTCTTGACTTGGTGAAAAATAAGAGCTGGTCAAATACTGATGAGTGAGTGAAATGGAATATATGTTATGTTTGAGATTACATTTTCTCAGTAGAGTACAGATTCTAGTACTTTGGTGGGTTGAGTCCCATCCGGGATTTGAACCCACACCCTCAGAGTAAGGCACCTTATCGCCAGCAGCCAAAGTCAGCCGCCTAACCCACTCAACCACCACGACTTCCACAAAAATGGAAGTCGGACAACTGGTAGTCTAGACTGCTGACTTTGTGTACCCCTCTGATAAGTGTAAATTGGCATGGCTCCCATGGCCAAAAGTTATGATAACACAATGCCATTTAGAAAGTAGTTAAATGTAACATAAAAGTTATATTTTGGATTGTGTATTCAAGGAAAGAGTTAGTTTAGTTTTACACCACGTTTAGCAATATTCCACCAATATCACGGCAGGACGGGGTACCCATTAAGGGAATCCCATTGCACCCATTAAGGGAATCAAACCTGGCTCATAAGTCGAGCAAAGGCTTTAACCACTATGCTACCCCACTGCCCCTCAATACACAGTGATGGGACAATAAGTGAATTCTTGACTTGATGAAAAGTAGGAGCTCGGTCAAATACTTATCAATGAGAGTGAGTTAGTCTCACTCCACATTTTGGGTTACCCATTATGCCCTATAGTTACACTGTGGCAATAACAAAATTCAGTCTACGAAGTCAGGAACTCTGACAGCCGTCAGTCAATACCCTGGGATACTAACCTTGGATGAGGCTGTCCTGAGTTCTGCCAATGCTGATGTCATGGCTTTGACGCTGTTGTGGAGGTTGAGGACGGCAGCCTGGTCCGTCACTGTTGGAGCAGCGGCATTGGCGGCAGCCACCATCCTGCTGGCCGGCTACAAGGCAATACATTATATATAATTATGTTTCAAACAGCTTTGATGCAGCTTAAATGTGTGCGTGGCGTGTATGTGCGTGGCGTGTGTGTGCGGGCGTGTGTGTGCTTGGCGTGTATGTGCGTGGCGTGTATGTGTGGTGTGTATGTGTGAGATGTCTTGAGTGTGACATGTAGATGTGAGTCAATCTATGACATGTGTGATGTTAGATATAATTATGTGTGTGACATGTGTGAGATGTCTGAGTGTCACATGTATAATTATGTGTGTGACATGTGAGAGTTGTGTGATGTGTGTCAATGTGTGAGACGAGTCTGTGTAGTCATGTGTGAAATGGGTTTGTCTGACATGTGTAAGTCAATGTGTAGGATGCATGACATACGTATATGAATTCCTGGCTAGCGTTGATGAAAGACAAGTGTGCATAGTCATGTGTAACGTGTGTGTCACATGTGTGAGACAATATGTGAGTCAATGTGTGAATCAATGTGTGAGACAATGTGTGAGTCAATGTGTGAGACAAGCCTGTGTAGGCATGTTTACTGCGTGTGTGGCCTGTGTAAGTCAGTTTGTAGGATGCATGGCGTACCTGGATGAAGTCCTGGCTGGCGTTGATGAGGGACAGCTGCGCGGTGGCGCTGTCCTGACTCCGTTGTGAGGCCCGGATAGCGTGAACCAGCGGTGGGATCTCCTCATTCACAGCCTACAACACACACGGTAACAGCTCCATGACTGCAGGCACTTCAACTACACCTACATTGTTAATTTGGAGCCCCATCCCAGTACACCCAAACAAGTCCTCACTCACAGCCAATAACACATACAGTCCCACCCAGTACACCCACTCCTGAAAAGATATTGTATGGAAAGTCAGAAGTTGTCTCTTGTTAATAGGCTAATCCATCAAACATATACATTATAACATTCAGTTGAGGTATATTGGATATATTCTCTTGTCTAATACTGCCTTGCACCACACTGATCACAACCATCTTGATGAAACCGAAATGGGTAAGGGACATAACTCTGTATGGGTAAGGTGTTGATAAGCATAAAATAACCAATTCCAATGCATGATCATAAGTTTCTGGCCCCTGTAAGGGACATAACTCTGCACAGCTTACTGGATGACAGGGCCATCCATGTCAGGCTAAGAAATAAAATGAGACAGACTTTGATGTAAAATTGCCCATTGAGCAGGTATTGTCTTTTTGGTTTTTGTCTAATGCTGCACCCAGCAATATTACAGCTATATGGCGGCAGTCTGTAAATAATCGAGTCTGGACCAGGCAATCCAGTGATCAACAGCATGAGCATCGATCTACACAATTTGATACGATGACATGTGTCAACCAAGTCAGCGAGCCTGACCATCTGATCCCATTAGTCGCCTCTTAAGACAAGCATGGGTTGCTGAAGCCCAATTCTAACCCAGGTCATCTGGGATCATTAAGCTTGTAGATACTACACAAGAGTACAGCAGGCAGGTCAACCCACCTCACACTGTTGTCTCAGTTGAGCCTCCGTGGTGGCGTTACGGTTCGTCTTGTTGGCGAGGGAGGAGGAGTTGATGAGCTGAGTGGCGGCAGCGGCTGCATGGTTGGCGGCGTTCTGGAACGTAACATGATGAACACTACATCTAACAATCTCAACATGGTATCTGGGGCAGGAAACGTGGGAAAGGTCATTTTTGACAAATTAACATTTCTTCTGAAGCTAAATTCAGATTTAATATCATCACATTGAACTACTTAGCCAATTAAAAAAACTGGCCTCTTATGCGAGAAAAAATGTCACTTAAGGAGAGATTACTTATCCTATGATAAAGGATTCTGAAAGTTCAATACACTCTACGTTACACCCAGAGTTAGCACAGCTGATATTACAGAAACCTGTCTGTACTCAAGCTAACATCATCCCCTACCTCCAGCCTGTTGATCAGCTTCCTCTTCAACTGGTTGCTGGCAGCGGCATTGGTGGCCGACCGCAACTCCTCCGCCGCAGACCGGAGAATCTGTTGTTGGTCTGAGTCGTTGGGGTTGGAGGCACAGCCCTGACAGTGGAGAACACAGAGTGAACGTCTAACAGAGTGAATGTCTATGGGGTTGGAGGCACAGCCCTCATGGAGAACACAGAGTGAATGTCTAACTCAGTCATAAACCAGCTATCAGCTCCTCCATTGGAGATCACAGAGTGAATGTCTCCTATATCAGTACTACTCCATGGGGTTGGAGGCACAGCCCTGACAGTGGAGAACACAGAGTGAATGTCTAACTCAGTCATAAACACGATACCAGCTATATCAGGTCAAAGTGCTCCTCCATGAAATCTATATTATCCAGATATCTGGAAATCTTACATACTGGATTCTGTTTACGCAAAATGAAATATATACAAATGTATAATGAAACAGTACAAATTGTTCATTTAGCCATAAATCCAGCCATTGCGTCAAAATTCCTTGATCTGAATGTCACCTCCAACAAAGACAATGACAATAACTGTGGCCCCAAATGATTTTTGACAGTTTAGATTTGGACCGATTTTAGCCATATGCCTATCAGTTCCATGAAAACCGATGTGAGTTGACCCTTCTATTGTCGTGATCCCTGGGCCGACTGAGGTTGCTCACCTTGGCGGCTTCCACCAGTTTGGCTGTAGCATCGGCCAGTTGTTTGGCTGCTGCTAGGAGACGCTTCTGTACATCAGAGTCTGTGTTGGTCTCCGCCTGGTTCCTGATGGCACTCACCAGCTGGGACGTCGCCTGTAACACAAGAACACAAGGCTGGGATAGGGTTTAACAGAGGGTTTAACAGAGGAAGAGAACACAGGGCTGGGATAGAACACAGGGGTGGGATAAAACACAGCGGTGGGATAACACAGGGGTTGGGATAAAACACGGGCTGGGATAAAACATACTGTGTTAATAAAACTGGGATAAAACAGGGCCTGGATAAAACACAGGGGTTTGGATAAAACCAGGGGCTGGGATAAAACATACTGTGTTAATAAAACACAGGAGTGGGATAAAACAGAGCCTGGATAAAACACAGGGCAAGGATAAAACACAGGGCTGTGGTATTACAGAGCAGTTATACATCACAAGGCAGGGACAAAACCCAGGGTCGGGATAAAATAAGGCAGGGTAAAAATCAGAATCAGGACAGGTCATTCTGCAGATCTATCTAATCAGACAGATCATGTTCTATGTTGCTAAACGCCACAGTCAACAGAAATCAATGACAACATAGTCCAGTCTGGACCACAGGGTTTCAGAGAAAAACAACAGTCAACCATCAACACAGAGTCACAAACAGATGAGGCTCCAACTTTGATAATCCATGTGAGGTGCTGATACTTATCCAAGACGAGCACTGAGATGATTCTGACTCACCTGGGCCAGGAGTGGGATAAAACAGAGCCATGATTAAATACAGGGCAAGGATAAAACACATGTCTGTAATAAAACACAGGGCTGTGGTGGTATTACAGAGCAGTTATACATCACAGGGCAGGGACAAAACCCAGACAAGCACTGAGATGATCCTGACTCACCTGTGCCAGGTGTCTGGCCTGTTTGACCATCTCGTGGGCGTCGCCCACACTGCTGAACAGGTTGTCTGTGACGGTGATGATCTGGTCCACGGCCTCCTCATGCTGCTCACTGGCCTGCAACACAACAGGGGATCATTATTACTATCATTATTATCATCATAATGATAACAAACACTGGTACACAAAAACTGGGCAGATGGCATTAACACTGAGCACCCATCAGCACTGATAACATTTTGTATTCATGTGAGCACAGGGCCCACTTGCAAAGAGCAAACTAAGTGTTAAGATGATTGCAAGTCTCATACTCTAACATAGACTTAAGACAGATGTAGCACTACGATTGCTTTATGCAATGGCATCCAGGAGCTAACAAAGATGATTGAACACACTGACATTTGGCACATTTGAATTTTGAATAGTTCTCCAAGCTGTCAGTTTCATCATATCATGTCATGAGGGTAAAAAATTCAAGTATATTTTTCCCTTCTTTCTCAACCATAATCCAGGTAAATGACAGCAGTAAATAATAAAGTGTGAACCAGACTATCCAGTGATTGGTATCATGTACGTCAATAAACACAAACTGGACACAATAGTGACTCCACCTAAAACATTATGTCACTTCTTCCAATGATCACAGATTGCTGAATATGATAATAACAATGGCTATTATTAAAGCACCTGTTTCCACACACTTGTACATGCTCAAAGAGCAATCACAATATTACCCTGGATAACCCAAGCTGCCTATGATGCCGTAGAAGGTTAACAGTCATATAACTTTTCCCATCGGGTACCCATTCACTGATGGGTGACAGAGGCAATTTTGAACAAACTCAATTGCCAAAGGTGAGACCACATGTTTCACATGTGCTTCGTTGTGGGGCAGGACTGAAGTCCTTGAAACTCAGGAGTCAAGCTACCAAACACGGTTACCCATTAGAGGGCACTCCGACCAACGAAGCTTGACTACAACTGATTTGTGACCTGGGCACAGAACCACACACAACCAGACACAAATTCGTTATCTAATGATGACAAATTCTACTTCAGAATCTTCACGAGGACTGCTTCTCGGAGTCATGTACTAACCCTGACAGGCACAGCAGCCTTCTTGATATGTTGCAGGAGGTCGTTGAGGGCCTTGGTGACGGCCGTGGCAGCGCCGCCGAGATCCTGCAGCAGGTGGTCGTCCTTACACGCAGACTGCGCAGCCTCCACTATGCCCTCCACGGACTTGGCGACGAGCTTGGCAGCCTCGATCAGTTGTTCCTGGCAGGCAGGGTTCCCGATGGTGGGCGCCACAACCTGAGGTGAGCAGAAATGGGAGTTAGCATCCTCGTCATTATTATTATTATTATTATACAGCACTGAGTGTGTTATTGTGTGAGTGTGTTTCTGTCTCTGTTTGCTTGAAATGGGCAGCCCTGACTCCAATGTTATTGTGATACCACACTAACATACCAGACAACTCAGACACATCTTACTTGTTTTGTTTTTGGCCCTTAGCAGCAAGTACCATCTTTGACCAACTGTTGGACTTACGCAGCTAGGGATTGAGCCAGCAACCTTCACACACTGGGCAGATCATGTATGTAAGACCACAGAGTTGGTTCCATGATGTGATGCCTGATGTGAGATGAGATTTGAGTGCTGTCTGACCTGAATGAGTGAGTGAGTTTAGTTTTACGCCGCAACTCAGCAATATTCCAGCTATATGGCAGCGGTCTGGAAATAATCGAGTCTGGACCAGACAATCAGTGTTCAATAGCATGAGTATCGATCTGTGCAATTGGGAACCGATGACATGTGTCAACCAAGTCAACGAGCGCATGGGTTACTGAAGGTTGATTCTAACACGGACCCGAACCCGGAGAGTCGCTGTCTGATCTGAGAAGACAGCAGAGTGCTGTTTAACTAAAGAAGACAGTTGAGAAGTGTACCTTGGTGCAGGCTACCAGTTGGGACGTTGCGAGGGCGCACTGCGTGGCGGAGCTGATGACCCTGTTCTGCAGACCCTGGTCCTCCGTCTTGGAGGCTACGTTCTTGGCCTTCAGCACCAGAGCTGCTGTAGCGTTAGCAACAGCCTTGGCCAACGACAACAGCGTGTCCTACAACAACACAGACAGACAGTTTTCAACAGAAATTAACAGTAACATCATAGAACAAACGTAAACTTCTATCACAAACACAAATGATCTTATACAATGCACGAGATATAAAGGCGAGAAGGTTATGGATGTGGACTTCTAAATGCTCTTCGACATCAATGCCTTCAACTGACAAACATTCATTAGAAAAAAATACTGTTAAAATAAAAATCTTATATTTTGATGTTTCCAAAATCAATCCATACCATAATAATGACATTAATCGACAAGCACGGTTTAAATGATAATGAGGACAGGACAGGACAGTCCAAGCTGTCAGGGGTGTCCAGGGTGTCAAGGCAGTTTGGGGTGTCCAGGAAGTCAGGGGAGTCCAGGGTGTCTGGGGTGTCCAGACAGGGGTGTCTGGGGTGTCCAGGCAGTTAGGGGTGTCCGGGGTGTCAAGGCAGTCAGGGGTGTCTGGGGTGTCCATGCAGGCAGTCAGGTGTCCAGGCAGGCAGTCGGGTGTCCAGGCAGTCGGGTGTCTGGGGTGTCCGTGTGTCCAGTCAGTCAGGGCTGTCCAGGAAGTCAGGGGAGTCCAGGGTGTCTGGGGTGTCCAGGCAGTCAGGGGTGTTCGGGGTGTCTGGGGTGTCCAGACAGTCAGGGTGTCTGGGGTGTCCAGGCAGTATGGGCTGTCAGGGGTGTCCAGGGTGTCCAGGCAGTCCGGGGTGTCCAGGAAGTCAGGGGAGTCCAGGGTGTCTGGGGTGTCCAGACAGTCAGGGGTGTCTGGGGTGTCCAGGCAGTTAGGGGTGTCCGGGGTGTCCAGGCAGTCAGGGGTGTCTGGGGTGTCCAGGCAGGCAGTCAGGTGTCCAGGCAGGCAGTCGGGTGTCTAGGCAGTCGGGTGTCTGGGGTGTCCGTGTGTCCAGTCAGTCAGGGGTGTCCAGGAAGTCAGGGGAGTCCAGGGTGTCTGGGGTGTCCAGGCAGTCAGGGGTGTTCAGGGTGTCTGGGGTGTCCAGACAGTCAGGGCGTCTGGGGTGTCCAGGCAGTATGGGGTGTCCTGGGTGTCCAGGGTGTCTGCGGTGTCCAGGCAGTCAGGGGTGTCTGGGGTGTCCAGGCAGTCAGGGGTGTCCAGGCAGTCAGGGGTGTCCAGGGTGTCCAGGCAGTCAGGGGTGTCTGGGCAGTCAGGGGTGTCCAGGGTGTCCAGGCAGTCAGGGGTGTCCGGGATGTCCGGGGTGTACTGACCTGGAAGACTCTGTCCAGGTCCTCGGTGGTCTCGCCGACCTCATCCATGACCTCTTGGCTGGCCTCTCCGATCTTACTGGCTGCTGCCAGCAGGTTCTGACGTGGCTGCAACACACATCATCATCATCATCATCATCATCATCATCATCATCCATACATCATCATCATCATCATCATCATCATCATCCATACATCATCATTATCATAGTTGCAAAGTGGGCAAAGATCTGCCTCTTTGTGTATTGTGTAATAACACTCTGTCATAGCTCATCGATATCAAGTGTGGACCATCGATCAGCGCAATGCAAAAATAACAACATGCATAAACCACCAGATCCTGTAAGTCGCCATTTATGACAAAGATTGTTTAGGACCAATATTGTTATGCCAGGTGTTAAATGCTGTTCTAAAAGTATCGGAAGAAGACGACAAATCAGTGGGTCTAAATACGCTTCACGTCCAGTCCTCTACAGTCTCACACAACAATCCAGGTGCACCAGTCCCAGAATCCCAACATTGAGTGAGTGAGTGAGTGAGTTTTCTATTACACCGCTTTTAGAAATATTTCAGCAATATCATGGTGGGGGGGGACACAAGAAATGGGTCCCCACATTGGGTGGTTGGTTGTTTCTTGTTTTATGCAGCAATATTCCAGCTATATGGCGCCGGTCTGTAAATAATTTAGTCTGGACCAGACAATCCAGTGATCAACTGCATGAGCATCGATCTACACAATTGGGAACAGACGACATGTGTCAACCAAGTCAGCGAGTCTGACCACCCGATCCTGTTAGTCGCCTCTTATGACAAAAAAAGGGTTGCTGAAGATCAATTCTATCCCGGATCTTCATGGGTTTTATGGATGATTTTGGATAACATAATCATAACCAAGTCAGCCCCCCCCCCCCCCCCAATGAGCTTATTTATGGAGAAAAGTGTGAAGTAGTATATCCTAGGTATGTTTACCTCTACATTAGCAGGTGTGGCAGCATTGAGGAGGTCGGAGAAGGCGCCAGCGAGGCATCGTGCCGCATCCAGCAGTTTATCATTGTTCTCCTCCTGCAAGGCAGCCACCATCTTGACATCCCGGCTGAACTGACCCAGGTTGGACGAACTGGACACATGGAGGGAACGTCAGTATCACAATAATCACAGCTTTAGGGGTAAGACGAACTGGACACATGGAGGGAACATCAGTATCACAATAATCACAGCTTTAGGGGTAAGACAAACTGGACACATGGAGGGAACGTCAGTATCACAATAACCACAGCTTTAGGGGTAAGACGAACAGAGACTACGGGGAGAATACTGATTTTCGATCAAATCATTAAGGAATTTAAACGCGCCTTCCTTAGAAACAGTTTTTCTGCTCTTCAATGGCCATTTTTAGCCACCTTGTCACAATAGCAGCGGTCTAAGGGACATGCCTCGCACAAAGTTCATGTTACCTTGAATTTGTTTGTTTTTTCAAACAAAATTTCCATGTTGATGTCCAATTTTCCATGGTTAGTAATTGCTTTGATATTCAATTCTAAAGTTTAATCATACAGCATATGAATGGTCTTTGGTTTGCTGACTAAAAGACCGCCTCCGTGGTGTAGTGGTTAAAGCGTCCCCCGGAGAGCGTAAGGTCGCGGGTTCAATCCCCGACCGCATCATACCAAAAACCGTTAAAATATGGTACTTGTTGGTCCCTGCCTGGCGCTAGGCATTAATGGGTACAACAAGGACTGGTCAGCTCGGAGTTAGTATGATGTGTCTGAGTGGGGTATTCATGCTTCACTGCGGCATGGTATCTCAGTGGGCTAGCACTATAAAACCAGCTTAAGTCTGGGCTAGTACAAGCAGCCGCACATACACATACACACGCATGCACGTCGTCATATGAGCGAAATATTCTCAAGCACGACGTTAAACCCAATATCACCTCACCTCACCTGCTTACTTATAATGCCTGAGTGTTCTAAATTATAATGTGAAAAAACGGACTGCAGGCAATGATGGAGTGGAGTGATGGAGTTGGAGTTTAGGAATATTTTTTTAGATTCTCAGAGAAACAGGCTGCGTCCAGTGTCTATTATAATGTTCTAGAATATTGCCCCTATACACATGCGTGTGTGTGACTTGTGAGGTTGTGGTGAATATTGTATGAAGACAGTGCTCACATTTGATGGACGGCTGAGCCGACAGCGTTGTAGTCGATCTCGTCCTCCTTGCCGGAGGTGAGCGTGACGAGCTGTGCAGTGGCGGCGTTCATGGCGGACAGCTGGGAGCCCACCTTCTGTCTGTTCAGATCCAGCTGGTTCTCACGCCATTTCTTGGAAGCCTAGCAACAGCAGGAGCATCATCAATACATCATCAATACATCATCAATACATCATCAATACATCATATAACAAATCGTTTGTTTTCTTGCCCAGCTCTTGGCTGTATATTTCATCACATTTAAACAAATATAACAACCATTTTCTTTTGCCCAAGCCATTTGCAGTATATTTTAAAGAGTCGAAACGCTAATAACGGTCTATGTTTATTAACTAAAATTACTGGTACCTTTGAGAATGTTATACCCATAGTTTACGTCACATCTAAGCAAAGGGCTTGAAACATTTTTCTGTTCATATATCAGGCCACTTTCAGAAGAAACAATACACCCCATATGTAATATAATATGCGCAAACAGAACGCTGCAAGATTGCTGAGATAGCAACATATCCTATCTGGTACCCATTCACTGCTGAGTGAACAGACAGAATGTTATACAAGTCCAATAAACTCTCAGGAGTCAAACTGACAAATTCCTCTCAGAAACAAAATTGACCAGATCTGGACCCTGTGCTCTGGCCACAAGGGCACCACCATTGCTGTACGTACCGCGTCTGATCCGAGCTTGGGCACCTGTGCCCTCTGTTGTAGATCGGTCTGCGCCATGTTGACGGACGACAGACCCTCCTCGATGGTGGACAGCAAGGCCTTCTGGGATTGGTTGAGGCCGTGCTGCTGGGCGTTCTGTCCCTACAGTGGACAGCAACTGGTCAGTACACACCGGATACACACCAGATACACATAGGATACACAACCTTTATACAACAGTAGGAGCATGTACTGGAGACTAAACAAGTTATTGTAGGCGCTGGTCATCCATTACTCCATACTATCTTACAATAACAGATAACAGTCATTTAAACAGTAAAAACAAAAGAAAAGAAAGTTTACAATGACAAAAAAAGTTTAACTGAATTGAACAGAAATATGTTCTACATTTAAATGAATATCTTAAATACTAAGGAAATACTGTTCACCAACAAAATAAGAACATATCCAGGGATTTATCTATCCAAGTATGAGGCAAATGTAAAATTCCCAATTTGAACACAATATTTACTTTTTTTCATAAATTATGAGAATAAGATTAAAAGAAATCATTTTAAACAATAGCGAGATATTTTCCCATTTTGACTGCAAAAGGCTTTACAATACTATATATATAATACTTAATAATGCTAGAAAAATCCCAGATATTAGACAGTAACAAATGTAACTGAGTTCAACAAGGAACACATACTGAGATGCTCTATCTGATTAACGTATATATGCTATGTACAGAAACTGACATGTACTTGCAACACACATGCTGACCGAGGTCAACACCATGCACAACATCATCGCAATTCCTGCAGTTACAACCAACACAACACTCTCAGGCACAACTCTTTCAGACACTCAACAGTTTAAAGGGCCACTGATCCAGAGCAATTTCCGTGGACTGGTTGTTGCTTTTGTTATTGTTTTTCTCCAGTGAGTACCCGGATGATATCCCAGAATTCATGATCGGTTCGTTACCTCTGCTGCGCCACCCTCATGCGCAATTGATAGTATAAGTAAAGACTGATCAACAAAGATGAAATTTTTTTTACTCGATAATCTTATGTTGATTTTGTTGTAAAATTATGTAGACTTTGATGAATAATTGGGTTTCTTATAAAAAAAATATTCACTTTGATAAAAATGCGGATTTTGATGTAAAATTTTGATTTCATAGTAATGTTGACTTTATAATAATGTTAACGTATATGGATGTAGAATTTAATTTAAGAAATAGTTGAATTTGTTGAGAAGCCTGATATAATAGCATTGTTTTGAAAGTAAGGCCAACGAAGTACATGGGGAGTCGGGGATTGTAACCATCAATATCTACATAAAGGAATGAGATGCCATTCATCTGCAGCTGACAAAGTATCCTGTCTTTCAACAGTCTAATATGCGAAAAAGTGATCTATTGTTTCAGATTTTTCACATTGGTGTATAGTCCCATTGGTCACCAAAGATAGCACACCTGATTGGTTAAACTTTCCAATTTCAGATTTATTTCGCGATGGGAAAGTGGAGTCGTTTAGTCTATGGATTCAAATATATCAAATGTGTGTTTTTGATATCATAGTATACGTAATAGACATCATATTTTTATATTTTTACATGATTAAATATTGAGGTAAAACACACAGAAATGGGATCGAATTGGATCAGTCACTATAACATCCAAACATTTGAAAATCTGAAAAGCCTACACTGCTGGATACTATATTACAATCAGATAAGAACTACCGGGGATATTTTCAAATAACAGCATCTGATGGGCATCCACCCTTCCTAAATGTCCCACTGATTTGGTCGAAGAAATTCTGCCAAGGTGGTCAGTAGCCCAGTCCCCGTGTCCGTCACGGTCGAGGGAGCGGGGGCTGACCATTTTGCCGCTAAGTTTCGTAATTAAGACTGTTGGCGAGAAACATTAATCGCTCTGGACCAGTGGCCCTTTAAAAACACACTGCCAGGATCGTGTGCACAAAGTCATCGTAGCTACGACTATGGTAGTATGGGCATTATGATGTAGAGCTATGACCGCTTTGTGCATGAGCATTGACAGACGTATGGCTGCTAATACAGCACCACCTGTACAAAGTGATCATAGCTGAGATTTTGGAGAAGAGTTACGACATCGTAGAGCTATGACGTCTTTGTGCATATGGTCCATGAGCATTGACAAACATACAGTTGCTACACAGCAACACCTGTACAAAGTGATCGTAGTTGAGAATATTGCAGTTCCGTTACGATGTCGTAGAGCTACGACTGCTTTGTGCATATGGTCTGTCACCATTAACAGACATACAGTTGCTACACAGCACTACCTGCACAAAGTGATCATAGCTGAGAATATTGCAATTCAGTTACGATGTCTTCAAGCTATGATTTCTTTGTGCACATGGTCCATGAGCATTTAACAGACATACAGTTGAACAAACAAACATTTGTTAGCCAGCATTCATAACAGGTCAAGCATTCATTGGGGTACACACAGGTACCTATAGAGGATACCTAACATGGGTACCAAACGAGGGTACCAAACACAGTTACCTAACGTGGGTATCAACACCGTGGGAAGGTACCAAACAAGGGTACCTAACAAGGGTATCAAGGAGGGTAGGAAAGATTTACATGGATACATATCAGAAGAGTAGGTAACAAACTACATGTGGATCAACTCAAAACAGAGAATTTACACCTAGGTTGATTCTATGTCGTTATTTGACAATTCAAAAACTTCAAACAGGAGAGAGTGACAGAATGTTGTTCAAGTCTGTAGTCAGCAGTACTTCAGCTATATGCCCGAACTTAATGATGACGAGGTGAGGTGAAAGTTGGTTTAACGTCGTACTTGAGAATATTTCGCTCATATGACGACGTGCATGTGTGTGTATGTGTATGTGCAGCTGCTTGTACTAGCCCAGACTTGTTTTATAGTGCTAGCCCACTGAGATACCACGCCGCAGTGAAGCATGAATACACCACTCAGACACATTATACTGACTCTGAGCCGACCAGTCCTTGTTGTACCCCTCTAATGCCGAGCGCCAGGCAGGGACCAACAAGTACCATATTTGAATGTCTTTTGGTATGATGCGGTCGGGATCGAACCCGCGACCTTTCGCTCTCCGGGCGGACGCTCTAACCACTACACCGCGGAGGCGGTCCTTAATGATGGCAGCCTAGACCTAATGGAGTCTGGTCCAGATGATCCAGTGATTGATATCATGACTACCAATCCACAGCGTGGGACTGACAACCAATCAACAAGGTAACTGAGCGGGGGACCTATACTACTCACAATTTGCTAAGGATCACAAAAATTCACAACTTTACTTAAACGTGGATTTATAATTTGAAATTGTATCCCTTTGAAATTGGATATATAATGATATGGTAACCCTTATTTAGGCAAACAGTCACTTAAATCTAACCTTATGCACTTGATACATGAGTAACCATAGAATTTGTTTTCATGGCACCAATCAACCATTTTGCGTATCATTGAACGAGTCATTGACAAATACACAACACCTGTCAGTAGCAGGTATGGGTTCCACAAGATGAAATGACAAACTGAAACCTAGGATCCATGCTTACAATAAGCTTAGATATTTAAACCAAATTTGACCCAGTTTTCTGTTGAATCCATGATTTGATCCTTAGCTAAGTGTGAATAGCATATTTAAGACAGAGGCAACTTGCTTCTTGACTCAAGTTCAGGCAAATACAGAACTTTCAGAAGTTTCCTCACAACACTTTTCAGTTAGGATAACGTAAGGTCTCATTCACTCCAGCTACTGCTAATTTCACGGCGGTGGGGTAGCCTAGTGGTTAAAGTGTTCACTCGTCACGCCGAGGACATGGTTTCGAATTCCCACATGGGTATGATGTGTGAAGCCCATTCCTGATGTTCCCTGCCGTGATACTGCTGGAATATTGCTAAATGCGGCGTAAAACTAAACTCACTCAGTCCTAATTTCAACCCGTTTTATCCGGTGGGTAATGAGCATACGCCCGTTTAGGGCACATGAACTATAGGGCACATGCCTCTGAAGGGCACATCCCATCTCGGCCCACTTGCACAAAGTGATTGTTGCACTACATCCAATGTAACACCTACACTTTAACATTGGCTTACAGAAGCCGTAGCACCACAACCACTTTGTGCAGGTGGGCCCCGAGTAGTCCATCCTCTAGCTACGAAGCTGTCATATATATGTCTGCATTCATGCAAGTTACTCACACCACAGACATACAGCTAGAGTATACATGTCTACTGTTTCCATGGTTACCAGACATGGTACTAGAGGCTGCTGGAAGCTCAAGCTAGACAGAGTTACCTCCCCCTACCACAGACAGAGCTACAGATATATGAAAGCTAATGTTCTGGATCACCACAAGAGTTTGCAAGAGCCTGGGTTTAACAATACAGAAATGAAACTAGGGCAACTCAAACCCACCTTAGGGCAACTTTAAACAAAATTCCAGGACAAATTTTTAACCAACTTCTAGAAAACTCTTTAACCTATTTCAGGGTACCTTTCACTCGCATGAAGGGCAAATTTCAACCAACTTCTTGGACAGTTTCCACCGACACTCCCACCCACCCCCATCCCACACTTTGGGGAAGTTTTTAAACCAACTTTTGGGGCAACCTTTATACCCATGACAAGTTTTCAACAAACTTCTTTTGCAACTTAAACCAATTTCTAGGGCAACTTTTCCCCAAAGTCTGTGACAACATTTGAACTTCAAGGCCAACGTCTTATTCCCACTTTCTACAACACTTTTTGAACCCCACACTGAGAGACCTTTTAACCCACTTCTTAGGAAACCTTCCGCCACTACTGGGCCACATTTAAACCCACAAGTAGGGCAAGTTTTTAGCTAACGTCTTGAGTAACTTGAACCAATTTCTAGGGCAACCGCCCCCAAAGTCTATGGTGTAATTTAAACTTAAGGTCAACCATTAGACAACTTCTACAGCAATCTTTTCAACCCACTTCATGGGAAACTTTGAGCCACTACTGGACCACTCTTAAACCCTCATGGGAAACTTTGAGCCACTACTGGACCACTCTTAAACCCTCATGGGAAACTTTGAGCCACTACTGGACAAACTTTGAGCCACTACTGGACCACTCTTAAACCCTCATGGGAAACTTTCAGCCACTACTGGACCACTCTTAAACCCTCATGGGAAACTTTCAGCCACTACTGGACCACTCTTAAACCCTCATGGGAAACTTTCAGCCACTACTGGACCACTCTTAAACCCTCATGGGAAACTTTCAGCCACTACTGGACCACTCTTAAACCCTCATGGGAAACTTTCAGCCACTACTGGACCACTCTTAAACCCTCATGGGAAACTTTCAGCCACTACTGGACCACTCTTAAACCCTCATGGGAAACTTTCAGCCACTACTGAACCACTCTTAAACCCTCATGGGAAACTTTCAGCCACTACACTGGACCACTCTTAAACCCTCATGGGAAACTTTCAGCCACTACACTGGACCACTCTTAAACCCTCATGGGAAACTTTCAGCAACTACTGGACCAGTCTTAAACCCACTTTTAGGACAAGTTTATAGCCAACATCTGGAGCAACTTGATTCCATTTCATGGCGAACCTGAATCCATTGTCAAGGACAGCTAGTTTTCCTTGGACTGATGACACATTATACTGTATACATTCTATAGTTTCAACATATTGCATGACGTACATACTTATCTGTGTCAAACACACTTTGCCTGCTCTAATACAACATAAAGATGTCGTAACAACACAAAGAAATATTTGAAAAACAAATCATAATAGAAGAAAAGAACATCTTACTTTGTGTAGACAGCTTTTCAATATATCTTTTACTTCAATGTTCACAAGAGATTTTGAGAATCTTTTCTAAAGACCTGCATAAACAGTCTCTAATTTATCAATATGCATGAAATCATTAGTAAATAACACACGAGGCTCAGGTCGTCATCCTCAAAGAGAAGCAAGCAATCGTGTTGTGATGAGTCAGATATATCAGAATTTTAGAGTGAACATAAAGTTTTGGAAACTATTTTGAAGAAAACGCATGAATATGCTGGAAATATTTCCCAAATCAATGACAACCTGAGTCTTGTGCGTAAGTGGTTAACCCTCTGAGTAGGTTTCCGATTCTAGTGACGGACATATCTCCCTTTTCCAAATTACTTCAAATGCACTGTAACTGAGAAACTGTTAGACTGAGATCTTATATTACATGAAATATTCCAAATTGACAGTGACTTCAGAACTAATTAGACTGCAACCCTAACACATTTCTCTCAATAATAATCCTAATTTAAACAGATAAATTTAATATAGTAAGTTTAATATCCACTGAGAGGGTTAAAATGAGCAGCAAGTATCTACTGATGACTATACATGGTGAGGGCCGTGAGTCAGCCCCTCCAGCCCCTACCATGTATATGTAACAGTAGACACGGCTGCTCGGGTTACACACACATTCCCGAGAGGCGACTACTAACATGAGGGGCGGCATGTCCAGCGTGCGCGAGGTTTGTCACGTGCGACGACTGCACCTGCTGCATGCTGCCCATCCCGAACGTCGACTCCCCCTGACCCCCGTCACGCAGCACTGCGGGGATCGCCACAGACCCGGACTGGGGGTGGGACACGTTGGACGACTGGTGCTGGATGATGGTTGCCCTGGAAACGTAGCAATACAGTTAGGCATGTGGTATGAATGGTGTTATGTGGTGGATAAAGATAATACTTAACTTCACACTGGCAACAGCAATAACATTGGTGATCTAAATTGGGTGGTGCAGTGGTGGTTTAGATGTAGGCGCAGTGTTCACAGGTGTAGGCATAGTGTTCAGAGGCATGGTATTGGAGTGGTGTAGGTGTGGTGTACAGTTCTGGTGTGGGCATGGTGTAGGTGTGATGTATGCTTATTGTTGGAGAGTTGTAGGCATGGCATGGAGTAGGGGTGGCATGGTGTTGGAGCAGGTTGTTGGAGCAGTGTAGGCATGGTGTAGGCATTGGAGCCGTGTAGGCTTTGGAGCGGTGTAGGCATGGAGTGGTGTTGGAGTGGTGTAGGTGTGGTGTCTACTTCCGGTGTAGGCATGGTGTAGGTGTAGGGGTGGCATGGTGTTGGAGTGCTGTAGGCATGGTGTAGATGTGTATGTATAGCGTTGGGGTGGTGTAGGCATGATATTGGAGCGGTGTAGGCATGGTGTATGTATAGCGTTGGGGTAGTGTAGGCATGGTGTTTGAACGGCGTAGGCATGGTGTTAGAGTGGTGTAGGCTTGGTGTTGGGGCGGTGTAGGCGTGGTGTTTGAACGTCGTAGGCATGGTGTTGGAGTGGTGTAGGCTTGGTGTTGGGGCGGTTTAGGCATGGTGTAGACATGGTGCAAGTACAGAGTATGCATAGTGTAGGCATGGTGTAAGTATAGCTACTCACTTCGCCGGCAGTACGTTGTCCTCCATCATCATTGAGTTCTCGTCTCCATCCAGACCAAGGTGGTCCTTGGCTTTTTTCTGAAAACAAAAGAAGTTACCATGACAACAGATACACCTCTACGTAACAGGCTGAACATTATAAATGTTTAAGGGTGTACTCCACACTTGGTCCAGACCACTCCACACCATTGTTAATCTCCACACTATCTACATCTCCACATCTCCACACTATCTACATCTCAACAGTAACATTTTCAAATATCAATCTACGTAACCTGTCACTCTTATATATATCCACATTGATATGATCCCTATTTACATGATCTTAATGATCTTACAATATTAAATCTCCATAATCGTGGAAGCCGCTGTGGCTGAGCGGGGTAGGCGGCTGACTTTGTGTGCTGCCGATTAAGTTCCTGACTCTGGGGGTGTGGGTCTGAATCTCTATAACATGTGTTACATTTGACCACTTTCTAAATGGCATCAAATATCAATCTCCACACTACACATCTAACCTGTCACTCTTATATATATCCACATTGATACGATCCCTATTTACATGATCTTAATGATCTTACAATATTAAACGGGTATAATCGTGGAAGCCGCGGTAGCTGAGCGGGGTAGGCGTCTGACTTTGTGTGCTGCTGATTAAGTGCCTGACTCTGAGGGTGTGGGTCTGAATCCCGGATGGGACTATAACATGTGTTACATTTGACCACTTTCTAAATGGCATTGTTTTATTCATATGTATAATTCCACTTTGTGTAAATTGCTAATTGAGTGAGTTGGATAAAATGCCAATTTGAACAGTTTTCAGTCCTACACAGCAGGGCAGTTTAATGCAAGAGGTCCACCCGAAGTGATGCAGGTCTCGGACGTTTATCAGGACAGACAGGGCAGCCCTAGGTGCTGTTTAACTGACTGACCTTCCTGAGGATGATGTCGATGTAGCCAGCGATGAGCTGTGAGATCTGCTCTCCCTCCGTCGTCTGCACGGAGTAGTAGGTGTCGGAGTAGTCGCCGAAGTCCTGCAGGACACAACACAAACTTTACACAACGACATCTTGTACACTTTCCCTATAGACTCTTGTACACTTTCCCTAGACTCTTGTACACTTTCCCAATAGACTCTTGTACACTTTCCCAATAGACTCTTGTACACTTTCCCTATAGACTCTTGTACACTTTCCCTAGACTCTTGTACACTTTCCCAATAGACTCTTGTACACTTTCCCAATAGACTCTTGTACACCCGGCTACAGGCATTACTGGGGCAACTCTTCTGACCTGACTTTGTAAAAAACCTATAAATGTTAAATTCTTAAAAGACTTAAAAAAGAAAGGGACCATAGCCAAAGATAATATCACCTATAAGACACTGAGAAAGTGTAAGCCAAAACACAAAACATGTCACATCAATCCACTTTCCCAATTGACTGTTGTACACCTGGGTACATACACTACTGCGGCAATATCTTGTAGGCAACAAAATAATTTGTAGCAAAACCTGGAAACAACATAATTGTTAAATTCTTAAGAAAGACTTAAGAAAGGGAGGATATCCAAAGATGATAGCAACTATAAGATACAGGAGAATGTGTAATCCCAAATACATTACATGTTACATCGGATCACTTTCCAATTGGCACTGTGTGCTCACTACAGGACATCATGGATACAAACAATAATGCAACTTCAAGCTTGTACCACAATACTGATGCTTTAAAACTAACAACAAACGATGAGATGAAAGCCTCCATAACATGGACTAGTTGCTCCGAGGCTACAAGACAGGAGAAAGCCTCTATAACATGGACTAGTTGCTCCGAGGCTACAAGACAGGAGAAAGCCTCTATAACATGGACTAGTTGCTCTGAGGCTACAAGACAAGAGAAAGCCTCCATAACATTGACTAGTTGCTCTGAGGCTACAAGACAGGAGAAAGCCTCTATAACATGGACTAGTTGCTCTGAGGCTACAAGACAGGTGAAAGCCTCCATAACATGGACTAGTTGCTCTGAGGCTACAAGACAGGTGAAAGCCTCCATAACATGGACTAGTTGCTCTGAGGCTACAAGACAGGAGAAAGCCTCTATAACATGGACTAGTTGCTCTGAGGCTACAAGACAAGAGAAAGCCTCTATAACATGGACTAGTTGCTCGAGGCTACAAGACAGGAGAAAGCCTCCATAACATGGACTAGTTTCTCCGAGGCTACAAGACAGGAGAAAGCCTCTATAACATGGACTAGTTGCTCTGAGGCTACAAGACAAGAGAAAGCCTCTATAACATGGACTAGTTGCTCTGAGGCTACAAGACAGGAGAAAGCCTCTATAACATGGACTAGTTGCTCCGAGGCTACAAGACAGGAGAAAGCCTCTATAACATGGACTAGTTGCTCTGAGGCTACAAGACAGGAGAAAGCCTCTATAACATGGACTAGTTGCTCTGAGGCTACAAGACAGGAGAAAGCCTCTATAACATGGACTAGTTGCTCCGAGGCTACAAGACAGGAGAAAGCCTCTGTAACATGGACTAGTTGCTCGAGAGGCTACAAGACAGGAGAAAGCCTCTATAACATGGACTAGTTGCTCTGAGGCTACAAGACAGGAGAAAGCCTCTATAACATGGACTAGTTGCTCCGAGGCTACAAGACAGGAGAAAGCCTCTATAACATGGACTAGTTGCTCCGAGGCTACAAGACAGGAGAAAGCCTCTATAACATGGACTAGTTGCTCCGAGGCTACAAGACAGGAGAAAGCCTCCATAACATGGACTAGTTGCTCCGAGGCTACAAGACAAGAGAAAGCCTCCATAACATGGACTAGTTGCTCCGAGGCTACAAGACAGGAGAAAGCCTCTATAACATGGACTAGTTGCTCCGAGGCTACAAGACAGGAGAAAGCCTCCATAACATGGACTAGTTGCTCCGAGGCTACAAGACAGGAGAAAGCCTCTATAACATTGACTAGTTACTGACCAGGGTGAAGCTGTTGGGAGAGGCTGCCCATCTGCGGACAGTGGTCAGTGGCCAGGTCTTCATGATCTGAAACACAACACAGTGAGTGAGAAGCTGAATATGGACACATGACACAATGGAGTCTGGAGACAAGCTCTTATATCCAGTGTTACACTGATCTCAGACACCAGTCTACAGAGGTCCTGGACACACCTACCTCCTTGGTCTTCTCGTCCACTCGCACCACGCTGTCCTTTGTGATGCCCAGCAGCCTCGGGACCAGCTTGTTCTTCCCCCTCATCTTCTCCTGCAACAACATCAACACAATTACAACCATCATAAGCACCATTACAATTACATTTGCAACATGGGAAGATGCGGGTTAGAATTGATCTTCAGCAACCCATGCTTGTGGTAAGCGGCATCCAATGGGGTAGGGTGGTCAGACTCGCTGACTTGGTAGACACATGTCATCGTATCCCAGTTGCATAGATCAATGCTCATGATGTTGATCACTTGATTGTTTGGTCCACACAACCGCTGCCATATAGCTAGAATATTGCTGAGTTTGGCATCAAACAGCAAACAAATAGACATTATTTGTTTGTGTTTAATGCATAATCTTTTAATACAGGTTTCTGGACCAGACAATCCAGTCATGAAAAGAAACATTAGCGAAATATTTGAAGAAAGTTTAAGTGATGTAGATGTTAAATTTTACCACTTGGGTCAAAACAACAAGTATGTTTGGTTTGTTGTTTTACAGTTCACACAACAATATTCCAGCTATATGGCTGCAGTCTGTAACCAGACAATCCAGTGATCAACAGCATGAGCATCAAAATATGCAGTTGAGATACAATGACATCATCAACCAGGACTACCTGTTCCCGTTAGTTGCCTTTTATGACAAGCATGGGTTGTTGATGACTGTAGCCACAGATGAAGGAAAGCAAGTGACGTAACTCCACACAGGCCATTCCGGTGCCTAAGATGACTGGCCACTCAGTCATGAAACACTGCTACTGGGTTATCGGTGAAAAATGTCGGCCAGGAAAATATTATCACATTAAATCAATTCTTTATAATTCATATATATTACAAACTAATTGTGTTGGAGTTCCACTGACCTTGACTAGGAAGAAGGTGATACCGTAGGTCTTGAGAGACCGACACAAGTGGGTGTACTTGACCTTGGACTCAATCTCGGACATGCTGGCCCACTTCTTGTGTTCCTGAAACAGCACGGTGACGTTAGGAAAGTGTCAGTATCTCACGAGGGATGCTCACAGATATTTAAAAGTAAGGTCGGTGGGGATGTCGGTGGGGTTGGGGTTGGGTTATCTTGGTGAGGTGGGGTTGTCTATTGGTATGGGGGTTCTCCTTGTACACCCCTCAGAAGAGGGTGGGGTTGGGGGGGCCCTTGTCTCCCCCGTGGAGGGGGACTGAGGGTTCACATGGTCTTCCCCTATGGTGGGGTGGGGTTATCTTGGTCTTCCCCTATGGTGTGGTGGGGTTATCTTGGTCTTCCCCTGTGGTGGGGTGGGGTTATCTTGGTCTTCCCCTGTGGTGGGGTGGGGTTATCTTGGTCTTCCCCTGTGGTGGGGTGGGGTTATCTTGGTCTCCCCCTATGTGTGGTGGGGTGGGGTTATCTTGGTCTTCCCCTGTGGTGGGGTGGGGTTATCTTGGTCTTCCCCTGTGGTGGGGTGGGGTTATCTTGGTCTTCCCCTATGGTGGGGTGGGGTTATCTTGGTCTCCCCTATGGTGTGGTGGGGTTATCTTGGTCTTCCCCTATGGTGGGGTGGGGTTATCTTGGTCTTCCCCTGTGGTGGGGTGGGGTTATCTTGGTCTTCCCCTGTGGTGGGGTGGGGTTATCTTGGTCTTCCCCTGTGGTGTGGTGGGGGTTATCTTGGTCTTCCCCTGTGGTGGGGTGGGGTTATCTTGGTCTTCCCCTGTGGTGGGGTGGGGTTATCTTGGTCTCCCCCTATGGTGGGGTGGGGTTATCTTGGTCTTCCCCCTGTGGTGGGGTGGGGTTATCTTGGTCTTCCCAGATATGTGGGGTTATCTTGGTCTCTCCATGTTGGTGGAATTGGGGTGGGGTTATCTTTACTGGTCTCCCCTATGGGTGGTGGGGTTATTCTTGGCAATCTCGCCCCATAGCATTTCCCCATGTGGGGATGTCATCTTGCAGAAATATAAGTAATAGTCCATGTCATCCAGGTTATATACTGCCTTGGTCAAATATCTGTGTTGGGGGGTTTTCGTTTGTTGACAGATCTTGTCAGCCCCTGTGGTGTGGTGGTGGGGTTATCTTGAAAAGTCCCTATCCCCAATGTGGTGTTGTCTGATTATCTTGGTCTCCCTGTGGTGGGGTGGGGTTATCTTGGATCTCCCCTTCTGGTGTGTTTGTGGGGTGGGGTATATCTTGGTCTTCCTGAGACTGGGGTGGGGGTTAGACTTGGTCTTGGTCTTCTGCTGTCAATCGCTTTTAAATGTATAGATAGGGAATTTACTTTAAGTTCAGTAATTCACTACAAGTAAGTCCTTCTCTTTGATCTGAAAGAAACACCTTTGGCAGCGTACTACTTACAACATAAATCTTCTTTTCAACTCCTTTGATTTTCATGTATTCTTTTGGCAGGAATTCTTTCAGGCTGGAACAAGAAATGGCATGTTACAGTATTATCATAATCAGCACCGGCGCCTTCTTGTGATCTGTACAGACTTCTACACAAACAAATATCCCATCATGCTTTTGGATTGCAGTAAAGGGAGAGAACTACTCACTCTAGGAAGCCCGGTCGGTGTTTGGAGTCGACGTGGTCACCGAACTGTATCTGACACTGTAACCCAGCAAATTGTATCGCTTCTTCCTGACTCACAGGGTGGGTGCCGTTCAGCAGGGCGTCACGAGACTACGGAGACAACACCATCACGGTCAGCAACATCGTCTACATCACTTCGCAGTGCAAAGTCTTGCTCTGGACCCATTCCACAAAGCAATCTTAGTGCTCAGATGATCTTAGGCCAACGTTAAAGTAACGGAGTTACGATCACCTTAACGCTAAGATGATCTTAGGCCAACGTTAAAGTAACGGAGTTACGATCACCTTAACGCTAAGATGATCTTAGGCCAACGTTAAAGTAACGGAGTTACGATCACCTTAACGCTAAGATGATCTTAGGCCAACGTTAAAGTAACGGAGTTACGATCACCTTAATCTAAGATGAAATTAGGCCAACGTTAAAGTAACGGAGTTACGATCACCTTAACGCTAAGATGATCTTAGGCCAACGCTAAAATGTAACGGAGTTACGATCACCTTAACGCTAAGATGATCTTAGGCCAACGTTAAAGTAACGGAGTTACGATCACCTTAACGCTAAGATGATCTTAGGCCAACGTTAAAGTAACGGAGTTACGATCACCTTAACGCTAAGATGATCTTAGGCCAACGTTAAAGTAACGGAGTTACGATCACCTTAACGCTAAGATGATCTTAGGCCAACGTTAAAGTAACGGAGTTACGATCACCTTAACCCTAAGATGATCTTAGGCCAACGTTAAAGTAACGGAGTTATGATCAAGATGATCTTAGGCCAACGTTAAAGTAACGGAGTTACGATCACCTTAACGCTAAGATGATCTTAGGCCAACGTTAAAGTAACGGAGTTACGATCACCTTAACCCTAAGATGGCTTTGTGAAACTGGTTCCTTGGCATGTTATTTAAAGTCAACAAAAAACAGTAAGTAAAATATTTTTGCACTATAGCATCACGTGTCTATGTGTACTTGTGCACAACTGTTGGTTTTATAAGTGAAAGCCAACTAAAGCCACCCTTCAGTTCAACATGGATGCCCCATTTAAACATAATATACTACCTCCCAGTCGCTAACCCATATTTCAATGCCTACATCCAGGCACAACACAAACAAGTACCACCTTTTCACATCTATTGGTATGACACAGCTGGGGTTCAAACTAGTAACTGTCTGCTCCACGGCCAAAGGTTTTATCCAATTGTCAGATTTGCAGCAATGTTTCAGCAATATCACGCAGAAGAACCTGACAAATGGTTTTCACACATTGTACCCATGCAGGGAATAGAACCCAGGGTTTGGCGTGATGAGTGAACACCTTAACAACTTGGCTAACTTCAGTCTCAAATATGCAGAAAGAGCGGACATTTGCCGAAAGATACTGCCACAGAAAGCATGTATGGCTTTAAAGTCTAGTAAAATGTTGTCTTTCAAAGATGTAGGCGATCTCTCGGCAGAGAAAGAGTCTCACCTGGACATAGAGGAGGTTGAGTTGGACGGGGTCACGGGCGTCGACATTCTGATCGGAGAAGAAGAACTTCCTCCTGAGCAGCAGTATCTCGTTGGGGTCAATGCCCTGCTCCCTCAGTGTCTTACTGTGGTCCAGCCAGTTCACTGGAACACAAGACAGCAGTCAGTGTATACACTAGGATTGAACTGCAGGGTAGAACACTAGGATAGAACAGCAGGGTAGAACACTAGGATAGAACACTAGGATGGAACACTAGGATAGAGCACAATAGGATAGAACAGCAGGGTAGAACACAAGGATGGAACACTAGGATAGAACACTAGCACAGAACAGCAGGGTAAAACACTAGGATAGAACAGCAGGGTAGAACACTAGCATAGAACAGCAGGGTAGAACACTAGGATAGAACAGCAGGGTAGAACACTAGGATAGAACACTAGGATAGAACACTAGGATAGAGCACTAGGATAGAACAGCAGGGTAGAACACAAGGATGGAACACTAGGATAGAACACTAGCACAGAACAGCAGGGTAAAACACTAGGATAGAACAGCAGGGTAGAACACTAGCATAGAACAGCAGGGTAGAACACTAGGATAGAACAGCAGGGTAGAACACTAGGATAGAACAGCAGGGTAGAACACTAGGATAGAACAGCAGGGTAGAACACTAGGATAGAACAGCAGGGTAGAACACTAGGATAGAACACCAGGGTAGAACACTAGGATAGAACACTAGGATAGAGCACTAGGATAGAACAGCAGGGTAGAACACAAGGATGGAACACTAGGATAGAACACTAGCACAGAACAGCAGGGTAAAACACTAGGATAGAACAGCAGGGTAGAACACTAGCATAGAACAGCAGGGTAGAACACTAGGATAGAACAGCAGGGTAGAACACTAGGATAGAACAGCAGGGTAGAACAGCAGGGTAGAACACTAGGATGGAACACTAGGATAGAACAGCAGGATAGAACACTAGGATGGAACAGCAGAATAGAACACTAGGGTAGAACACCAGGATAGAACAGCCGGGTAGAACACTAGGATAGAACACTAGGACGGAACAGATAATGTACTACTAGGACGGAACACTGATTATCAAATGCTTCTTGTAAATGAAGAAAGACCATTATTAGACCTCTACGTCTCATCACAACGTTTCAGTGTTCTCTGGCTAATGGACACAAGTGAATCTAGAAAGCTGCCTCTGTAGTGATGGGACACTTATCACAGTGTTTGAAACAAAACAATATATTGGTCCTTGTAAATAACCCTGGTAATAAATGTTATAAGGATTAGGAGTTCATAGATTCCCATACAACAGGTACAGACCTTCAGCATAACCAGACCATTCAGTTCTGATTCTTTCTGATACTAGTAGTATGAACTCCCTATCATGAACTGGAAGGATTTACAAGCTTGGAAGGATTACAGTGAAGGAGCTTCTCCCGTTACATGGCCACGACATCTGACATGTAGACCTACTTTCATCATCAGTGTGGAGTTTCTTCTTCATCTCCTCCAGCTTCTTCTGGTCCTTAGCGATGGACTTGTCTCTCTTCAGCGTCAGTGTCTTCTCCTTCTCATCGTCCGGCAGGTCACGCACCAGGGAGTACTCCTCGTGGTTGGTGATACCTGCAACAGTGAGTGAGTGAGTGAGTGATCGAATGCGTGATCAAGTGAGTGAGTGAGGTGAAATGGGGTTTGACATCGTACTTATATAATATTTCGCTCATATGACGATGTGCATGTGTGCATGTGGGTATGTGTGGCTGCTTGTACTAGCCCAGTGAGTGAGTGAATGAGTTTAGTTGTACACCACTTTTAGCTATATTCCAGCAATTTCACGGCGGGGGACACCGGAAATGGGCTTCACACATTGTGCCCATGTGGAGAATTGAACCCGGATCTTTGGCATGACGGGCGAATGCCTTAACCACTAGGCTACCCACCCGCCCATGTACTAGCCCAGACCTCAGCCCATGTACTAGCCCAGACCTCAGCCCATGTACTAGCCCAGACCTCAGCCCATGTACTAGCCCAGAACTCAGCCCATGTACTAGCCCAGACCTCAGCCCATGTACTAACCCAGACCTCAGCCCATGTACTAGCCCAGACCTCAGCCCATGTACTAGCCAAGACCTCAGCCCATGTACTAGCCCAGACCTCAGCCCATGTACTACCCCAGACCTCAGCCCATGTACTAGCCCAGACCTCAGCCCATGTACTAGCCCAGACCTCAGCCCATGTACTAGCCCAGACCTCACCTCAGCCCATGTACTAGCCCAGACCTCAGCCCATGTACTAGCCCAGACCTCAGCAGCTTTTATAAGAAACAGACTGTAAAAATCAAGTCTAAACCAGGCAAACCAATGCTTGACAAGATGACAATGTCCAATGCTATCAAGGTACAATGATATTCAGTGAAAAAAGTCACCAAGTATGGCCACCTGGACCATTCATTCCCCACCAAAAGCAGAGGCTGCCTGGAGCTAACCAGGAAGTCCCCATGTACATGGAACCGCGTAGAAGATGCAACTCACCCATCCTGGTGCAGATGGTGATCATGAGCTGCCCGACTGTGTGGCTGTCGTCCACCTGTAGGGTCTTCAGAGCCCCGTCCAGCGTCCGCACCTTCAGGATGCGCTGCTTCTTCTTGTACTCGAGCAGATCCTGCAACAACAGTTACATCATCATCAATTACATCATCATCATTGTTTTAAGTAATAGCTTCAACATCCTTAGCTACATGGCATCATCAATCATACCATCTAAGATATCAGTAACAGTATCAACATCAGTGTCTTCAGTCACACCATCTACACCATCAGTTACAGCATCAATGTCATTGTCCTCAGTCACACAGCATCAAAGTCATCAGTTACACCATCAGCATCATCAGTAACAGCATCAACATCATTGTCCTCAGTCACACCATCTACACCATCAGTTACACCACCAACATCATCAGTAACAGCATCAACATCATTGTCCTCAGTCACACCATCTACACCATCAGTTACACCACCAACATCATCAGTAACAGCATTAACATCATTGTCCTCAGTTACACCACCAACATCACCCGTTACAGCATCAGTGTCATCAGTAACAGCATCAACATCATCAATAACGGCATCAACATCCTCATAACAAGTAACACCATCTTCAGCACAATCCCAGTAATCCACTGATTATCAATCAGCAACAGTCTGTGACATAACCAGCAATATGTTTTATCGTCCAAGTCAGGTGAATTACCAATGTTTATCATCCAAAACTGTGTTCCACAGGAGATATTGCTTTTGTGAGATCATACGATATCTCCTTGGAGATATCATTTTGACAGTATATTTTGTACAATGCAATGACAATGCTATGACGTCATGAATTTGATGACGTCGCAATGCTATGACATCGCTGCACTGCAAGTCTAATGGCAGAACCGTCTTCAGAGATGTACATTTTTCATTGAAAACTAATGAAGAGTGATTTTGGATGATAAATAGAATCTCACCCTCGTGTCTTCTGATATCAAATATATCAACACTCGTTGATAAAAGTAAAAATATCCTCGACAAGCCTCGGGTATTTGTAACTTTATCAACTCGTTGTGATTTATTTGATATCAAAAGACATTCGGGTCGGATTCTCTCTCTCTATATATAAATGTTAACAAGAAAATCTACAGATAATGTTGCCACATCCCATGAACTGGATAAAACATGTTCAGTTTTGGCTGTCAAACTGGAATATACTCCTCATAGACCCCAACTCAATCTCACAGAGACGAACCATCCAGAACACATTCCACCAATCATCAATAACAAGTACCATTGTTCCGCTCACTGGTAACTCCACCCGTCGCAATGAGGGTATCCGTTACTAAAGTCTAATACTTGTTCCAACAGCAAGACCAGACCAGACTTTTGACCTAACACCACATTCTGTTGTCTAACAGTTAAAAATATTATCTACTCCATGCATATTTTAGTCAAACAATGGCCTGGAACAATGGTTGGTCCGGAAGCAGGTGCCCTCCAGAATATCCTCTATTACTGTTATATATACTCCTTCCTCAATACAAGGTAGGATTGGTCATTGCTGTACACGGGTCAACACTTAAGACAGCAAATCAGCTGAATGAAGTACTCTTGTCAGGAGCTGGTCATGTTTCAATCTTCCTTAATTGGTTGTGATTAATTTGTTCTAAAGTCTGGCACTTATCTTGCAGGCTTGGCTAGCAAATAAAAAAATCATTTATTTGCAAAATTGGGACTTGTTTTACGATCTATTAACAGTATATTTTACACAAGAATGTAAAATAAGAAATAATGCCTCTTGGCCAAGCTACAATCTTTTTTCATTGATTTTGACTAATTTGTTTTAATGTTAGGGTTTCATCTTATAGCCTCGGCAAGAAAATTGAAAAAACAAGAAGACAAAGTCATGAATATCCCCCGCAGTGGCAAAATACTCTTCATGATTATGTCTACGAGTTATGATTATGTCAAATAGTTAGGTGTGTATATAGAAAAGTGGAAGGAAAGTATTGAAAGGTTTTTAAAGTTCTGCTCCAGAAAGGAGCACTATCGACAATTTCAGTCCATGTCAAACTTGTTGCCATGGATATGCCAAAAATATTTTATTCAGAAATCCAAAACTACCAAAAGGCACCAGTACACCACCAGACCTATGTATGTGCCAAGTTTGGTGAAGAAACATTGAACGGTTTTAGAGTTCTGCTCTGGAAAAGTGCACTACCACTAATTTCTGTTTTAGTCTAATTGTTGCCATGGAAATGCCAAACATATTTTATTCAGAATTCCAAAACTACCAAAAAGGCACCAGTACACCACCAGATCTATCTATGTGCCAAGTTTGGTGAGGAAATAGGGAACAGTTTTAGAGTTCAGCTCCGGGAAAAGAGCACTACCACCAATTTCAGGCTAAGTCAAACTTGTTGCCATGGAAACGCCAAAAATACTTTATTCAGAATTCCAAAACAACCAAAAGGCACCAGTACACCACCAGATCAATCTATGTGCCAAGTTTGGTGAAGAAATAGTGAACGGTTTTAGAGTTCTGCTCCGGAAAAGAGCACTACCACCAATTTCATTCTAAGTCGAACTTGTTGGCATGGAAACGCCAAAAATGTTTCATTTAGAATTTCAAAACTACCAAAAGGCACCAGTACTCCACCAGATCTATCTATGTGCCAAGTTTGGTGAGGAAATATTTAACGGTTTTAGAGTTCTGCTTCGGAAAAGACAAATGTGCACGGACGGAGTCCATTTTAATACCCCCCTGCAAAACGCGTTGCGGGGGATAAAAAATATACAAATGTCACTTGCAATTTGTTTTAAGTTTGATTGGATTTTAACAGTACATTTTATGCAACATTGAAAAATTAAGATTTAAGGGCTCATCCTCTTTCCATGTCCTGTTTATCAGTAGAATATAATATTGAGTTCATGATTATCAATCTCTCGGATCTAAATTGATAACAAGCCATGAACTATTGTTTGTAAAATACATGCAACACTCCGTAAAGTGAACATATTGAGTGATTTTTTTTCCCTTGTTTTCCATAGTGGTGCAATGGTTGTTAAGAAGCATTGACATGAATATTAGTTTAGGGATGCGTCGAATGTGATACGCATCACGAATACTGGTAAACAAATAGAAACATATTCCATTTTGCATATTTTGTTTTGATAAATATCACCCTAATTCAAGTAAACCATTCCCAGTCTCAAGCTATTTTATGTTTGTCTATGTCCCCATCAACAACATTCAAGCTAAAATGATAGCAGTTTGTAAATAATCACATCAGGACCAGACAATCCAATGACTGACACCACGAGCATGGATCTAGTTTCATTCTAAATATACAGTTAAGTCCTTGTTTTACTAATGTAAGGTTAGCCAGGATCAACAGGAAAAGAATAATGTGTCCTTTTCTTCAGACCATGTACTGAAATATCCAGTTTTGTATTATCTAAAGAAGATATACATTTGATCATGTGTTTATGTTGAAAAAAATTGTTAAGTTCCTAAACTTCAAAAAACCAAATGCAGATCTTGAGCCCCCCACCCCAAGCAGTTGCTCCATGAATAGTTAAATCACTTCTGCCCAATTGAACATGAAGTCAGAATCGTCAAAGCAGATTTTGACAAAATACTCAAAATGCCACATTTCTGTATGAGCATTACAGGCAGTGAATGTATTGCTCCCAAAATAACCTTATAAGTCATCCCCACCACACCTGCCATTCATATTCATCAATGGTAATAAAAGATAAAGTTCCTATTTTGAGCTTCTCATTATCACCATCATGATGTTTCATTTTTGACATTGTTGCTCTACATGTGTACTAAATTCTGCCTGTACTTCCTGTAATACACCTTTTTGTGACATTTTCTTTTGACTTCTTCACCAGTGCTGAAGCACTTAGACAACAAGAATACAGATGTCCTTACACCACTAGTAAATACTCAAAACATGGAATCATCCCAAAATACCTGTTTCTCACATTTCACAGAAACATTATTTCTTTTGCAGACTGATATTTATGGCAGATGTGTGAAGAAGACTCAAAGAGCAGACGCTGAGAGCAGACACAAAGAGCAGACGCAGATAGCAGACGCCAGATGGCTGTCTGTTCGATAGTTGAGAACATGCATCTACACAGACCTGAGTAACCTGCTTTCCTGCATCAATAAACCAACTTACAAGTATATCTACTACTGTCAGTTATCATTCATTACAAAATAAAGATGTCAGCAAACAGTGACAGACTACTTAGTGTGGGATGGAAGCCAGATGTTAACAGAGTAAAACATGTTGTCTTCATTTAGTAATCCCTACACACACTTGTTCAACGAATAATTTCTTTTATCGTGATATAGAATGGTAATACTGGGAACCTACACTGATGCGGAATTTGGACCATGTGGCAACAGACTGGCAGGAATCTAGATATTGAAACTGTGTGAATCATGTTCAATGTATATATGTATAAGTCGGTCCACTCACAAACAGTATGGAACAGGTAAAGAGGTGTGGTGAGGTGAGGTGAAATTGGGTTTTACATCGTACTTGAGAATATTTCGCTAATATGATGACGTGCATGCGTGTGTATGTGTATGTGCGGCTGCTTGTACTAGCCCAGACTTAAGCTGGTTTTATAGTGCTAGCCCACTGAGATACCATGCCGCAGTGAAGCATGAATACCCCACTCAGACACATTATACTGACTCCGAGCCGACCAGTCCTTGTTGTACCCATTAATGCCTAGCGCCAGGCAGGGACCAACAAGTACCATATTTAAACGTCTTTTGGTATGACGTGGTCGTATCGAACCCACGGCCTTCCACTCTCCGGGCGGACGCTCTAACCAGTACACCACGGAGGCGGTCAAAGAGGTGTGGATAAACACCACCATTCAGAAAGTGTTCAGACACAATATATGGCATATCTGGGGTTACACTTTTTCAGTGAGGTACAGATTCTAGTACTTGAATATTTAGGGTTGAGTCCCATCTGGAATTCGAACCCACACTCTCATGGTGAGGTACCAAAACGCTAGTACACACGTGACGACCGGTTGTCAGACCTTATTTTTTTTTCTCAAAGCCAAGGTGGCTGAGTGGGCTAGATCTCCGACTTCGTTTGCTGATGATTTGGTGCCTATTTTGAAGCATAATTTGTATGTAACAACATGTCATAAAGATGAGAGTCAGTGAGTATGGTATTACACCACCTTCAGCAATATTCTACCAATATCACAGAGCAGGACACCAGAGACAGGCTTCATACATTGTACCCACTAAGGATGTAATGATTCACTCACATATTCGGGTGAATCTAACCATAGCCTTTCATGAATTCAATTCGTTATTCGTGGTCACCAGAACCGAATATTAACGAATATTTACGATGTTTTTAAGGGAGCATGTTCTACTTAAACCTTTTCCAAAGTGAGATATGCAAGAATGCATTATGTACTAGCCTTGTAGTAGCGCAAGTCATGTTAGTTTGCCATGGCCGCACATGGTACTGTCATCTATAACTATTACATACCAAATTTGAGTGTCATGAGATGACTGGTTATTGCTGTGACAAATTAACACTGTCAACATGGGCATTCCATATTGTACATCAACTTAACTACAATATTGTATTCATGAATAACTATTTGTATTCATTACCCAATATTCATGATATGTATCATATTCGCCACATAGTGTATTTGTTGCAGCCCTAGAACCAACACAGGGGAATCAAACCAAAGTCTTGGCGTCAAAAGAAACGCCACATTGACCACTATTCTACCCCATCGCCCCGTTAAAGATAAGAACTGCGCGAGCAGATCAGATGCGACCAGTTAATGACTGCGGCGCTGTGACAACACCTACCCCATTCCGCAGCAGGTAGTACTCCAGGCTGCGGCCCTGCTCTAGCCATACTCCTTTCTTAGGGTCCTCGTCAGCCAGGAACAGTCCAAAATCTGAATCTGCAATAAAACCAGATTGGGAACAATGATGATGATGATGTGGGTATTTATATAGCACATCCAGGTACTAATACCCGCACTACTACTATAAGAGAAGAAAATAGTTAAAACTATTTTGCAATTGAACATAGAAAGTCTAGTAATAGGCAAGAATGAAACAAGTGGGTTTTAGAGAGACGCATTTAAATGTGTCCAAAGATTCAGCATTCTTGATGTGAGTGGGCAAGTTGTTCCAGAGACTGGCTGCGTGTTGGAATGATCTTTTCCCATTGAGAGTCCTTTAGGAATGAAAAGTAGCCTGGGAAATGGTGGGGTTGAAACCAGAAAACATAACTGCACCTTCAATCTACAGAACAACATACCCACAACGTAGATCTTAAACTCTTCCTCCAAGCCAGCTCGAACTGAACCCCCTCAACATACAGCTGGAATGATGTCATGAATTAAGTCTAGACCAGACAATCCAGTGATCCATATCATAAGCAACCATCCACTCCCTTGGAGTACATTGACATTGAATCAACTAAATCACTGATCCTACCTACCCAATCTACTGGGTCAGTCTTAAAGGTGTGGTATTTTCTACTCACCCGAAACACACTGTAAGCAAATTGCTATGATTCTACCAACAGGGATGAGGATGGGTATGATTCTATCAACAGGGATGAGAATGGTTATGATTCTATAAACAGGGTTGAGAATGGATATGATTCTATCAACAGGGGATGAGAATGGCTATGATTCTATCAACAGGGTTGAGGATGGGTATGATTCTATCAACAGGGTTGAGAATGGCTATGATTCTATCAACAGGGATGAGAATGGATATGATTCTATCAACAGGGATGGCTATGGCTATAATTCTATCAACAGGGATGGCTATGATTCTATCAACAGGGATGACGATGGGTATGATTCTATCAACAGGGTTGAGAATGGCTATGATTCTATCAACAGGGTTGAGAATGGCAATGATTCTATCAACAGGGTTGGCTATGATTCTATCAACAGGGATGAGAATGGTTATGATTCTATCAACAGGGATGGCTATGATTCTATCAACAGGGATGAGAATGGGTATGATTCCTATCAACAGGGATGGCTATGATTCTATCAACAGGGATGGCTATGATTCTATCAACAGGGATGAGAATGGCTATGATTCTATCAACAGGGATGGCTATGATTCTATCAACAGGGATGAGAATGGCTATGATTCTATCAACAGGGATGAGAATGGCTATGATTCTATCAACAGGGATGGCTATGATTCTATCAACAGGGATGAGAATGGTTATGATTCTATCAACAGGGATGAGAATGGGTATGATTCTATCAACAGGGATGGCTATGGCTATAATTCTATCAACAGGGATGGCTATGATTCTATCAACAGGGATGAGGATGGGTATGATTCTATCAACAGGGATGGCTATGGCTATAATTCTATCAACAGGGTTGGCTATGATTCTATCAACAGGGATGAGAATGGTTATGATTCTATCAACAGGGATGAGAATGGCTATGATTCTATCAACAGGGTTGGCTATGATTCTATCAACAGGATGAGGATGGGTATGATTCTATCAACAGGGATGGCTATGATTCTATCAACAGGGATGGCTATGATTCTATCAACAGGGATGAGAATGGCTATGATTCTATCAACAGGGATGAGAATGGTTATGATTCTATCAACAGGGATGGCTATGATTCTATCAACAGGGATGAGAATGGGTATGATTCTATCAACAGGGATGGCTATGATTCTATCAACAGGGATGAGAATGGTTATGATTCTATCAACAGGGGATGGCTATGATTCTATCAACAGGGATGAGAATGGTTATGATTCTATCAACAGGGATGGCTATGGCTATAATTCTATCAACAGGGATGGCTATGATTCTATCAACAGGGATGAGGATGGGTATGATTCTATCAACAGGGATGGCTATGATTCTATCAACAGGGATGAGGATGGCTATGATTCTATCAACAGGGTTGAGAATGGTTATGATTCTATCAACAGGGATGAGGATGGCTATGATTCTATCAACAGGGATGAGAATGGCTATGATTCTATCAACATGGATGAGGATGGGTATGATTCTATCAACAGGGATGAGAATGGCTGTGATTCTATCAACAGGGATGAGAATGGTTATGATTCTATCAACAGGGATGAGAATGGCTATGATTCTATCAACAGGGTTGGCTATGATTCTATCAACAGGGATGAGAATGGGTATGATTCTATCAACAGGGATGAGAATGGCTATGATTCTATCAACAGGGATGAGAATGGTTATGATTCTATCAACAGGGATGAGAATCGGTATGATTCTATAAACAGGGATGAGAATGGCTATGATTCAAAACAGCAAAATGAGCAGGGATTTAGGGGGCCGTAGATCCAAGAATGACCCCAGTATGATCAAATCCGTGGAATTCCATGGATACGCGGAACATTCTCATCCCTGTACCAAGCCATTACTATACTTCCTTGGTTAATGAAACACTATGATATAAGTAACCACTATGAGGCACCAACAAATGTTGGTATAAACCCTAACTGAGGTGACTTCACACAAAAGTATCTGCTACAGTATCATCTTTCGCTTCTATTTCCTCATCATGCTTCACAAGCACCTGTATAACAAGGTCCAAGTACTTACGGTTTCCTTGTGTGGTTTCGGCGATTCTTTCTCGGATAATTCTACAAGCATCGTAGACAATGGTGGACGGCTCGAACTGCATCGTCTTGACGATGTTGCTCCCCACAACGCTGATCTTGAGCGATAGGGTCGCCATCTTGCATGCTAGGTGACAACCCTCGCTGCTTCACTGTTGTCAGTCCTGGGGTCCTTACAGCTGATTCATGTTATCTCTTCCTGCAGGCTCAGCAACTCTGGAACATCACAAGTAGTAATTCATAATCCTTTGCTGAGGCAGTGCATTTTCATATACATTCTCAGTCTCCATTACTAGCAAATAGCCAGAAAATAGCACTATGCTTCTTTGGCCACTAGTCCAAAGCCCGTGTCAAATAAACTTCAACACGGTCTTGTAAACTCTGGTAATGGTGGCAGGGGTGGAAATAACTTTAAAATTGCTGGTATAACCCGATACAGTGGCACATGTAAAATCACTTGCCCTGATAATTTGTCCACTATACCGTCCGTTTTCTTGTTGACTTTTTAAAATAAACAACATAATTAACATTGGAAAGTCAACTGGACACCGGTACAGTGTGATATACAAATTTGCTTGCCCGACATAAAAAACACTGGACTCGGACGTTGGGCAATGGGTTATTTCCACCCCTGGGTGGTACACAACATAACACTCTTTACATTCTAACCAGCTCTTACTTTGTTGCTGATGTATAACCAGCTCTTACATGCCTATAACCCTGGGAGTCTGTTGCTGATGTATAACCAGCTCTTACATGCCTATAACCCTGGGGTCTGTTGCTGATGTATAACCAGCTCTCACATGCCTATAACCCTGGGAGTCTGTTGCTGATGTATAACCAGCTCTTACATGCCTATAACCCTGGGAGTCTGTTGCTGATGTATAACCAGCTCTACATGCCTATAACCCTGGGAGTCTGTTGCTGATGTATAACCAGCTCTTACATGCCTATAACCCTGGGAGTCTGTTGCTGATGCTCTTACATGCCTATAACCCTGGGAGTCTGTTGTTGCTGATGTATAACCAGCCTTACATGCCTATAACCCTGGGAGTCTGTTTGATGCACTCCCTGACTTTGTGCCTATGCCTTCACACTTCGCTGGCGATATTAGTAAATCTTTGTTGCTGATGTATAACCAGCTCTTACATGCCTATAACCCTGGGTCTGAGTCTGTTGCTGATGTATAACCAGCTCTTACATGCCTATAACCCTGGGGGTCTGTTGCTGATGTATAACCAGCTCTCACATGCCTATAACCCTGGGAGTCTGTTGCTGATGTATAACCAGCTCTTACATGCCTATAACCCTGGGAGTCTGTTGCTGGAGTGATGCACTCCCTGACTTTGTGTACCTATGTTTTCACACTTCGAAATTGGTAAATCTTTGTTGCTGATGTATAACTAGCCTGTAACCCATGAAGTCTGTTGCTGGAGTTGTGCACTCCCTGACTTTGTATACTAGTAACTATATTTTCTTACTTTGAAAATTTGTAACTCTTTGTTGCCAAAATGTAACCAGCCCTAACATGGAGTTGTCAATATGTAACCAGCCCTAACATGGAGTTGCCAATGTGCAACCAGCCCTAACATGGAGTTGTCAATATGTAACCAGCCCTAACATGGAGTTGCCAATGTGCAACCAGCCCTAACATGGAGTTGTCAATATGTAACCAGCCATAACATGGGGTTGCCAATATGTAACCAGCCCTAACATGCAGTAGCCAATATGTAACCAGCCCTAACATGGAGTTGCCAATATGTAACCAGCCCTAACATGGAGTTGCCAATATGTAACCAGCCCTAACATGGAGTTGCCAATATGTAACCAGCCCTAACATGGAGTTGCCAATGTGTAACCAGCCCTAACATGGAGTTGCCAATATGTAACCAGCCCTAACATGGAGTTGCCAATATGTAACCAGCCACAACATGGAGTTGCCAATATGTAACCAGCCCTAGCATGGAGCTGCCAATATGTAACCAGCCATAACATGGAGCTGCCAATATGTAACCAGCCATAACATGGAGTTGCCAATATGTAACCAGCCCTAACATGGAGTTGTCAATATGTAACCAGCCCTAACATGGAGTTGCCAATATGTAACCAGCCCTAACATGGAGTTGCCAATATGTAACCAGCCCTAACATGGAGTTGCCAATATGTAACCAGCCCTAACATGGAGTTGCCAATATGTAACCAGCCCTAACATGGAGTTGCCAATATGTAACCAGCCCTAACATGGAGTTGCCAATATGTAACCAGCCCTAACATGGAGTTGCCAATATGTAACCAGCCCTAACATGGAGTTGCCAATATGTAACCAGCCCTAACGTGGGTTGCCAATGTGTAACCAGCCCTAACATGGAGTTGTCCAATATGTAACCAGCCCTAACATGGAGTTGCCAATATGTAACCAGCCCTAACATGGAGTTGCCAATGTGTAACCAGCCCTAACATGGAGTTGTGTACAATGTGTGTATACCAGCTGAAACATGGAAAATTAAAAACAAAAACACTACATTCTAACATGGAGTTGCGATGCTGATAACCAGCCCCTGGGTTGTAGTTTCGAAGTGTTTGGTCCTATTACCACATTGTACAGCTAACATGGACAGCCAATATGTACACTGCCTAGCCTAACATGGCTGTTTACTGTGGCCAACCTACATATAACCAGCCTCTAACATGGAGTTGCCAATACAGCTGCCTATTGTGGGCCTACCCTCTACAGCTGCCTGGAGCTACAGGTTAGTGTGAAGAGCAAGACTGTCACACAGTCAACACAGCCAGATTTACCAGCATGGTCAGAATAATTGATTTTGTCTCCAGTTACTCCACAGTTTCCTCCTGATGAATAATCCCCTACTTCGGTGAGAAAACAAGTGTAGGACACCCCACTGACCAGCTGTAGGAGCCCATGTGTAAATAACACTCTGGCTAATATTGCTACCTGACCACACCCAGCCCCACTCCTCACTACACCCTCCCTACTGCCCAGCCCCACCCCTCACAACACCCTCCCTACTGCCCAGCCCCACCCCTCACAACACCCTTCCTACTGCCCAGCCCCACCCCTCACAACACCCTTCCTACTGCCCAGCCACACCCCCTCACAGCACCCTCCCCTACTGCCCAGCCCCACCCCTCACAACACCCTCCCTACTGCCCAGCCCCCACCCCTCACAACACCCTCCCCTGCTGCCCAGCCCCCACCCTCACAACACCCTCCCTACTGCCCAGCCCACCCCTCACAACACCCTCCCTACTGCCGGGCCCCCCTCACAACACCCTCCCCCTGCCCCAGCACCACCCCTCACAACACCCTCCCTACTGCCCAGCCCACCCCCCCCACAACACCCCTCCCTACTGCCCAGCCCACCCCTCACAACACCCTCCTACTGCCCAGCCCACCCCTCACAGCTACCCTCCCTACTGCCCAGCCCCACCCCTCACAACACCCTCCCTACTGCCCAGCCCACCCCTCACAGCACCCTCCCTGCTGCCCGCCCACCCCTCACAACACCCTCCCTACTGCCCAGGCCCACCCCTCACAACACCCTCCCTACTGCCCAGCTATCAGACTGTTGGTGACAGCCACACACATTATTACCCTTCCATGCCCATTCCACCCATGGGCATTGGTCACCCATCTATCAGTCTGTGGGTGACAGCCCAGGTATCACCCATGGATCAATAACACTCTGGCTAACATTGCTACCCTAACGCACGCACGCACGCACGCACGTACACTGACAAGCAATCAGCCTCGCTCTAGTTAACATTGCTACTCTACATCACCAAGCCCCACCCCTCATACACACCCTCCCCACCGATAAGCCATCAGTCTCTGTGTCCAATAATGGAACAGTGCATGTATCAACACCTTGTAAACTATTTCAGATTCTTGCAACTTTACATTCATTGTTGAAGTCCAAATGTGTTAACACCGGGGTGTTGATCCATCTGTGATGTCACCAACGATGGACTCCAACAGTCTTGTGAACAATCAATACAAGCAGAAAATATGCTTCAGCAAGTTGAAGCAATTAATTCTCAGCAAATACACATAGCAACACATTTAAATTATCTATTCAGATGTACAACACATTTTAGCCCAAATTTCCAAACCAAGTAAGTCACAAATCCTAAGCCAGAGTTTGATCAATTTCTATTTGCATAAGTAGCGAGTGAGTTTAGTTTTAGGCAGCTTGTAGCAACATTTCAGCAACAATTAGCAGTATTTAGCAATATTTTAGCAGTATTTAGCAATATTTTAGCAATATTTAAGCAATATTCCAGCAATATCATGGAAGGGGACACCAGAAATGGGCTTCACACATTGCACCAATATTGCTGGAATCGAACCCAGGTCTTCGGCGTGACGAGGGAAAGCTTTAACCACAGGGCTACCCCACCAGCCCTGTATGGACAAGTCAGTAGTTAGCTGTTAACTCTCGATACACTAACACAATTTACAGAAAAAGTTGCTAAGAATATTGAGCTGGTATCTCCCGTACCTCCCAAGTTCTCTACACTGTCAGTATTCATCATCTTCACAGCCACTTTCAACATATCACCAAGGTCACATATTTCATTGCCTCGGCAATTTTCGCAAAGAGCTAAGGGAGCATTCATTATTCACCAAAATGGTTCCTGTACCCTAGGGAGTAGTTATTGTTTAGAGTGTTCGCATTTCTATTTTGTCTTTGACAGGCAACAAAAAGCAAGCCAGGCTACTGGCAGCAAGGTCAAGAAGTCAGCGGACTTCAACCATCTTCTTCCTTGAGGAATCATAACATTCACAATAAGACAAAAAACTCTCCTACAACATAAAGCTGCGCCCTGACACTGCCTTGTGGCCATCACTCAGACCATCAAAGACAAACTGACATCAGAATATTGAATAACGCACAACATTATTGTGTTACAGAAGAGCGTTACAGCATCATTTTATCATCAGCGACATCAAAGAGTTATGGTACGCACACAGGCTGGACAGCCAAGTTTCCCAGTTGATGGCTTCGCTGGAAGCAATGGTGCCTGATTTGCATCAACATCACTGAAAGGACGACTTTCTTACTGTTAACCCAGACATTACTCAACGTCTGAATGACGCTAACATCATCCCCACAGCTGCTGATGGTGTCAGAGGAAGACGCAGGTCAAGGGCATCCTTGTCAAGAGTTGATCATCCACAATACAACCATCAGAAG